GAGGGAAAAAAAAAAAAAAAAACAAGAAAATAAAACAAGAGATACGAAGGGGAAGTGGAAGGGAAATTAGACGAACAAGCCGGGGAAGAATGAAGTAAGTCAGTCGCAGAGTCGCCATGTCCATCCACAAATGCGGAGGCCGATGCCAGCCGCGGCTAAACACGGCAATCGTCGCACTTTGCTTCTCCGCAACTTCAATTCCGGGGTCACATTCGATCATATTCCTCCCCACGCCCATTGTCTTCGTCTATTTTTCCTTCATCGGCCATTGTTTCCACTTGGCTGCTCCCATAAAGCTCTGGACAGGACCATGAGATAGCTCAACCTGGTGTTTCGCGGTGCTACTTCGTCTTTTACTCTCCCTAGATTATCCCCGCAATGCGCGCACCGTCTCCGCTCCTGCGGAGCTTGAGCTCCAAAACATCGCTATCGCTGCCTTATTCGCGACGACTGCTCACGCCTCGCTTTCCAGTTACAGTCTCCTCTAAAACATCCCTCAGGACAGTTGCGAGCTATACGCATCCCCATCATGCCTCAGCCATATCGGTTCTGCCCACGGCGGTGGACACGTCCGCGCCTGATTTCAAGGAGAATGCCGAGCAGATGAAGGAGCTCGTAGATCGGATGAGCAATCTACATAGCACCATCTCTCAAGGTGGGCCACAAAAAGCAAAGGATAAGCACATTGCCAGAGGCAAAATGCTTCCTCGAGATCGGGTGACAGCCCTAATCGATCCCGGCACATCGTTCCTGGAGCTCTCCCCGCTGGCCGGCCACGAAGTGTACCCAGGCGAAGACGTTCCTGCCGGTGGCATTATTACTGGAATTGGAACCGTCGAAGGCGTAACATGTATGATCGTGGCCAATGACAGCACTGTCAAGGGAGGCACATACTACCCGATCACGGTGAAAAAACATCTCCGAGCACAAGCAATCGCCCAAGAGAACAAACTCCCCTGTCTCTACCTTGTGGACTCCGGCGGTGCCAACCTCCCCCATCAAGCCGACGTGTTCCCAGACAAGGAGCACTTCGGCCGCATCTTCTTCAACCAAGCCCGGATGAGCTCAATGGGCATCCCCCAGATCTCTGTGGTGATGGGACCCTGCACAGCAGGAGGTGCCTACGTCCCAGCCATGAGCGATGAGACCATCATCGTCGAGAACCAAGGCACCATTTTCCTGGCCGGTCCTCCCCTCGTCAAAGCCGCCACAGGCGAGGAAGTCTCCGCCGAAGATCTGGGCGGCGGCCAACTGCACAGCACCATCTCTGGCGTAACGGACTACCTCGCCGTAGACGACGCTCACGCCCTCATCCTCGCCCGCAGATCCATTGCCAACCTCAACTACCCCAAAACCAGCGTGCCCCTCAAACTCGACGACAGCACTATCAAAGAACCCCTCTACGACCCCGCCGAACTAAACGGCATCGTGGGCACCAACCTCCGCCGCCAGATCCCCGTCCATGAAGTCATCGCCCGCATCGTTGACGGCAGTGAATTTGCCGAATTCAAGCGCGACTACGGTACCACCCTTGTCACAGGCTTCGCCCGCATCTACGGCCACCAAGTCGGCATCGTCGCCAACAACGGTATCCTCTTCTCCGAGTCCTCGCTGAAGGGAGCCCACTTCATCGAGCTCTGTGCCCAGCGCAACATCCCCCTCATCTTCCTCCAGAACATCTCCGGCTTCATGGTCGGTGCCGACGCCGAGAAGGGCGGCATCGCCAAAAACGGCGCGAAGCTAGTCACGGCAGTAGCCTGCGCCGATGTACCCAAGTTCACTGTTGTCTTTGGCTCCAGCGCTGGCGCAGGCAACTACGGCATGTGGTAAGTTACACACTCACACACACACACACACACTCCCCTTAGGCCTACTAAGACAAACCCAAAAAAAAAAAGAACCAAAAGAAACAAACACTAACAAACAACCAAACAAATAGCGGCCGCGCCTACTCCCCACGGCTCATGTTCATGTGGCCCAACGCCAAGATCGGGGTAATGGGCTCTGAACAACTCTCCTCAGTAATGGAAGCAGTCGGACGCACCGCAGACCCGGCCCTGAAAGCTCGCATTGACCACGAATCCGAAGCGACTTTTTCATCCGCCCGTCTCTGGGACGACGGAGTTATCCCGCCTGCGCAAACGAGACGCGTTCTGGGATTGAGTTTGGCGGCGTCGTTGGGTGGAAGGGTGGATAAGGATGTGCAGACGCGGTTTGGTGTTTTCCGGATGTAGTCTACTTGCTTTGAGTGACAATATATTATATCTATTTATCTATTCTACTCACGCCTAGGTTCTCGGTCTGGGTCTTGTGTGTAACTGGGTCCTTTTGCGGGGTGTTTGTTTCTTGGTATTATATATCTTTGTCTTTTACATGGATATTGAGGTTGACGTGATGTATGGTTGGTTGGGATAGTAGAAATGCATGGTTTTACTTTTTTTTGAGTTCTTTTCGTATGTTAAAGAGTTTATCTGCGATAGGGTGAAGAAGAGGGGGCTTCAGTAGTGGAAGAAATCTTAAGTCGCTTATTGTGATAGTCCCCATAATTTATGGTGTGAAAGGAAGAGCGAATAAGAAGAAGAGGAACATCGCATTCTAATAATCTACTTCGCGTTGAACAGACTACTGCTAGTTTCGAAAAGGACGGAAATTTGATCAGAGTGGGAAAAAGGGGGAAGGGAAAAAAGGGGGAGGAGTCGAAAGGAATAACGGGCCAAATAAGGCACAAAGAAGCAAAAGCAAATATAGAAAATAAGTACGGAGTAGATAGAGAGAACTCAGGAGAGGAACTACTCTGTAGGAAGAAAAGAACAAGAAAAAGAAAAGCATAGTGCTGTTCTTTTCCTTAGCGGGTTTGCTTTTATCAGCTCGCAAAAAAAAAAAAAAAAAAAAAAAGATAATACTAATAATAATGATAGTAGTAGTAGTAGTAGTAGTAGTAGTAGTAGTAATAAAAAGAACGGCGGCGGCGTAGTTATAAAATGAACTGCTCTATATCCATAAAGGGAATGGTGAATGCCAATGCGGAGGGAAACCGAAGACAGATGCAACTTTTTCTCATTCCTTGAAGTAGAATAACAGGTGAAGACGTGTCAATTGGAAGTAAGACGAAAAGAGTTGAATGGTTGTGAACCGACAGATATCTATCATTGGATGGGCATATGATGATTGAAAACATTAGCATGGGTGAAGATATGTAATATGTATGTGCAGATAGGATGTGAGCCGGTGGCTTGAGGTATGCGTCGAGATGTGAGGTAGGTTTGGTTCAAATATACGATTGGGGAGCGAGTCGTTGGTCTGCTGCCCCTCCTTCATTTATAACATTCGTTAATTTATAGAATCACGCACGGTCCTTTCCGTTTCGTCTTCTGTCGTCGTTCTCGCTTGCGATCAGGTCGATTCGTATTTTCCCGCTTGGGTGGTTCGTCGCGACCCTTGGAGTTGCCCTGCAGGTCCTTTCGGATGATCTGTCGGCAGAGGTCAATGAAGACCTCGTTGACGTTGGCTCGTCGGCGAGCCGATGTCTCATAGTAAGGAGCGTTGCCCCAGCTCTGGGAGAGGGCAAAGGCGCGAGCACGGGGCACCGCGCGGTCCTCCTCCAGGTCGGATTTATTACCTACGATGACGATGGGGACTTTCTCGTCATCCTTGATGCGGATGATCTGTTCTCGTAATTCGGACAGCTCGTTCAACGAGGACATGCTCGTAATGGAAAATACCAGGAGAAACCCTTGGCCCTGTTTCATGTAAAGCTCTCTGTGAGTCAGGGTTAGCATGCGGGTCTGAAAAGGAAGTGAGTGGTTATGTGTCAGTCCTATAGCCGCAGGAGTGGATCCCCCCGGTGGACTGAAGAAGTGGGACGGATTGCTGATTTACCTCATGGCAGCTAGGGCTGTGTTAGTGGGAAAGACAGAGCCGTACTGTTGCAGGGAGACTTACTAAATTGTTCTGTTCCTGCAGTGTCAAGAATTTCTAGAATGCATTGTCGCCCCTATGGCAAATCAGCAACACGGATGACATGTGTGGTAACATGATCCACTTACGTCTACCTCGATCTGTTTGCGATATGAATCTTCGATCGTCGGGTCATAGCTCTCAATCCACACATTTTGGACGAATTGAGCTGCACGGTGTAAGTGACCATTATCTCCCAGGACGGGATGACCCCTGAGTCAGGTCCATCGACGAGTCAGAGGGTATATACCAGTAAGACAACTCTTTCCCACTCCACCTGTTGCGCACGAAATAGCAGATATCAGCGATAGACCTCAGCTATCTTCAATTGTCAGATGATGCCTACCAGCGCCGAGCACGACAATATGGTATTCCCGTCTGTATCGAGTGAAGCCATTAGCATCCGGCGCGCGCGCACGAAGTTCAGGGTCAAGGGACCCATATTGGGGAAGACGTACTGCGGCCGCATTGAAACAGCAATTGTAGTTCCCACTCAATCAACTGAAGTTATTCGATAAAATTTGGGCGCCTCGAACGGACCGGGACGATGCGATACTTGGTTCAATCGACCTCTTCCAACACAATCTTTGCTGGACCGTATTCTCCTAAATTTCCACCAAAGCGTATGATGCGACGATGCAATTCACGCAAACCAGCCAGATCAGATGAGTAGATAAAGGGTACACTTCGTTAGATTCGTGTCTCGTGAACAACCAAAGATCTCGGTGATGAATCGCGATTTCAAGCAATGGGATGGTCTGATACTGGGTCCCTTTGGGGGCGGGGGTGGGCTGGAAGAGCAACGGCAGCGATAACGCGATGCGTTACATCGGTCACAATGCCAATGCCAACCAATGCCGCGGAGGGAGGGGAGGAGGAGGGGGAATTGGGGATACTATGCAGGTCGTGGAATTGACAGCGCCACCGGGACCTGAGGCAATCACTTGGACTCGAGTGAAGGGTCAAAGGGGGTCGGAGAAGGCGAGCGCAGGAAAAACGGTTGATGTCAACAGAAATTCGGGTGGATTTCCGGAGACTAAAGACCGAAATAGAAGCTAAGTCAGCGCGCGGTTGTGGGGAGTTTTTTTTTTTTTTTTTTTTTTTTTTTTTTATGAGGAATTGCCAAAGGGTGGAAAGGATCCGAGTCGGAGGGTTCATGTCAAAGAGAAAAAAAGAAATACAAATAAAAATAACAATACCATGAAGGATGGATCAAATGAAATAAATGAAATAGTACAAAAAAAAAATGGTACATAATTCCCTCTTTTTGATCTTTTGTTTTCTGTTTTAATTTTGTTTTAACCCTGAGGTTTCATCTGATTCAATTGGGTTCCAATCCCTTGTTGTATCTTTTTGTTCATTTTGGGAGCCAACTTAACGTGTGTAGTTTCTTTTACCTTTTTTCTTTTTCTTGTTAATTTTTTGATATCCCTCTGTCCCTCACGGTTTCCTTTTCTTTTCCCTTTTTTTTTCACGTTGTCAACATTCGAAGCGGTGTGAGTGAAAAGAAATAATAATAATAATCAGTTTTGAACAAAATAAATAAATAAATCAAATCAAAAAGAGGCTTCCCAAATGTGCGCAACAATTGGCACGAAAACCTTAAGCCAGCAGTGGTTAAACCTGGAAAGGATTAACTCTCGTGGGACTTTCCTCAATCAATCCGCTGCCCAGTCCGATAAAGGTTTAGAGAACCCTAGGAAAACCCCCTTTAGTACTCCAGTCCCAGTGGTTTGGGATTTCCATTATTCCCTTTTGGGCTCATTCAGGTCGGGAACGAAAATAAATAAAAAATCAGAAACGAAATAAAATCCACCATCCGTGTTCAAGGGGGCTGGTGAATACCATCAATGGATCACCAAGGGAGAGAGAGAGGATCAAAACGGGGGGGAAAGAAAATACTAAGCCAACAAACAATCTATAAAAATTCAAAGAAAGCAAAAGCAAAATGGAAAAAAAAATAAAATAAAAATAAAAAATAAAAAGACATAAAACGAAAACAAGGAATGAACACTATCTATGGAATGTTTGCGGTCTCCTTTCGTCTTCTTCGTCTTCGTCTTCCTGTAGATAGTCCAGGTGGTTGGATCCTGGAGAACAAATAGTCATCATGTTCTCCAAATCAAGGTCACCCCCAGCCCCGATCGAGGGGGAAAAACCAAAGAGTTCCCACCAGAGTATCTGCAGGCGACGAAGGGAAAGCAACGAATTGTCCGACTCGGCCATAGCTCGGATTGCCAATCATTGGAGGTGAGGGTGATGGTCCTGATGATCTGCTTTCGGGGCTCCATCCCACCATTCCCAACCTGACCGACTGACCAAAAAAGTTCGAATGGACTATTGAAGAAAATGGGATACCGGACGAGAAAACAACAAACGCCCAAAAATGAAAAGAGTGAACAACGTACCAGAGCATGTATGAGTCAACCCGTTATCCTGTCAAAACAAATCAATATAGATCTCGCAGGGATCCCTTGATGGACGACGGGAAGGCATTTAGTTCTCAGAAATATAGAAACCTACAAGGGGGAGTCGGAATCAACCGTCGAGATATAACAACGTCCCATTAGCCTATGACTCCCTTTCTTCCCCCCTCCCCCTTCTCCGTTCCTCCGTAGATCCTGAAACGCTCTCCGTCCCCTGACCAATCGCTTAAACTACACGGTTTACTTTTACCTGTCACCTTGTTTCCAACCCCTCGGCTCTCCTACACCAAAAAAAGAAACCCACCTTTCCTTCCTCCCGGATGAGTGGAACGGGATCCGGTCCAAAGACTGGGCCACCGTACGCTGTCAGGCACCAAACAAACCAATGGCCAGACTCTTGACTGGGACATCCAGGGGGCGACGATGGGGCGCAAGAAGTACGACGCAGTGTCCATGTGATGGACCGGTCGATAGGTCCAACGGGAAGCATTTCCAGGAGGCAAACTCAACGACATATGTAACGTGATATGAGAAGGGGGCGTTGGCTCTGACCAGTAGTCTAAATGAATGCCAGCACGTCAGTTCGACCTGAAATCAATGTATCACATTCGACGGCCCACACACTGTGTGTCAAGCGAGGTCGACCGGCGTGCGACTGGTCATGGCCTACTTCTATTGTGTGGATGATATCATAATATGAGATACTATAGCAGCCTCGACTTACGGGCTGTACGACAAACGGCCCATGGCGGTCACCATATGTGTTCAGGAACGAAGAAAGAAAAGGAGAACCAAAAAGGAGGTATGAGCGCTAACGTGAAGGTATTAACATACACCATTATAGACAAACCAACCTCAGTCCGGATACGCGCCGGTATATACTTTGCACGAATCATAACTCATGCTATCTAATGCATCTCTATCCCCTAAATCGCGATCGCATGCCCCGCATCTCCGTTAATCAGGCCCGTCATCGCCGCCTCAAGCTGGCTGATGCCGCTGTACCGTTCGAGAGCCTCGAAGACATGGCTGAACACCTGTTGCTCTACGTCCACCGCCCACAAGAAATCAAGATGTTCGTACTTCGGGATGATCTTGGCCGTGGTCCCGCGTGGCAGCTCCTTCAGCATCACGTTAATATCCACGAGGCTGTCATTGCCTCCGTACAGTAGCACAATGGGCGTCTTGATGTTCTTGGTAGGGTACTTGACCGGCTTGTAAAATCGCTCGCTAGCGACAACGCTGAAGGGGGCGTGAATCTCGTCGTCGTAGAATTGAAAATTTTTGTGTCGGATGATCTGAAACCAATGAACTACGGATTTGGTGCTGGTGAAGGAGAATAGATGTAGGTATCCCGCTAGCTTTTGCCAGCGACTGATGTTCCGGCATTTCCAATTGAAGAGTCCGTCAAGGCACTTGTCGATGATTTGAACGAAGATAGGCGGGTAGAGGACCGTCTGCCACATCGTTGTCGAACTGAGGATGCTACGTCGGCCGAAGAGAAGGAACAAGAAATTCGGTGAGGCCTTCATCAGTGAGTCAACGAAATGGTTTGGCAAGCCCGTAGGCGCCATTGCGGGCGCAAGAGCCACGAAAACATCGACCTTCTGGTTCAGCAGCGGGTGGATAGAGAGTGTCGCGAAGGCTTGGGCGGTGCCCTGCGAGAACCCAACATACGACAGAGAAGGCTGGCCCGTGACTTCCAGAATATAATTTATGCTGTCGGGAATATCGTGAAACGCAAACTGATCGATGGAGAAGTCCCAGAACTCGTTAGACCCGGGCGAAAACCGCACGGACTTCTTCGAGTACTTGTTGCCGCGATTGTTTCCAAACCACACGTCATAGCCCCTTTCCACTAATTGAAAGGGAAGACACCGTTGTTCTTCTGACAAACATACCCAAACCTCACTGCACATCATGAGCCCATGGTGGAGGAAGACGACCTTCTTCCGAACGCCCCCTTTTCCTTGATTGACGCGCATCTTCTCCTCGCCTCTCCGGTAGGCCAAGCGGTGGAGGCCGAGCAAGTAGCCATCGCCGGTCTGGACAATATGCTCCTCAGTCTGATAACCGAACAAAGCGCATATATCTACAAAGTCGGAGGCCTGTGCGACTGCGGCGGCGATCCGTTCTTCTTTACTGCGCTTGCCTTCATCCTCAGGAGTTATAAATAGGTTGAAGATGGTTTTCGACCGGTCGTAAAAGAACTTGATTACCGTTTCAGCTGTATGAGGTTAACGAATAATTTGAGAACATCAACGCGACTCCTCTAACTTACGAAGACAAAATGTAATAATATGTATGATCCATTCCAGCAATACCAGAACCAAAGAAGCGAACAGAGCCAGATATTCAAACCAAAACAGTCGACCAATCACAGGCATGCGCGCCATGATGAGCGGCTTATACCTGAATCTTTAGTATAAGTATAGAAGGGTAACGAGTCTATCGCACTACCCGAGGCCTGAACTCCATCATGGGGGAAGAGGCAGAAATGCGCCAGGAAGCGAAATAAATGAAAATCTCCGAAACGCCCCCAGCAAAAGAAATTCCAAGAAAAGGAAACGCTCAGACGTCATTAGCATTTTCATGTGATAGCTGCTTATCTAATCCGGGGATGGCCCCATTTTTGCCTTCTTTTCCTGGAGTCTAATTTTGCGCCGGACAAGTGATTGGCAGGTCTTCCTTCCTCTGCCTTGTCGGCTGGTCTCCTACCTATAAGCAAAATGCCGAACTCCTGCAAAGACATCCGTGAGTACCAGCCAGCTCTCTCAATTATCGAGCCATTCGGGGTGACCGACCGTCGCTTCCGAGACCAAACCCCGAATCTCATGCTTAGCCTGCGGCCAACTTATTACCCTCCGCGATTGGAAAGGTTCCCCCTAGTCTAACCATGCTTTGATATCACCTTACAGGCGATGCATTGGCTCAATGCCTCCAGGAATCCGACTGTATCATGGTCCAGCGCCACACGCCCCGTGAATGTTTGAGCGAGCCGCTAGTTGACACACTGCCCATGCGATGCCAACAGCTGCGGAAAGGGTTCGGCGAGTGCAAGTGAGTCATATATACTTTCGATGGAAGACCTCTACAATGCCGAAACCAGGCCTAACTTGCAATCTTCATCCAGGCGGGGTTTGATCGATATGCGCAAGCGATTCCGCGGAAACCAGCCACTCGCCGGCGCCAGCGAAATGGAAGGCGGGAAGCGGAACAAGCCTGAGCAGCTATATGCTGGGAAGCCTGCCTTTGAGTCCGTCAAAGAGATTAGTGGGGATGAGGTCCAGATGGATCCCGAGAAGACAAGGGGCCTGTGAGGGGATGTTTCGATGCTGCCTCAGTACTGAAACCCACCGTTCCCTATCTCAAGTCGTTGACTATAGCTGGACTTTTGCAATTTTGTTCTCTTGGCATGGTTTGGAGTTTGTGGAGGGACTTGTACGATTATAGACCTCATGATTCCGGTGTACGATCTACTGTACATACTAGGTAAATTGATATTCACCGCTACCAACAGCTACTTGTTGGGGTGCAAAGTAGGCCAGATTGGTGTAGGGGTGCCCTGGAGCATACTACATGAGAGATAGCTCACCATCTGGAAAGATGGAGAGAGAGAGAGATAGGTTGTGATTTCGGATAGTAAACATTCATAAGTGCGAGCTTCAGCGGGTAAATTTTCAGTCGTAACTTTACATCTCCCCTGGCGCCAGTGCAAATAGATCACAAAAGAAATGCCTGCGCCACACATCCTGCTACCTTTAGTCTGATATCCGCTCTACATGCTTAACTCGGCCATCCTGAGAAGTCGTTCGTCCTGTTCCTTGGATCCACCCTTTGCGAATGCTTGGTAGCGTCGAATAGCAGCCTGACGGTGGCTGTCGTTCTCAAATATACATCCATCCTTTCTAGAGAGCAAACCCCCAACCGCTTCCGAGTTACAGTCAATAGCGGAGTTCAATGGGCACCCACAGAAACAGGAGTGGATCTCATAGCAGGGGTTATCACATTTGTGACCACATCGCATCTGTCGACCACAGACCTCAATGCACTTGACTTGATCATGGGAGAGACTAGAAACCCACACGGTCAGTACTACTATCTAGTTTCTTGGACGGTTCGCGCAGCTTCAGGTACCTATGGCATGATAGAGGACATCTGTGTCCACAGCCTAGACGCTCGTAACATGAGAGGTCACAGCCTCCGTAGGCAGTGTCCCAATCAGAAGGATCTGTTGACATTTGCCATGAGAAAAATCCGCTAAAGAGGGCATAGCAAGCACAGACCTTTCTTGTATATCACATTTTCATGCTTGGTGCATGTTAAAGGTAGATAAAAACCAAGCCTTCGTTTTGGATTCTTGCCCCCCATGAGGGTGACAACTTGCCACCAGAGGGAATCCGCATCAGCAAGCGTCGTTGAGTCTCCAAAGATATAAAAGCCGTTTCTAGCACGCGAAAGCGCAACGCAGACCCTGTTCTCTATAGATAAAAACCCGATGGTAGGCCGGCCGCTTCTCACCAGCGATAGAATCACTACCTCGTTTTCTTCTCCCTGAAACGAATCAACCGTCGCAACGTTCACATACTGACCCTGGAGATAGGAATTCTCCTTGAATAGCTTGAGCAGCTTCTTTCTCTGGCCATTATAAAATGTCAGAACGGTTATATCCTTGACCGCAACACCGTTGAGCACCAGGTGCATGAAGAATCCTAGAATCATTTCCGCCTCCTTCTCATTGTACTTCGAAGATAAGCTGTCATTGCTTTCTGGCCAATTGTGGGAAAAGAAATATGATCGTACATTCCCCATTCCTGGCACTTTGGGGCGTTCAAGAACTGACTCGTGATCATGAAGCTCGCCGTAAATGGGTTCCAGCAATCGTCGTATCTCTGGCACCATCCGCCTCTGTCTTCTAAGAGTCTCGTATTGAATCCCGTTATTCACGAGCCTTTCGAACATTGAGATGTCCAGGAAGAACGGTTCACCCTGAAGGTCCTGTACCGAGCAACTTCCCCTGAGTTGTTGGTGATCTCCCACAAGGATCATATGCTGAAGAGAATCGAGGCACGCCGCTGCTATCGGTGCTTCGATGGCTTCGGCTGCTTCTTCTATCAGAACAACCTTCGGTTTTAAGCTTGATACAAGAGCTCGGTACTTGCTAAGGCCCGTTGTTGTCATCCCAATCAGCTTGGCATACCGGAGGAGATGATTGTCCCGTTCCCACTTTCCTATGCGGAGGTCTTTGCAATTGTTTGTATTGAGTGTAACCAAGCTTTGAAACTTCCGCCTGATTTTATCCTTGAGCAGTTTTCGAAGAGTATTATATACTCCTCCACGTGCTTTGACGGGTATCTTCCACAGGTCGGGTTCCATCAGATACTTCTGGCTAGCTTCTTCAGAGGCCGAAGTACTTTGTCCGCAGAGTCTTTCTCGGAGACAAATGAACGGACCCTTGAGAACTTCACGGTCCTCCTCTTCAATCCCTTGCTCGGCTTCTAATTCTTTAAGTTGTTCATACTCCAGATCAATCTCGTCTTCATCGAAGCCGAAGTTCTCGGTTGAGTAGTGTACTTCGAATGGAACCACTTGCTCTCCAAGCCAAGCTATCAAGGGATTGCCATCTTCTTCATCATTGGGTCGTATCCAGCCCTTTGCCCCCTTCTCGAGAGAGTCACATTGTGTCGCAGTCAGTAGGCCATACTTTGTGAAAAGCTCAGGCGGAAGAAGACCGCCATCGTTCTCGACACTGAAGTTCTGCAAGAGATCAGCAATCGTGTGATAATATTTATTGTATCGCCTTTGGGCCTGTCCAAGAACACTGCCTTGTATGGTAGCAATGGGTTCATTTTGTCGGACTTCAAAAAGGGTACGCTTTTTTATCTCAGGGTCATTACTTCTGCCGCCCAAGCGAATATACTCCCTCTCAAAGCGAGAAATGTGCCTCAGGAGCTGATCCAGAGCATGGTTTGTCTGCGAGGCGATGATTATAGGCGGATCTCCTGGGTTCATGTTGGAGAGCAAAATCCTCAACGCAATTACAGAGACGAATGTTTTGCCGGTTCCTGGGGGCCCTTGGATAACGGCAAGGCTTTTTGTAAGCATTTGCTCCAAAGCCCTCCATTGAGTGTCATCCAGATCACCAGTTGGGTACTTAGGCCAGTATTCTAGAATATTAATTTTGCCTTCTTCTCCAGATGGACTGATAGCGGACTGTATGTCCATGACTGGGCCTGCTTTGACATACTCGGGAGTTTCCGTATTAGGGTGGAGTAAGCAGATTTGTTCGGCGAGTGGAAACCTGTTGAACTGTTAGTAGCTACGTTCGGTTTCAATACTCTTAGCAGGATGGAAAACTTGCTTTTCTCGGCTCATTTTCTGCAAAGCTGTCATCGTATGTCTCATGGACTCGAAGTAGCCATCTTTGGCCTCAACCATGATCCATTCCTGATGTGGATCGAACTCTGCATCCACAGACCGCGCGAAATAAATATCGATCTCTGGAGGGAATTGCTTTACACCATTTAGTGGCCGGGCTGCCACGACAGCAATAACACATTTACTTCTGAACGAATCAACCGCTGGAGAAAGTGCAACAATGGTGCCTGTCCGTAGCCGGTTAGAATATTCCCAGACAATGTTTTTTCCCGATCTAATGGTCGAAAACTGGATTCGAGTCGCCACGCCTTGTTGTGTAAATGTAATACCTACAATATGTACCTAGAGCCACATGATTCAGATAATCCCTCAATGAAGCTGAGCGAGAAAGAGGTACAAACCTTCTCGTAGATAGATACGATATTCGTCTCTTGCATCTCTGGATCCTCTCGCACGTACGCTACAGCGTCCCGTAGGGGAGCAACTGAGTCTTCTCTAAGCAACTCATAGTGGGCTTTCAGATACTCGTTCTTCGAGCTCCAGGGACCTACGATCCGATTTGGCAGCAGATCAACGAATTCGGTCTCAGATCCAGTTCCCATTATCTCATCAGGTGACGGAATTTCTGGTTTCAGAAGCCACTGCTGGGAATTATTGAGGACTGCCTCGGCAAAGTAAGCTTTGACATCTTGGTTGACGGGGACAACGGGGTGAACTGTTGGTTTCGTGGGTTGCTTATGAAGCGACCCGTTACTAAGAATACGGGAGCCACTCGATGGCTTCATGTTTTAGAGCCTGTCACTAAGAGTTCAGTGAGTTGTTGGTAATGAAGGTGGTGGTGATTCAAGGTAAGTTTTGAGGGAAACGAGAATGAGAAACTGAGGTTGACTCGTTTGCACTCTCCCAAATAGGTAGGCAGTTCAGGAACCCACACGAAAAGCAGGGAGCTTAGAGCGTTGACCCCCGGGTTATGTACTAGTGAACATTCTTTTTTCGATCTATTTTTCTCAGTAGAGAGTCCAATTCAATGTTAAAGGACAGTCGTTTAAGACTGCTCAATTCACTAAGTTGAGGAGCTTTATCGGAATCTTCCGAATCAGCCTTCAATCTAGCGTGAAAAGAGGAGATCACAACCGGAATTCATTCCTAATAGCAAAGCTCTTCCAGGGGATTCTGCTCGTTTCAGAAGAAAAGACAGGTCCTGTTCAAAGGACGCTATCGCTTGCCATACTCTTCCCCATCGAGTCATTTCTTTCACAGTGCTCTCGGATGCACACCGGCTGTTATGGTAAATAACAGAGTATACCTACATGTACAAAGTTCAATAGAGACATAAACTGTAAGAGACTTGAATTATCACGGTCTGAGAGGTGGAATTCTGCTTAATCAGTGGTCGACCACTTTAGTTGCTACTAGTATGGCATAATCACGACTATTTGTTCTTGTATGGACAGTCATGTTACGAGTCGCTAAGCAATCTGCCCAAAAAATAATTCAAATAATTTTCTTTTTCTTTTGTTTCTATCTTCTTTTCATTCTTTTCCTTCTTTTCCCATAAGCAATAAATTTTGTTGTAGAGGGGCATCCGCATCCAATGTTGTTACAACATACTATGATTTAGATGTATGATATGACGCTAACTAGATATGGATAGGTGTTTCCGCCTCAGGCACAAGGTGGGCGGGCAACGTGACTGAAGCCGGGGAAAGAACGATAAACGGATTTGGAGATAAAGAAAGGCGTCTTGCCGATTCCAGTATACACCCTCGCGCCGCAATACCATAGCTTCTGCCTTGATAACCCTGGGCGCAACATATGTGCGACTGAATTTCCTGCCTATTTCCCATCGTCTAAAGTCAGTGCGAGCTATCAAGCCATGAACCCTTGAAGTGCGGAGGCTCCCACCGAGAGATGGGCCATTGAGATAGAGCTCTTTGTTCGCTACTTATATATACACCTTATATGATATAACTTTCAGCTTCGAGATCGCATGCTCTAGAAGAACCGGGCCTTGAACTTTTACCGCTTGAGACAATGGCTTCGCTCGGGGAAGATGATGATGACAGAGATCTTGCAGGTGAGCTTCCCCTGTAACACCATTAACGATAGTTGCAGCAGCCTAATGATTTGGGCGATACATAGGCTCGCAAGATGGTAGCTCCGATAATGAAATGGACGACACTCTCCGGGATGCTGACGATGGTGGCAATGACAATGACAACGATAACGACAACGAGGCCGACGCCGACGATGACGCTGATCAAGACGCAGATGGCCAGTCAAATGCCAGTCACGTATCGGATAGCGCTGGTGTACCCCAACCAAATACTGATGTTGAAATGACTACGACCGGCCCAGTGAACATTGTACATGATTCAGTATCTGTGTATCATCCTCCAGTCCGGCCCAAATGTCTCACTGCCTCTACCTACGATATAGTTCCTACGACGGCTGCGCCCCACAGTACATCGATTAATGCAGTGACGGCGACTGCAGACATGAGATGGGTATTTAGTGGCGGCTCGGATGGATACGTACGGAAGTTCAATTGGGTGGAGTCGATTAACAGCAAACTGATGTTAACTGTAGCGCAACGGCACCCCTTCGTGGACAGCGTGGTCAAGGCAGGCGTGGTGATGACATACTGGGAAAACATGGACGGCAACACTCTGTCACCGGTGTATTCTCTGGCTAGCCATAGTGAGGGTTTGTGGTTACTGTCTGGCTTGGAGTCGGGTGCCATTCGCCTACAATCTGTCCGTCATGACGAAGGCAAGGAGATTGCGTTACTACAACAACATACTTCAGCCGTGTCAGTGTTGAACCTGACATCTGATGAGAAATCATTATTGTCCGGAAGTTGGGATAAGCGAGTCTTTGACTGGGACCTGAACACGGGCCAGACTAGGCGCTCATTTGGATCCAGTGCCAGACAGATATCGGCCATTGACTTACGGCCAGAATCTAGCCTTCCAGTTCCTAAGGATACTGAGACACCCCTTCCTAATGGGACTTACTCGTCGAATTACCAGGCAAGTGGTGGTAATAGCTTCGACTTCATGGATACGTCGAACGACCAAGGCGGTGTTGGCGACTCATCAAACCCGCAGGCGGGCTCACCGGCAGACTCACTTTTCGGTGGAGCGGACTCATTGTTCGGGGATGCAGATGGCACTGGAGGTGAAGGGGCAGGCGCGTCAGGGAATGCTTTTGGCATAGACGAGGATGATGAGTTTGGTAAAGCTCTGGCCAATGGCACCCTCCCCGACGCTGATGCACCCGGTGAGCCTGAGCCATCAGGTCAGCAAAATGGTGTTCCAGAAGCGCCAGCTTCAGTTGATACAAGAGCTCAAATAAAGGAGGAGGACGCGGCGCCCCAGCAACCAGAGACTCGCGAGTTAGAAGCCGCCGGTGCCTCGTCGCAGCCTGTTGTAAACGGCCTGCCCCACGCGGAGGAATTGGAAGCTGTGCCAGAGAGCCAAGATCTCAGCCAACAGACGCAGTCTGATAAGAACATATCCGATAACACCTTTCTGGCCGCATCCATAGATGGCACTATCCGAGTGTGGGACAGACGGCAACCGGACCCCATCGCTCGTATCTCGCCTCGCAATTCTCCGCCCTGGTGCATGAATGCATGCTGGTCTCCAGACGGCAATTATATCTACGCCGGCCGTCGAAATGGAACTGTGGAGGAATTCAGTCTTCACAAGGGCCTACGAGATCCCGAGCGGACTTTCAAATTCCCCCAGGGAAGTGGACCTGTTACGGCTCTCAGGGCGATGCCTAACGGGCGACATATAGTTTGGTAAGCCTTTGGCGATATTGATCGCATACGAAAAATAGAGAGTGAGCTAACCCCCACTTTCAGCGCCTCCCATGATATTCTTAGATTATATGACCTGAAACACGAGCAAGTCGCCCGTCACTCAACTGTCCCCTTTCTTATCATCCCAGGACATCGAACAGGAACTGTCTCACAGCTATACATCGATCAAGCGTGTCGGTTCATGGTTTCCACAAGTGGCAATAGAGGCTGGGAAGGAAGTACCACCGAAGTTTTATTGGGGTATGAGATCGGCGTTCCTCGATAGTCGGCTGTGGATCTGTACACTATCTGTATCTCTGGCATGCTTGTATGCGTGCTGTAGGGAATGCTTTGCTGTTTGGTGTAGTTTTAATGCATGTACCGGCGATATGTTAATGATAGCGCTGTGTTGAGTCATGTTAAGACACGACTGATGAGTTATACTATGATATCATCTCAGATTTAATGTTCGGAAATACCTGAATGAATCTACTAGTAGTATCGTGTATTGGCATGTAGCTCCGTATATGCAACCAATAAAGAAGAAAAGTACAATATGCTACATCATCCCTATAAAACCACCAACACCAACCAGATATGTCCAAGCCAAACAATAACCGTACCAACCAGAAAGCGATAAACAAAAATCAATCATAATCATAGCCCATAATCATCATGCACATCATCAAAATCAATCCCCTCACAAACATCATACTGTCCCGCCCTCCAAGGCCCAAACAACGAATTCCTCGACCAAGAAACATGTCCATCCTCATCATGCTCAAAGAAAACATACCCTGGCTGCTCCTCCCCAGCAGACTTCTCTACGCCCCAAGGCCCCGTAACCAAAGACCCAAACCCAGGCAGCGCCACATTCGGTACATGCCCACGAGCCTCAACCTGGCCCGCGCCCACATTATTAACAGTAACCAGATAAACGGGCGGGAGAGCCACATCCCGATCCGGGCGAAGCGGCATCGGAATCCACGCCTCGTTCATATACGACTCCGGCCTGTTCTTATCATGTCTGCCCGGTAATGGCCTGGAAAGAAGCATGGAGTCCAGTTTTGCCGTGTCGAGGAGTAACCCTGGTGTCTGGACGTAGAGAACGGAGTCGTACTGCATGAACTGGATCTGGCCGAGGCGGAGTAGCTTTGTATCTGTCGGGGTGTAGCCGGCGCTGGTGGCGGCTGTCATGTCGATGGGGAGGAGCCAGATGTTATATTTTAGGGAGGCTGTGCGGAGGAGGGAGAGCGCTGTTGAGACCTCGGTGGTGAGCTTGTGGGGTGGTGTTTGGTCCCATTCTTGGGGGTACATGAAGAGGCGGTCTTGAATTGCGGTGTTGTTTGTTGAGAGGGTTTTGAAGAAGAGGATTGCGGAGCAGATGTTTGAGGGGTCAGGCGTGGTAAGAAGTTGGAGATAGGCATAGTTGCCTGTTGGGTGGTCGTCATCGTCATTGGGGCTGTCTAGAAAGGTGGTGCGTTTTGTGTTGCCTCCATGGTGGGTGAGGCCGGGGATGGGATCTGGTGGTTGCGGGGGTTTGATGGCGTGTTGGATGCTGCGCACGGATTGTTGTTGGAGGACGTAGCCGGAGAGAAAGAGGACGAAGGTGAAAATGCAGATCACTCCCGAGGAGAGGATAACGGAGACCGTGGAGGAAGTTAGGAGGACCATTGCTGGTTACAGGGCTTTCTGCATTGGTATGTGGGACGTGGTGGTTGGATAGTTGATAGGGTATGTATGGATGACCTGTTGGTGTAGATGGTAAAAAAACCAGTATATGGGACACCGTTATACCACGACTGGGATGTATAGTCTTCTTGTTTAAATAGTAATATAGTAACTCGTAATCTCGTCTATCATGCAACTCATACGTCAAAATCCAGCAGATGAAGATCAATCGATCGCTCAAACCTGTTTCATCTCGTGTTTACAGCCAACCCGTTGGCGGTGCGACTATCGATAAGGACCAGTCTTGGCAGAATCCCGACCGCCAAGACAATCGCCTCAACTCCGATATCATTCAGTTCAATCTTTCATCTGCATCATTATTTCTCCGCAAATCCTTCACCTCACCTACCAATCCACCCCGGAAACCATGGCATCCCACCGCGCCGATGCCAGTTCCCTTCTCGACAACCGCGGCTACACCGGTCCATTAGTGCGCGGTGTCAATCCAGCCACTCTTTTCGAAAAAGCCGTGCGCGACCGTATCACGGACTCCTACTACTGGAAAGAACAATGTTTCGGATTGAACGCAGCGACGCTGTGCGATCGCGCGGTTGAGCTGACATCCATCGGAGGAACGTACGGCGTTTCCGAGAAGCCCACACCATTCCTCTGTCTCGCATTCAAGATGCTGCAACTAAACCCGGACCGGGATATCGTACTGGAGTACCTAAATTTCACCGACCCGGTCAACGACGAGGAAGGGGAGCAGACAGCAACGGAGCAAGCTGAGAATGGCGTGGTCAAACAACAAGGTGATTTTAAGTACCTGCGGGCTTTGGCGGCGTTTTACGTTCGCTTGACTTTCGACGCGGTGGATGTGTATAAAACGCTAGAACCGCTGCTTCTTGACTATCGGAAATTGAAACGGCGCGTACGCGATTCGGTCGTTCTTACGTATGTGGATCAATTTGTCGATGATCTCCTCACTAAGGATCGTGTGTGTGGTACGAGTTTGTGGAAGTTGCCTTCGCGACAGCAATTGGAGGATTTGGACCTCCTGGAGGAACGAGTCAGCCCGCTGGCCGCTGAGTTGGAAGAGATGGACAACGAAGAAGACAAGAGTGAGGAGGGTCAGGCTAGTGATGCTCGGTCAGCTGATGATGCCGGTGATGATTGAGATGGCCACCGGCTAGCTGCGAACGTCCTTTGGCTCTGCCAAATAATATATTGGTGTTGAGCTTCTTATTGCCGGCTCGGTCTCAGAGGCTACGGCTACTCGTGCAAACTCATGACAGTTTCCGGTGAGCAGTCGTTTTCATTGAGCCACTCACATCCCTTTAATAGGCGTGGTTCTCATTTGACCCCGCTACCTTACGTGCCCTGATAGGGCAACGATCGAATATCCTCGAGCGCCGTGACACAGACGCCCACGGAATTCTTGTCATCCTCTTCCAAATGGACTTGACTGTATGGAGACATCTACTACGGGAGAATGGGGCTCTACCTTGGGAGTTAGGAATTGGAAAAACGGCATTGCTGCTTGAGCATAGTACCAGTTTTGGTTACAATCTGCAGCATTCGGAGATACCCCATCATCTTTGCTACTCAATTGTAAAACATATGTTTATTTCACTTGCTGATTATCTCAATTGTACCATGTTCGTAAATTACTTAGAACGCAAATAAATAATCTCAATGTGGCTGCCTGGCCCAGTATCACCGAAACGGTGCAAATCAGAAACCATATCGGGGAATACGGATTGGGAAGAGCTTATGAGCAAATGGTACTAGAAGCCTTGTTGGCAATGCCACTTTTCCTGCCAATTTTGATACCATGGGCTATCATCCAATGTAGCTACCTCCCAACCACTGGGAACGAGCTCATTCTCCTCTTGTTCTTTTGCCCATTCTTCAAACTTGGGCAGTACAACATGCTCCACGTGCCATGTACCCTTGTACTCCAGTATATTCTTCTTGCCCTCCTTCAAGACCTTGGTTATCAATGCGGGCACGCCAGGTTCGTCCCGGAATTCGGTCACAGGTGTGAAGAGTGCCTTGAAGTTGAATACGATAGCCCCAGAAATGGGAAGGCGGCGGAGTGTTTGCCAATCTACTCTGAGATAGCAGTCCTCTAGTTGAAGATTGGGATCTTGGTACAGTCGGAGTTTCTCGTGGGGGTCCCCTTTAGGCATATACAAAGGCTGCCCGACTTCAAGACCCCAGGATCCTCTTTGTATCGGTTTGTCGGTCGGCATTTTGGTGAAAAACCTGCGTGATTATCTGTGAGTAAACAGTGGCCGAGACATTCTGGCATGATACACACCGATCCATGGAGAACTGCATCTTCTCCCTGTAATCTGGAACTGAGCCATGGATATGATGAAGCTGAAGTCCGATCTTGGTGGCGACATTCCACCCCAAAGCAGAACAGATGACTCCGGCACGTAAAAAATAGTTACCCGTTGTGTCATCACGTAGCATCACGCCGAAGTCCTCGGGTACGTTGTCGAGCAGTACCTCAAGGGGATGCTTGGATCTAACGTCCTGCTCTACTCCCAATATCCTATTTTGTAGGATGCGTCTGTCCACTAGAGAGAAGTATTGCGGATACCGGGCGCAGATGAATTGCAGGACCATTTCCATGAGTTCTTTACAAGCCAGCTCTGATCCTGGGAGCCAGCCCAGGACCGCATCCCCATGCCTTGCATACAAGTCCTTCCGTTGCGCAATCCGCTGTTTGTAGGTATTCTCAAGCTCTATCCACCAATCCGTTTCTAGCTTTGTCAATGCTGCCATGGTTGTCAATTGCACAAGTTATGTGGCGGCACTCGTAGTCAGAAATGAGCAAACGTACACATTGTCTGGTGGTAACCCCATCTAAACGGACGATATGGCCTAGGTAGCGCTTTTTCAATCTCGAACTCGGGATACGCCTGAGGCAAGGGCACACCGCTGAGTTTCGCATAGTCTGGAAAGTCCCCTAAGGCCTTGACTTCAGCTATTGAAAATCCCGTTGGTGTGTACCTGTCTTCCTCGCAGGTCCTATAGTCCGTGGTCATGGGAAGGATGTGCTTGAGAACGTTCTCTTCGCTGGCCTCACTCCTTCCTGTCACAAATTCCGGGAATGCAGTGAGTGTCTGACCGTTCTGAGGTGGTAAAACATTCGCATACTGCGTTGGTCTCTTCTCCGGTGTTATCGACTGTGGTGGCGTGACACTTCGAGGGCTGTAAAGTCTTGACCAAAGCCAAACTGGTTTGTGCTGCAACCTACTCAAAGCAAAGCATAGCCCAGCTAGTCCGAACACAGTGACGCAGACCAACCACCGATTATCCAGTTGATCGAATGTGTCCATGATGCTCCCTAAAATACGGTATGGCGCAGTAAGAGAACATATATGAATATTTTCGCTATTGCAGGCTCGAATAGTGCGAAGTCACATCTGTATCGTATCTCGTACGTAGACTCGAATATCGTGTGTCCAGGTATGGATGCTAGAGACATGACCATGAAGGCCCAGGGGGAATTAACCTTGATTTAATACCCTAAGGCAGATATGTGATCATCACTGAAATCAGAGATTGGCGGGATTCGCGGCTAGTTTGGGTGTGCCATGCAGAATCTGCAGCCTCTCAGGAGCAATGTAACCGAGTGTTTTTACTTTGTTCGGTGCGGAGATGCGGGTAAAGATAAGGATACCCTCTCGTATCGAGTACTTCGATGCGATAGACCTGAGAGGGGAGTGCAGTGCTTCTGAGAAGGTGTGAGGAGCCAATCCTCGGCGTCATAGAACTAAGCGGACGTAATATTAGAGGCCTGTTTCACCGACCTATGCCACACATCCACTGGCTACAGATCGTTCTACATTTGTATGTAGCATCGGAGTAGCCCGAGATGTAGGCACGTGCCCCATGATGTAAGGTAGATGCTCCCTTCATGTGAACATGCCATATCAAAAGCGGCAGTACGTCGTAAATCGTCTAAAGTCATTTAGCCCAGCTTTCCATAGTCTCAGTATTTCGTTCCGAAGCATAGATGAGGGGTCTGACCTACCATGAGATAAGTGGCAATAGATAATGATCAACCATGAAAATGGTCCTCCAGTAATATTGAGTTGATACAGAATGCGAGGGGATAAATTGCGAACAGAAATGACGGAAGGAGGAAAGAAAGTGCGCACCTCCGCATTTCCCGGAAAGGGAAAAGTATCCATCATCATGTGTCCAAGGTATGGCTTAGTCACAGCCCTATATGCATTCATATACGTGTCTATAAAGCTATTGAGATATCCTTATGCTAACCAGAAAGCTTTCCATTCAATGAAATGGTCAGCGGAGAGCTTAGGATTTCTCTGCGCAAACTAGATCTTTTTATCTCAGAGAGAACATTGAACATCGGCATTGGCTCCTACCTGCATTATCACCAAAATGTCGTGCCTTCCTACTAAATTAGTACTCCAGGACATGTAACAAATCTATTCTATATCACAGTCACGCGCTAACTGGTTTCCAAAAAGCGAAGATTGGCGTCACACATTCGCTTGGCCTTGTAAAAATCACCGAAAAGCAACATACATGTGGATCCGTCCGTGGAAACATACGATGCCACGACCACGAAACGACAGGAGGATCCTGATCTGTACTGTCCTGGCACTAGCCCAAAAGGTGAATACCGCGTTGGCACTGCCCATTTCTGGTCATGGGTCAGTTAGATTCACGCTGTCCCATTCGACGTGACTTCTAGTACGCCCGCTAGAACGTTCTAGGTCGTGAAGAATAAACAAGATGCCTAGATATCCAAGGAAGGCTGTAGCCATCAATTGTTGTCTTCATATTGGAGATATCTCTCAATGCTCCAATGGCCCATAGCCTTGATGATGTCCAGAGGTGTTTGGCCATTGGCGTCTCTAAGGCGTAAAATAGCCCCGTTCTCAAGCAGCACCGCAAAAGTATCGGGTGTCGACTGTCTTGCTGCCATGTGCAGCGGCGTTTCGCCATTATTAGCGAATACATGAAGATTGAATGTGTCTTGAGAAAGTAGAAGATTTACAACTTCAGCCGAATTGTCTCGGGCTGCGTAGTGTAGCTCGGTCATTCCACTTTCCCCTGGGATGTTTGTCTCGATTCCGCGCTCTAGAAGAAACTGAACAACTTCATAGGAGCCATGAGAGCAAGCTTTATGGAAGGCAGTCTCATTCTGAGCGTTTCTGATGTTCATATCAATGCCGGCCTCAATCAGTATACGAACCATAACGGTCTGACGATTCCGGTTCTCCCAGAGTCGAGCCGCTCGAAAAAGAGCCGTTTCACCTTTAAAGTCCTGCAGAGAGAGCAGATGGGCATACTTTTCCACCAAAAGCTCTAGCACATCTGGCTCGTCATTCCGTATGGCTTGATGAAGCACAGATCCACCCTCACCACACATATGGCTCAAGTCGACCTTATCCACAATGAGTTTGAGCGATTCGAGGTTACAGTAAGGTATAATACAGATCATCTTGGGCTGAGGCAGCAACCGATACAGCTCCAAACTGGCGCCTCTTTCAAGAAAGAGTTCCACAATCTGGGTATGCCGGAAACCAATTGCAATACCCAGCATGCTAATTCCAGTCACGTCATGGGAGTTCGGGCTGACCCCTGCATCGAGAAACCCTTTGACAGCGTTGATTCTACCTTTCTCGATGGCATCTGCAAGTGGCTGGCGTGGGAGATTGATCCTGTATCCGGACCTTTGGAACCGATAAATGAATGGGCATTCGGGAATATATGCTCCTAAGTATCTCGTGAGATATTGAGTGTAGTCCTCTTCATTGGCCAAAGCATAGCCCTTGGCAGCCTTGGGCAGTAAGGAGCGTAATATTTTGCTGAACCTTCGACAGGTGCTAGCGAGTTGTCCTAACGATGGAGCGTCGAGATAGGTAACAATCATATCGATCAGCTCAGTTGGCAAGCCATTTAGTCCACGAGACTGTCTCATCTCGGTTTCAGGTGTCATGATAGAGATAGGATATGTAACTCAATGTGTAGAACTATCTATGGCTTTTGCTAGCCACACTCGACAGTGCAGAAATTTAGAACATGTATGTAGTGTCTCGTTGCTGGTTTGCAATCTATTCCCAGTTTCTGTACCTTGTGGCCGATTAGATGACCATATATACCTCATTGGGGGCACCAGTTGCCAGAAAATTTAGAGAACTTTAGAAACTTCTACTGCTCGTTACTGTGCAGTCTTAGTGAAGATACCCCCTTTGTGATTGATTAGACCATGTTGTGAACAATCCTTTTGCGGTAATCATCAGCCATACAAAGACTCAACATAGAATCAATCAAGAAGGGTATTCATTGAACTGAAGTGACAATCCACACCTGAGTATGCTCAACAAGTAGGTACTGAAATACACTGGAGAAAGTGTAGAAATTTGCCTGGCAATTAGCGCGGCGTATGATAGACTTATTGGTTCCAGCATTGGGACAAGATCATATTTAATGTCTTTTACATTACTTACCCCATCTGAGAAGCATGCGACACTGCACAAACATCTCAGCCACGCTGGCAATGCCATTGATATGTTGGAAGTATGTCCTGAGGCTCCTCATCGTGAGTACTGGATGTGAGGCTAGCGTGAATGACAAACGGAGTAAGGTCCGAAACTAGGACAGATCAGCCCGCAGGCTTCGGAGATCCCTATAGAACCGATCAATCAAGCAAACAACCATACCCATATGTGGTATAGCAATGTACGTATCGCAACTGGGGTTCACTGTCTCGTCAGTGTGGGTCTCACCACTCAGCCTTAATGACTCATTGTGAAGTTTTGAATGGTTGTTTGTATGTTTTCAACGCTAGGCTGTTGGTCACTAACTGCTAGTCTCATACTGAAACCATCTGTGATCGTACAGAAGTGGCCAGGCCGGGAAGACCACTTATTCAATTCGATCTGATGGTTAGGTTAACGTTTCAGTGGGCGTTGTAAATCACCCGAGAGCTAATGAACGCTAATTTGGCGGTTCAATGGAGACGCATATAGGCAGCGATGCTTAATACATATCTTGCTAATTCCATTATTATAGGATTACATCCATGCTGGACCTTTCCCACTGACAGTAACATATTTGATTGTATTGCAAACATCCAGCCCGCGCGCTTTACAAATGCTCCGTATGACCCTAACAAGTATACAACAAAATCAAAAGAGACAACTTAAAAGAAATATGCATGGAGAGAAGACACTTCAATGAAATTAGTTGTATGTACTTTGGAATAGCACACTTGCATGTGCTTTCATGTACACGATAAGGTCGGTCAAGGTATGTGGCTCACGGAATAGAGTAGAGTCGGCGACAAGCGGACGACTGTTTGGGTGTGTGGTTATATCGTGAGACGTTGACGGCTGCCAGCCTTGATACAGGCCTTCATAGCTGTCGAGGCTATTTTCAAATGGCAAGGCATCATCAAAACCATGCAGTTGCGGGGATACCTGTAAACCCCTGCAATCATGGAACGACGCCGGGGAGTCCCGAGCCTATCAAGTCCTGGACTTCGGTAGGTGAGGAGGATATGTCACAAATGGGTATCATAAGACCGCTATATTCGCCGAACGCGCAAATCGAGATGACAAACGAAAAAATCAAGACGGAAGAAAGAAGCCAGAATCTCTTTCTGGATCTTATCAATCGGGGTTCGTAAGCTATGTGTAGTCAACGTTAGCCTTGTGAAGCAATCAGTTGACAAAATAAGAACTGTACTAACCCGAAGAACTGGCCGAGAGTAGTCTTCATTGTCCTGGAGTGACACGTCACTATCACGACGGCCACCTGCGTACAGTACAGTATCCGTCTTCAAGCGAGTATCGGTAAACGTTGGTAATCTTGAGGAGCCGGCAGATAATGTATGGCTGTGGTTGTCCGAAAAAGCTCGATTTGCGACACTCATCTGAGAACCTTTGCTGTTCCTACCATCTAGCAAGACATTTGAGACGCTCGGACTTGGGCTTGTCGAACGTTCCTGGCGTTTCTTGAAGAAGATCAAGAAGCAGATGGCTATAATTGCAGCCAAGCCGCCGATTGAACCCACGACCACGCCAGCAATTGCACCTCCACTTAAACCCGAGCCGCTACTATCCTTCTCAGACATACTGGCACTTGGGTCTGACGTAGGCTTCGCATTGGGAATTGTGATCGTTTTCACCTCCCCGGCAACGGTTTCAACCGATTGACTTGCCGTCGTCGTCGGTGCATCAGTGGTTTTGGAAGAGTCCGTCGATGTCGTCTGCTAAAGGTTAGCACGCAATAATAACCGATGTGTGTGAGACTGCAATGCCATGATCCCCATCATTCAGCTTAGTAACTTGATCAACTTGTTCACCTCATTCTGTGCAAGGACTAAGTGACTTCAATGAGGGAGCAAAACAGCTTTGGCTTTCATCCACACCAAAATGCTGAGTTGACGGGAGTTGATCGATTGGAAGGGAACTTTGCGTGGGTTGATAAGCAGACAGGAAAGATCTACTGACCGATGACTCTGTAGATGTCGACGTACTCGACGAAACTGTGGCTGTTCCTGAGGGCGAATGCTCGTTCATTTGGATATAAGCAAAAACGCCCTTGGACGCACTTCCACAACTATCATCGGGATACCCGGGACACCCTGTATCACACTTCGACGTATCAACGTTGGTCGCTTTGTTGGGAGCAATGTTCGAGCACCAGCAGCTCTTCCCTTGAAGAATTCCAAAAGCATAATCGGAATTACATGTATCCGTACAAAGTCCGTTTGATTGATACACACTGATATCTATGTGCAGGTTAGAAAAACCACAGGGCACAAGAGCACCACAGAAACATACTAGCAGAGTTCGAAGCTCCCGTGTTCACGGTAGAGCAATATGTGATATCCGAAGCAGCAAAGGCTTGCCAGGAGAATAAAGTAAATAATATGAGAGCCATATTACGATGCATGGCGGAAATGGCCGGATAGCGGTTTAGTCGTGGCAGTCGTACGTGCGTTCCTTTCCCAGCTATGCGACACCTAATATAAATCCCGGCCTCGACCAAAACGTGCGGAAAGAACCTCCCTCTGGATCAGAATAAGTCCCAGGATCGATAAAGGTTTTAGATCGGTCGCTCGGTCGGCAGGATATACAATTGGTGGATTTTTTGGTCGGTGTCGACTGAGAAACAAAGCTTAATAACCGTGGTCAGACCGTGATTCAAGCTCAAGGCTAAGAAAAATTGTCTGTTGGCTCGGGGTTCCGTAGAAGATCCTTCTTCAGTAGGATCAGTGTGGCAGTTAGTTACTGACGTCGGTCAGCCACAGCCATGAACACATACAAATGGGCTTGCAACTACCATGCGACATACCTGTGAACTAGCAAGGCCAGTTAACCTTTTTTCTTTTTTTTTTTTTTGTGAATTATTTCTTCCCCTCTATCTTCAAGATAAAGCTCATCTAACTGCGACTAGACGGTTGTTTTGGGGGCCAAGAGTACGATAGCGTGCGGATCAGAAGACTATCGCAACATCATGATCATCGTCACCTTACAGACAGGAGAGAAGGGACGGCCGACCGGCTCACGGAGGTTTGGATAGAAAAGAACCCGACAGGATGTCAATAGTAATGACAGAAATTAAAAGTGAAAGGGAGGGAAAGAAAGGAAGAGAGTGAGAAAGGAGAATAACGGTTCTCCTCTTTGGGTCGACGAGAAAGAGTGAGTTGAGTGAGTCGGGTAAGGTCAGTTAAACAATGGATCCAGTTAAACAGCTGGTAAGTAACGAAACAAGAAACATGGAACGAGAGCGGGTTCCCTTCCCGGCGTTCCACCAATGCAGCCAGTAATCGTTCTAGAAAAACACACCAAGAAAGAAATTTTGATTATCAGGGTAAGAGTCCGTCGTATGTACGGCGTACGTATGTCCATGCATCTAGGCTCCAGCTACGCTAACCTAATGGGTAACAAGGCATCTACCAGCCGAATCGGCCGTAATTCTGTCCAGGATGAAGTATGGGGGAAAGAAGGAAAAATGAAAAACAAACGAAAATTACCGGCATACCCACTTGGAAGTGGGGTTTAGAATACCAAGCAGTAGTACCTTGCCTATCTTAGTACTATGCAGGCTGCAACAATGGAGTAATTCGATTTACAGCTGGTCAGCCCAAGGTTTTAGTAATCCCGCACTCAGTAACTACGACGGAGTACTCCGTACAAAGTAGTTAACTTGTTATCTTGGTTCAACTTTACAATCCAGAATGAAACGAAGTCTTCTAGTGAAAGAAGGGAAATGAGAAAAATTTATCTGGGTTTGTATACCGTTCATAGAACAACATTCCACTGGAATATCTCACGAATATATTTTCTGATCCAACCTGACAGCAAAGGGATTGGCTGTGTCCATTTGCAAGATGCCTCGTCGTCAACATGAATGTAATCTATTACTATGCCCGTAAATATCGGTCTAGTATGTGGGTATGTACAAACTATCCAAACAAAAACCCCCAACTGTGAGGAGTGTAGTAATAGTATTGTTGTACCAGAGTGGCGCCACCTGGACTGAAGCTGGAAAATATTTCCAAAAGACAGGCCATGTACAGTAGGTACTGTACCTAACCTACATACTAAGATCCTGCCCAGGAGAAAATAGAGAGAAACAAGCCAATTCTTATTTCCTGACCCTGGAGATCGATGAAAGGTACACCTGTGCGACTGTACATTTAAGGTAGAAGAGAAACTCTAATGGATCTGTGGTTGCACGCACTAAGATTCAAGTACAAAGACATCCTTGTCATTGACCTTAATTTCTTCAATGATGAATGGGAGACTTTTTCACCTTGGCCGCGTCATTTGTCTGACACAGCGGGACGACAATACGTCACGTCACATACCACAACAATACCACACACTCCTTCTCTGCCTCATCTCTCTCACCTGGACTGGTTTTCCTCCTAAAGGTCAGGGAAGTTGTCAATATAGTTCTTGATCAGGGAAAAAAAAATTGTTTTTGAGTCTGCCTCTTTCTTCCTACTATGTTCCTTACTTGAATAATGTGATGAACGATTCAGCGTTTGAGACACGGTCACGGATGCAGATCCTGCCGGTCTCATTGGCCATGCATTGCCCAAAGTAGTACTAGTACTTCATTCCAAATATTCCATACCATACTGATCCAATATCAGCAAGTTGATATGGGAGTTCTCGCGCTTTCTGGAATTTCCCGTTACTGGAGTTTTTATTATTTCATGTTTAGGGATCTAATCCCAACACTTATTTCGATTGTTTATATCGTGGCATTCCCTGGACCGGGGTTACTTCTGAAGGGGGTGGGTGCTGACAGTTACCGTACAAATTTACCCTTGTCGTTGATAGGAAGATATGTATAGACAATACAATAGTGACGGACTCTCGCACCCGCCACCGCACAGGACAACTTGTGGTCCTCAAATGGATTCGGTCAAGTGGAGATGCGACTTCGAAGCAATGGTCTAGAAGGGAGACCACGCGGAATTGCGATGAATTCCTATGTATGAGGTTGATTAATGTGTCATTGACCTTATTATTATGCTTACTCGAATATTCTCGTGTCCTTTCCGGTTTCCTTGCTGTTCTGGCCGTGCCTGGATGGGCTGGACCAGCAGCCGACGATCCATGGAAGGGAGGCTGCGGCTTTAATACGCAGATAACATACAGCGTGGTGGGTCTGGTGTGGTTTCAGGTCGGCTATCCCGTCTGTAACCCAAGGTCGACCTAACGGTGAGTTCCACGGACAATAAGATATGTAAAATCGCAAAGGACAAATCACACAATACGGAGTACTTCCCACTTGAAATATCCATGGGTACACCCATCTCGGGTCAATCACGGTACGCGTTCGCGAGATACACTTCACGATCGAGCGAAAAAAAGGTCCTTCAGTCCCAATACATCATACTTACGTGGTCCAACGGCTGGTAGCAATCAACCATGGCCTGGAAATCAAGGCAGGCAGGCAAGCAAACCAAACCACCTATTGAATCTCAGAACATGTGACACCAAGAATGAGTGGAAGGAATCGATCCGCGATCTCTCATCAACACACACGGTCAATCCTTTCTCTTTCAGATCCTCTACACTGGTACCGATCAAAGTGATTGCCGATGCTTATCTTAAGGGACCACTTTGCGAAAATCCGCAATGGAATCTATTCTTGATTGAGCAGTTACCCTGACTCAATATCTGCCAGTGCTCATTAAATATTTTCTGAAGAATATGCTGTGGCATTTAGATACATGCCATTTCAGAAGCAAGAGCAATGGTCGAAACTTTCCGACATGCCTTTCTTTCCCGGTCGCATTGATACTCATCCCCGCTTTAATCAAGAGTCTAGACACATGGCCAGTCAAAAATCATGACTCCTGCCGTGGCTGCATACTTATCCTCCATTGACATAGGGGCATGCTTGAGATATCTACGTATCGTTGGACTTGCCCTGTCCATCGTGGATACCATGGTACGACTAAGATAGGAACCTGTCGCAGAGCCCGACCAATAGCATGGGCCAAACGCAACCCAACGAAGGAGATGACGACGCCCACCCTCTGCATGCCATTTCTGCCCAGTGTACTTCGCACGGGGAAGGTCCTGTCGAAGTGATAAAGAAGTGAAACCCCGCCTTTCAGAAGTCCGTTCTCGCAAGCAGAAGTTTGCCATCAGTGAACCTTCCTCGCAGGTCTCCCGCGCAGATCATACCATCTACTAGCCTTCTCAGACAAAGTGCAAGCGCGATATTCGTGATCTAATTAGAAAAGGGTCGTCTACAATTCTGACTTTGGTCGACAGATGGCGATCAGTAGTGGCACGGCCACCACCGTATGGGCCAGCTTTGTGGAATACGAGTCATATAGTTCACTGGAATGGAGGGGTTGTCTGTACCTGGAAGCTGTCAACACCGCAGCCTTATCTCTGGCACAGGCGGTAATATGCCGGGCTGCTGCTTTGCTATGCTTGACATCCACAAACAACCGGATAGGGATACTAGGGATTAAGATAGTATCTCTTCGTCGAAGCTCAGGCCATAAGTGTACGAGTGGTCGCCATTCTTGACATAAATCATAAAAACCCTCACTAATCCCTAAATGGTAACGTCTCGTATTTTCAAATGAAAGGGAAACAGAGGAAAAAAGAAAATACCAATAATGGTGTGGCTGAGGCAATGACAAGAAAAAGTGGGAAAATCGATTAGTCAAATGCCGATCCCCTTACTTTGCATCAAAAATAACCTAAATCATTGCAATTAAACCCACAACACCGGTAAACAAATGGTAGAAAAAGAAGAGAGGTAAACAAAACGCCCCTCCAATGAAAGAACATAAACACCAAAAAATCCCAACTACCAATCCACCAGAGAAGAAAAGAAAACAAATATAAAAAAAAAAAAAAATAAATAAATAAAAAGAACATCACAACAAACAAACGAACATTCCCCAATGTCCAAAACAGTCTCTGAGAAGAGATTCCTTTCCCCCGATCTCAATCAACAAAAATAGCAGCATGAAGGGAAAGAAACAAATAATTACTTATATTTAGGATCATCCCGTGTCCATGATCCATTATTGTGGGAACTTAATTTAACATTGTTTTTTATTATTTCATTCCTTGGCTGTGGCGTTTCTCATCCAATACAAATACAAATACGGCCCATGTATAGTAAATCTGCGCATACACATTAAGTACATACATACACAGTACTCTGTACAGTACATGCAAATCTCCCACCCGCGTATATTTGGTGACCCTCCTTACACCGGTCTCCCAAGCAATCATTCAGTTCAATCCGTGATCTGAGCTAGAAACAAAACCTGAGGATCTCGAATCGACCTGCTAAGCCAGACTGGATTGCCATAAACCGGGTCCCAAAACAAAAGCAAAATACCCAGGCTTTCCCACGTTACAGTAACATCGTTACCACCACTCTCTCTCTCTCTCCAGAAATATCACACGGGTAGCCAAATTCCAGCCCGTCCCATAATGTCAGCCCTGGCCCAGATATCCACTTAATAAAGGGAAACTAGAGACGTGTCATATTGCAACCCGGTCATCGCCTACTACAGCACATACCTAACCGTATGGGAAGGATGGAGTAGGTACTATGTACAAAGAAACCGAGACGTTATCCACAGCGTACCCATTGTTTTACAATATGGGATAGGCAAGTGTCCTTCGGTACTTGACTCGGGCAACTCCTGTTTCGGATATCGTACCTGATCGTCATGAGAATAGTGGCTATCTGCTAGCCTTACGGCGTTCTTGTTTCGCTTTGCTACACAGTAAATAATAGTGAATGCCTTAGGAATCAACTGGTAATAGTATCAAAGATAAGGGGAAAGAGAGGATTGTATGAAGCGATGAGGCTACAAGGGGTCGGAATGCCACGTTCTAGGTCATTCCGATTCGTAGATATGGAGACATATCTGAGAAATATTCCTCTCAGCCGCAATCTGCCAGGGTGCCCTGTTCCTGTTGTATCACAATTCACGACATGGCCCATCAGGGGCTGGATGCGCTGCGTGCGTCTGTAGCTAGAAGTCCAACGGGGGTAGTGAACATAGCACAAGTGCTCTTAGGTATGTAGAAGGCTTTCGGGAATTAGTTGTATGGTCGCTCAATAGCTTTGTTCGTGTGTGGAGGGACATACCGGAGTATAATTTTTTTTTTTTTTTCAATATGCATCAGTGCTTTAGATGTAGATGCTAGATATGCGGTAGAACGCATGTGTTTTCAGTGGCTGTTGCTTTCTTCGTTGGTTGGGTTAGGAAAATAGTTTTCGATCGCAGCGCGGATGTATGTGTCAGGGATGTGAAGTGCGGTGTAGCAGTCATGTATGCATGGGTGGGAAAGGGAATAAACGATGGCTATGGCTGAAATTCGTGTAGGTCAGTCTACGTGTACTGTATTATGCTGGGGTCTCGAATTTGTTTGCATGTTGCATTGGATCCTTGATATATATAGTGAACTATCTACTAAGCTGCCACTGATAGAATTGATGGCCGCATTCGAAGACCATCTACTGCCCCATAAAATTGATTTCAAGCTCTGTGGAGTAACCTTTCCATCCTGCTCTCTGCAACTCATTAGCTACAAAGATAGCATGTTAATTGCATAGTGTTCATACATATATCGAAAACAATAATCACCTTCCCCATATCCAGCGTTAGCCATGCGCACCGGCAACCCCGAATGAGACAACCAACACAAATGCATAAGACATTCAAACCATACTCCCACCTCCTGACAACGGCACCCTCCCCTTTGAGCAAGACCTAGGCTGGTAGTGGTGGAAGTGTACGATGGTTTACTGTGGGTATAATTTTCACAGAAAGATGTGTTTATCACGGTAAAGTGTGGGAAAACAATGATGGTGAAAGGGTCCAAAGAGGACAGAGAAATGAATCTCTCTTTAAAGTGGACCATATTGAAAGAGAAGTAAGTGCCGTTATCTAAAATCTGTTAGGATGAATTAAAATTTTTGACATAGATATAATTCAGCTTCGAAGTAATCCTTAGATGTCCTAGCCAAAGAGGTACTCAACCAAAGCACTGGATAACTTCATGACAACGCTCCCTACAGAATTTCCGACCAATCCTGCCTCCTAATCCAATCTCCGACAGTAGGCACTTCGAAGCCAACCTCAAGCTATGTTAAGTCAGCACCACGCAATGGCTAACCTGTCTAAATCATATAACATACCTGGTTTGGATGAACGACAGTAGGGTCATCACGACCCTCATAGCCAAACTCATTCCAGTATCCCCAGTTATCGATGAATTCCCTCTTTAGAATGTCTGGCACACCCTCGATAGACTGTCCTTCCGACAGAGTAACACACTCAGCAGGAACCCCAAGCACACGACTCCAGGTACGAACAAACTCCTCCGGCGTCATCCACTCCCGATAAGCGATCAGATTCTTCCCCGGCGGGCACGCAACAAGAGCCTTCACAGCTGAACCAGTATCCTCTTCAGCAGCAGCAATAGGAAGTTTAACGTCTCCTTTCAATCCACCAACAAATTGATAGACTCCATTCTCGGCCTACAAATCATCAGCAATGAAACCAGTGATTACAGTAAGTTCTCAACAAACCAACCTTCTTTGGTCTCAAAAACGGACCGAGAAAATTCGACAAATACCACCCAACCTGAACAACACTAGTCTTCTTCCAAAGCTCCGGATACGCCCTCCTCCCGTAATCAACCGCGTGTGCCTTGGCTTCAAAATGCAGCACCCGTGTATACTTACCCTTCGACCATTTCGACGCATCAGACAGACTAGAGAAAACAAGCCTCTCCAACGTCTCTACCTTGATTGCAGCATCGAAAACATTCTTTCCCTGCTGTAGCTCATACTCATATGTCCGTCTGATCTTCGCTTGATCTTCAATCTCGCTGTTCTGGGTAATTGTCGCGAATGCGTTCCAGAAATCAGTCACGCTGAAGATGGCCGTTGCTCCTTGGAACGCTGCTTCGAGAGAGGCGGTGTCATCCAGCTCTGCTTGCACAACTTCAACGCCCTGTGCTTGGAGGGATTGGGCTTTCGCACTGGAGGCATTCCGGGTTAAACCTCGGATTCGCCAGGTAGGGTCTGCGAGGAAGCTCTTGATAACGGATCCGCCTTGGTTACCGGTGGCACCGAGCACGACGAGGAGTTTAGTAGGCGACATTTTAGAGGAATCCTGAGCTTCGAGAGTTTATTTTGAGCTGCTGTTCTACCTTATCCCTTGGAGAGCATTGAATCGCCCTTAAGTATCCTGTTTCATTGCGTTTTTTTGAATTTCTAAGCAACGGATTTAGCATTCTTATGCCCGTCAAACGACATCGAACTTGGTTATATTATTAAGTATAGTGGACTGCGTTAGATGTTATGGATGTTTACTAATTGATTCTATACAGATTGTCATGATACTACTAGTAGTACTCGAGGGATGCATGTCTGTCCAATCATGTTTTCAATTCTTTGTAGTCATATTGATGGCCTACCAATAGGATCAAATCAGCCCCATCTAGTGATCCAGATCATATTTATTCTTCTCAAGACCTCCAAAGCTACCACAAGTTAAAACCTAACAGCACATGTGAAGCAACTGGTCTCGATCCCAACCTCCTTGTGTTCCATACTCCCAGGATTTCCAATTGCCCTAAGCAAACCTCATAAATACAGTGTCGCAGCATATCTTGCCAAGGCGCTGTGATTATCCTATATTGCCAACACCTCTTCTTCTCTGTGTACATCTTCCGACTACATATTAGTAAGGTGGGTCTGAAGTGATTGGGGGCGAAGAAAAGATATCCCACCATCTCGGAGAGAACGACGTCGTCTGCAGACTAAGGCAATAGTAGTCCAAGGGAGATGAAGGGAAGGTCGATATTTTAGTGAAGCTGTATCGATTGAGGTAGCTTGCTTACCAGAATGCGCTGAATAGGGATTTTCAGGCCATGTGGCTTCATTCTTCTTTTGGGAATATAAAGTGTGTTGAGGTTATTGGTGTCGGTAGTGACAGGACTGGAAGAAGAGATGGCAGGGAGTGAGTAATGGTCCATTTCCCTGAGCTCGTTGTGGATGGACATCATTTGATGGCGGTGGTTGGATGTCTCCTTCCAGTGGCTGGAGGTGTCCAGGTTCATGAGCTGGAGACCTATCGGACCTGATACCGTGGGCCAGGACGTGTATTACATCGTGTCTGGTTGTAAGAAAGCGAAGATTGGATCGGTTACGATGTTGAAGCCCTATGCGCGAGCAATGGTCCAGTTTTCTTGGTCATTGTATGGATTTCGGGGTGGTCTGAGGGACGGGGTATGTGTTCCACTTGTTTGACGGGGAGTGGTGATTGATGGGATGAGGTCGGGAAGTAGCTGCTGGATAGACATACTATTCGAGTAGGTATGCCAAAGGGGCAGATTATCCAAACTCAGGCTGATAAAGACAGGTTGAATGCGTGGGTGATTAATAGAGAAGGCTACAAGATCCGATTATCAAGCTTGTAAACTACACGAAACTCCGCTTTGAACTACCGGGCTAAGAGATATGAATCTCGAAGGGCTATCGGCCAAGGAACAAATGGACCCTTCTGTCAAGGTATGGACTGTATCCATGCCCTCTATGTTCATTGAAACTGACGTTTGCTCATTAGTCCCAGCTGATGGGCCGTTCTATACCAGCTTCGTGGAATTGGATTCATCGCCCCGTTTTCTTTCATGGCAAGCACGTTCATCAATGGGCGGATATCCTATTATTCATGGGCCACAAGGAGCTTGCCAGACTCGACAGCTAAGGTCATTTCCCCCACGGTGGCGGCTGGATCTATCCTGCCAACAGTGCTTTTGTTTTTCCCAATTGAAGATGCACAGACGCTTCAGTCAATAGTACCCCTATGGCAACCAGCGCCGGTATTTGCCGCTTTCATGACTGAAGTCCTTTGCCGAGCCATCGAATACATAGGCCGAGGTAGACAGGCCAAGCCCGATTCTCCGTCAGCAGGTGAAAGAACCGATTCCGATTTGCTCCATTTGCATGTCTCTATACAACAACAGGGATCATCTCAGCTTGTTTTCATGACTTCGATATTCAGCTACCTGCGTTCTGAAATTTTCTCCCTCACCCGCCTGTCCTTCTCAGTAGACTCATTTGCAGCCGTCGTAACTTTAGCGGAGGGAGCTTCCATATTTCCTTAAAACGATTTCCTCCTTGTGGCTGCGTCGACCTTTCTGTGGTGCTGGGTTAGCGTCTGGGATCTTTACCGGGTCAGAATTTCCAATATATCCCCGTTGTCAGCATTGGTCGGGCTGCTTGCAGGTTTTTCAGGGATTGGACCCGGTGCAACCGCGGCGGCCATCTGGTTCTGGTACGAACGGATGATGAACCAAAGGGAATTCCGTCAGCGCAGTCAAAAACTTCGCTGTTCTCGCTGTGTCGTCTTAGAGATGGGTATCGAACATGAAAGAGTGGGGAAATAGTGGGAATGTTGCTGGTGAACAGACGTGGACAAGAAATAGAAGTTGGCCCTATCGTCTTCTGTAGACCTACTTATTTCGCTGTCCTTGCACCGTAGGATGATGGGTAATACATATAGATGTTGTGGCCGTAGGTTCTGGACGTAGAACGCTTGTTCAGCATTCACTTGTGTGGTCCCCAAACTAGATTGGTTTCCAACTAACATGCTGCCATATTAGGGTTTCAACATCAGAGCGGCGAAATCCAGCAACACAACCAAGACAGATACAGAGACGACTTAGTTCTAGAGCAGAATTAGTAAAATCCTCCGCGTGAGCTTATTGTATGTTCAACATACTACCAATGACTGTGGCCTCGTCCAGGACCATAACCACATTACTGGAGGTACTCTGGTTATGAATACTTAAATCAGATGACCCAACGAGGTTACCACTTGGGAGTAACAATCCAGGCCTCACGCTTGGACTGCTGTTCGTACGAGATGAAGAAGTAACCGAGGCTTGGTAGCTCTCCTCAGTTTTGATGCCCTGCTCCGCTAAGAACCCTTCCATATCCTTGATATCAAACCAGTCTTCATCACTGGGAATCGCCAACACGCCATTCGTCTCACGAAAGAGAAGAAGGTTCGGAGAACGAGAGTCCCGCCCCGCGGAAGGGAAATGCGTCCCCGCTCCACCGAGACTAATAAAAGGAAACAGACGGTCATGGACGGGATTACATGGTTTCTTCTGGAGTACCCGCTCAAAATAGAGTCGGATTTGCTCTCGTGAGACAGTTTGCAACACCAGCCCAAATTGCGGCTGCATCTCCTCGTCGGTCAGTGTGTCGTTGCACACGAGCCGATACCCATTTTCTGCGCAGGTACGGTAGAGACTCTCTGTGAATTTTGAAGTCGTGTATTGTATGGCGTGATCCTCACGGCCTACAGAAGATGTCTCACGAATGTAAGCGTTAGGTTCATGAGCCGTAGATGCAACCGGCGGCAAAAAGCCGTTAGATGAGCCCAAAAAGCGACGCCAAAAATCAGACGAGAACGCCTTTTCTTTCGTCCATGTTGGGGTACTAGTAGTTTCTTTATTGACCTGGCAAGGGCCCGAGGACGACGGTTTGTCGCTAGACCTTTGTTGGGGTTTCTGACTTTGAGCAGTAGTTGAACTGCGTTCCTTTCCTTCATTGGGCGATGCCTGAGAGTCGGCCCTTTCTAATTGGAAGCAGATCTCATTTTGGAAAAGCTTCACAGCCTGGAGCAGCTGAGCATGGGACATTTGAGCACCTGGCTTGATAACTTGAGCGTCGAATGAGTCCATGATCTGATTAAGTTGTCCGAATGCATCTTCTAGTCTAGCAACCCGAGATTTTAACGAGGCAAATAGCAACTGTTGCCGGGACCGATACGCCCGCTGGGCTTCTCGAAGCTGCGTCCGTCGTACCTACGCCAACTATGAGAAAGGGGCCAAGAAGCGAAAACTATACCGCTCACCGTGTCCGGTGCCACGGTCGGCACTTTACGAGGCCGGCCTCTGTTCCTCGATGACTCTCCCTCAGCGGTGGACATTTCTGTCGGGAGCCCCTTGGAAGCTTCTGTCTGTCCGTAATTGACGATTCTGGTTGGTTGGTTCGTCGTCGTTTTGACGCGCTTAGGTTGAAGCTTTCGCCTTCAAAGTCGACCAAGGGCTTGGCAGTCTAGATTTATTGATCAGTAATCAATCTATGCACGTGTCTACACTTCCCTTCCTTAATACAATTAATTATATTTAACGTAACTGGTAAGCGAGCGACGCATGTAAGCTGGCGACGCAGCTCTATGTTCCATACAAATCAGCCCTTTTTACTACTGGAATATCTCAGCAACCACAAGCCATAGTAACATAATATTCGAAGATAGTATATATTGGTACTTTATCTTTAATCTATAAAGTAGGGAAGTTTATATAAGCGATACTTCTTTCAGTAGTAAATATTGCACCTGTATTTTTGATATTTCTACTGGAAAGTGTAAGACTGAAAAATAAAAAAATAAGAGAAAAATATTTAAAGCCTTTTTTACCCTATAATATATTATATATAAAATATCATATCTTTGCAATCTCTGGTTGCTGAGATATCCAAGTAGCAAAAAGGGCTGATTTGTATGGAATACAGAGCTGCGTCACCCGCTTACATGCGTCGCTCGCTTACCGATCACGTTAGGCAGACTGCCCCCATAAAGAGATGATGGCACCGACCTCCAGTGTGCTCTACAAAAGCTCATAATATAGGATCTGTGTTGAGAATGGCCTCGCTCAGAGAAACGTGATACGGGCTCAAAATCTCATATTTGTTTTCATAAGTCATGTCTCGTGGGTCTCCTTGAAGGCAGAGTAACAATATCTAAATACTTGTTCCAGCAAATTTAGAGTATTACTCTCTGTCGTGTCGTTTAATCATGATAGCTGTAGATCAAGGAAATTCAACGCAATGCTTGCTATTTTGAAACAAGCCCGCCGGGAGATCAGATAAGTATATCACCACCTTCCCGAGCGAGGTCTCCCACGTCTGTCATCAACCAGCTCACGTTGTTTCATCCGTCGCTCTTCACGAGGCCGGAAGGGGGGAGACATCGGTCTGTCCAACATCAATGGCGGTTCCCCTGGCATTGCCGCTGGTGGTGGTGGAGGCGCTGGGGGAGGCATGGAGCTCCTTTCACGGTGAATTTCTTGGATTCGTCGACGACGTGCGCGGCGAATGTCTTCCGACAAGTCAACAAGAGCAGAAACATCTTCCTGTTCGAAGCTATTAATAGTAAGCTTTATAGTGGGAGATACATTCACTCACGAATTGAAGGTATGAAAACACGTAATAGGAAGATACTGTCTCCTCGTATTCAAACCCAGATCGTTCAATTGCTTCCTTCACTACAAGGTCCTTGGTGATCTCCGTCCAGAGCCCATTTCGTTGATCTTTCATACCAATGTATCGCCGGCCCACTTTGCCCCGTGCAAAATCTGGGTCGCTTTCCGAATGTCTTTCTTCACTTACAGTAAACTTGGGCTTTTTGTCTTTAAGGGCTGGATCTCTGGGCCCGTGACAAATTTCATCTTGCAATGCCTCCCGCTCTGTCTTGGGGGCTGCAGAAATAATTGCCCAATCGTCTCCGGCCATTTTAGGAGTGGTTTCTCGTAAAGACCTCTCGAGCTCACGAGGTCTGCCATAGACCTCTTCTAGTACTTCATGCTCATCGAATCCTCCTGGCATTACTTCATGGATGGATATTTCCTTCTCACGTTCGATAGACTTTGATCGAGATTGGGGAATCGGATATTCTTCCTGCCTCTGCCGAAGAAAAGGCTCCGGAGGTGGGCCGCGTACTATATTAGGAAGCTCTGGTCCACCACGTTCTTCAACGACTATCTCTCCATGAGATGCCGGTCTCAACTCTTTCCTCTTGGGCTTCTCAAAGCTGACTTCGGGACTAGGTGCGCGGGGCGGACGAGGTGGTCGGGAGAGATCATAATCTAACAGTGGGTCAACTATCATGCTACCGTCTGTGTCAGGCAGCAAGCTCACCTTCTGGATCGTGTACATGTCGCTTCGCTGGGCTTCGGTGAATAGGCGCCCGAACGAGAGAAACATCCGCAGAGTCTTCTGATTCAGGGGATGACGTGCTGTCGTCGTCTTCATGGAGGTCAGCCTTTCTTGGAGGACGTCGCCGCCTATTTCTCCGAACTAAAATATCATCTTCTTCCTCTTCATAATCATCCTCCTCTACGTCTGTGTTAGGGCTAGACTCAGGCCGTAGCCGCGGCGGTGCATGATAGTGAGGGCCACTGCGGGTTTTCCTGTATTCGTGCTTCATTTCATCGACACTGGGCGGTAACTCCCGCTCATATTCCGAACGACGGCTTCTCGGTTTCGAGAGCTCATCGCGTACGTCGCCGCGCCGCGCGGCGGAACGTCTCTTCGGGATGATGGGAGCTTCGTCTTCGGACTCGCTTCCCGTCATCCTCCTTGTCAACTCTTCATCTTGGGAGATATATTCTTCTTCCTCCACGACTTCTCTCCGAGGTGGTCGACGACGTTTGAAAGTATCATCCCTAACCTTCCGGAGCTCTCTCGATGTCTCACGAGGAGGTTCGCGGGTCAATTCAAGCCCTGCATTGTCTCGAACGCGAAGACGATCAAACTCCTCGACTAGTGGGGGACTGGGAGCTCGAGGTTGTTCGTAGAGTGCTTCCTCCTTGTAATGGCGTCCACCTCGCGGTCGATGTTGGTATTTACGATGATGATGGTCCCGTTCAACTTCGTACATGTCCTCGTCATACTCACGGGCACGATATCGCCGGGGCATGGTGTAACCCAATAATCGAATAGCAAATAAGACGAATTATCCAAGTTGACCGTAACAAAAAAATTAGAAGTGGAGCTAATTGGTCTTTATCGGGTGCCTTCATTGGACATTTCTGCTACACCCGTCCTGTGAGGGGCAACTCGTGCAGAGTGATTAATTGATTGTAGGCACTCGGGATCCTCTGCTGATTCTCAGAAAACAGAGATGACCTGATATCGGGTGTAGGGAAATAACCCGTGAGACACGTGCACTGTTATGGTAGGCGAGAGCGAAATCGCTGAAACGTCAAATCACAATGACTGTCTGTTGGAATTGAAATTCGACCCCGCGGCTGAGTTTGCTGATGTCACCGCTGCACAACGGAACCTAAAATGACCTAAAATGTGACAAACCACCAAATAGCTTCGCTTATTGCTCTTTTAGATTACTATACATCTCCATTTCCAACCCGTTATGATCGTCTGCTGGCTCGTCAAGTTCGAAAATACCTAAATCCGATAACTATATTAAGCCCTTTCACTTTTATTCTCCCGTAAGTTAAGATTGACGCTCGAACCATGGTTGAGGTTATGGCTTAGCCAAGAACTCCAACATTCGTTATCGATCGGAATCGGCTGGCTTCTTGTTCACTTGATTGGTGTGACATGATCGAGGGATCTACGACGAATTTCCTCGGGGACTTATGAGCGATGCAGCAGCTTTCTTAATGCAATTCACATAGCTTATAATGCAATATTGCACGGTGAGGTCCGTTGAGATCAGCAAGAGGGGGGAAAAAAGGCGAGGGCTCTTCGTTTCTCCTTGTGCACCGAATGCATAAAGATCAAAAGGAACAATCTCCTCTATCGGGTTTGCTTGAATGACTAAAGTCGTTCCTTTTTTTCCCAGTCGTTTGATTATCGTGACTATTTCAAGTCCGACGGTACTATCCGAAAGCGAGACGCGTCTGCCCTTTCTCAGGCTTGCCCCGGCTATTACGACCTGGTCTGCCACGGGTGCTGGAAGATCCCGTGTTATTGGACGGGCGTGGTGTCTTCTGGGGTTTTATGGCTTCTTGTCTTTCTTGTCTTTCTAGTTCCTTGGCAAAATGCCAGTCATCGTGTTCATCTCTTTCAGCCTCCGGCAGCCGTTTTTCGCACCGTCTACAAGTATAGAATCCCAATCCAACTTCTGTCATTTCAGGATTGCATGGGCCTTCAGACAGAAGCATGTTCTCGTTACTCTCTTCCAGGCTCGGCGCCGGTGTCTCCGACACAGCCTCGCTTGGCTGAGGCTTCGTGTTGAGCCCGGGAGACTGGTTGAAGAAACGTTTTATACCATCGTCTTCGACTTTCCTCCGTTTCTCGCTCGGTTGTAACATTTCCGGCAAGCCATCTGTAAGACGGCCCTTCGCTGGGTGACCGATACTTCTGGCCTGGTCTCCTCGGAGTAGAAAAGAATCTATTGCTTTATGATTGCCAATTCCATCCTCGAACCCAGCGACACTCATTGACAAGTTTGCACAAGGCCAGGCGCGTCCGTCACCGATGACCTGTCGAAGCAATGTCCTCCCGAGATCGAACAGTAATGTCTCGTCGATCGGTGTTGACCCAGGTATGGGGCTTTGACGAGAGCGAACTTGTGCCCCTTGCCTATGATGCAGGGCGAGGGTTTTCGGACGGCGTCGGTGCTCAAGCACACCATCTTCCACGAGACGGCCATAGATATCTGCAGCAAAGATCCGCAACCACCTTTCCGCCTGCTCGAAGGAGTTGATACTCGGTCTGAAAGACTTGGCAGAGAGCATGGACTTGATTTGCGTTCTGGGGTTCACTTCACTCTTATCCTCACCGCGAATGATTCCAAAGATCCAATTAGCAGTATCATCATCCAGCTTGGCCCGGAACTGCTCCAGCGTAACTTGTAAAAGATCGCTAACTTGTTCCGTCCCAAAGAGAGCTATGACCTGATCGCCCAGTTTACCCCCGAGCATCCGTATCTTGGTGAACTTGAAACCCCCAAGAAAGTTTTGGATAGCGCGATTGCGTACAATGGTCTGTTTGTTGGGTTTGTTGCTGGAGCTCCCCAACTTTGCCATCATCTTGTTCTTCGCTATACCTGCGGAGCACGTATAACTCAGCCTATCCCAGACCGCCGTGCGAACCCCTCGGACAATCTCTGACCCAATAAGCATCGCAACGTCATCCCAATCAGGATCATCCACTTCCGTCTCGTTCTCGTCTAGATCCACTAGACAATCGTCCTGGTTCCATTCCAGTGCCGTTGTAGGGGGGCGAGGTAGCGACGCAACACGATCATCGCCATCTGGCCCATTTCGTAATTCTGGATACTGTCGAAGTAGAACACCATAAACCAGCGGGGACAGATCGATGAAAACTTCGTCGACGCTAGCTTTCTCAACGCTAGCTTGTTGTATCTGAGCGTGAGGACCCAGCCCCCGTTCTTCATCAACCAGGTCCGTATACCATCTCGACAATTCCTCCTTCATTTTTTTCAGGATCTTGCGCGATTCCGCCCGATACGGATCCAAACACACTTTATCCGTATTCATACACTTGTAAGAATCCTTCCTGTACGCCCATTTTCCACCCTCGCCTTCTCGAAACGTCGCAACATGCTGTAGAATAATCTCCGGACATAGCTTTCGGGCTTCCTTCGCAGAAATCATCCTTGTTATCCCGAACGCCCGAGCAGGGTAGTTAATCGCGATCAGCGAGTCCCACTGGCGTACAGCGAGGGGTATCTCCCGCGGTGTCTGAAGACGCACCATCTCACATTGTGCGTAGAATGCATCAAGATCAACATGAGCAATTACTCGGAGCGGAGAGGCTGTCGAACCTTGGCGAAGAAGCTGCAGTTGGCGGTAGGTGTACCGGGAATGGTTCTTCACGGGGTGGCTCGGGGAGGAGGGCGATGCGACGAACGGATCTGGGGACGAGCGCGACATATCGATCTCGATGATTCTAGCGTCATGCTGGCTTTACGAGTGAAACGTGAAAATTCGGAGCTGTGGCATCCCGGTTTGTGAACGCTCGCAGTCTCTGCTCTAAGAACCATACTTTATGTCGAGAGTGAAGATCATCGCCTAGACTCAGACTCGTCCGCCGACCACATGGCTAGCCAATTGGGAGCCATTGATTAATACCAATTTGGCTTAGCGTTCCATTCGACATGGCCCACACAAGGTATCCCATCTCTTCTTATTATGTTCATCCAAAACCTCCAGAGTATATGTTCATAGTCAAAGTGACGATATCTCGGTAGAGAGGAACACTAGACTCGATATTAACTGGTCTCCATCAGGGCTGTTGCTCGGATTGGGCCAAACTCCTCTCAATTGAATCCAAGTTCGATCTGGAACAGACGCCTGGAGAAACTTGGACTTTGTAGGACCTATGATATATATATTTCCTAGTACTAACCTCCAAGAGTGAAGCTTGGGCTCCAGCGAAACCATACACCATACTACACATGAATTTTTAATACCTCGGGATGGTAACATGAAGAGTATATTCACTACTCTAGAGCAATGTCTTAAGCACTATTTCGTGAAATTAGTGCTCGTGCCGTACAATCTGCCCAGATCACAGAGGATAGATGTTCAGGTGTACTATATGGCTTCTTATAGTTTTCCTCTCCTTTCCGTTCTTTTTCTTTTTCTTTTCTTTTTTTTGCCCGTTAATGATGAGAATTGACGAGCTTATCAAGTGACACCTTGCAAAAGTTCGCTGTTTGATGCCCTGTGTGTTTTAAGGCCCCTGCGCTCTTGTTTGTTTCATCATCTACAATCCAATATGACAGATTTGGGATAATCCGGCAAGGCTTCGAATGTGTGGGAAAACAAAAAAAAATGTTACGAATAGGATGGACAGCAGATCTTGAAACCGGACATTCAAACACCTAATCGAAATTTCGATCAGATGGAACATGCGCTTTCTTGTCGTGGAAAGGCTTCGAGATTATAGTGGCACCGGGCAATCCAGGTTAACGTGTCAATATTATGGTCTTGTGCATAGGTGGAGACCTGTCGCTCCGCTTCAAATGCCTAAAGGTTCACATCGTGTTTGATCATCTTGATCCCGAGATGATCAAAGAAGACTACGGTGGCGGCTTGGGCTTAAAGACTGACTGCCCGTACTGTATTCGACAAATACGATAGCCCTTGGCATCCATCTTGTTTCGCGAGAAGGTATAAAAGGGTGTCACTTGGCCATGATCACATAAGGTTCCGTTCGCCCTGTCCATGTGACTTGACGCTGCTGCAACGTGGTTGAAGGGGTGGCATATCAAGCCCGGCAATGCAACAGATCAGTTGACTCTGAAAGCAGTCCATGGAGTTAAAATAATGAAAGCGATGATAAGGACCAAAAGTTGACTATCAGTCGATAGGCTGATTTACTTTGATTTGCCATCGCGAGTACGTCTGGAAATTGATCTGACGGGGGCGAAATGATATTATAACACATGGGTTCCAGTAACTTTCAATTCATTAAGACTAGGCCCTTTCTCGAGGCAGAGGGAGCACTCCGTATGTACCATGATAGCCAGTCCACGGAAGGTCAATCGTATGTTCCGAAATGAGAAAAGACTTTCGGGGCACCCGCGGTCTCTAATCTATTATCGAGTTAGTTCGAGACTTCTACCGTGTAATGGTCTCAAGTCTACAATTCGTGTTCTGCGAACTATATCAGCTAGCACTGCAGGTGGTAGCGGTAGCCTCTCCTCATCTATCCTCAGGTTGATGATCTCCCGGTGAGGCAAGATGGGAGGCACTCAATCAATGGAATACTGTACATATCAGCGCCATTCGGATCTAGGTACCTGCCCCCCAGCCAAGGCAACTAGTTTAGGTGCAGCTACCGTACCGAGGCGCCCCGTGTAGCAGCGGAAGGACACTTGGACAGATGCCATTCGGGCATCAGCGGATAGGATCCACACTCTGGGACTCACCGCTGCATATAACGTCGCGATGGATCAGGGAATCAGCATGTGAGGGTTAAGAGGATAACGTGGTCTCCAGGAGGGCCTGATTCGACTCGTCTAGAAGATCTTCGACTAGATTTTGAAAGTTCGAGGAATTACCTCAATCTTGACGGTTATAGGGGAGGCTTTGATCCAGTCCCCACACCCTAACGAAGGGGGAGGAGAGGGGAGCCCTCGAGGGATGGAAGGCTGGGCTTCCGATCAGACGGGTAGTACTCCAAGTCGTCAACCTGCAGAAGCAGGCGGTGGCGGGATGGTCGAGGAGAGAAAGAGAGGGAGCCGATCATGCAGCTGGCCAGAAATGGCTATAGGACTGGTCATGGTACCAGTAACCACAAGCAATGGTGGTGTGTGAATAATAGCCCACCTCGTTAGTGAAGCAAGACTGGCTTCATTATCTTGGTTAATTGTTGATAATTTCGATAATCTACTCATTAGTCACCCTCTCTATACGTTGAACCAGACGAAGACTGGAATCCTCCACTCCGGGTAGCGGGTCGGGCGGGCTCGAGCCTTGGATCGAGAAATGGGTTTACAGCGGAGCGGTTGACAGGGCCAGTATGGAGAAGAGAGTGGATGAACTAGTTCATAGTACGCACTGTAGTGTCAGCGTAGTATGCCTTAGTGTCAGCGGTCAGAACGAATGAGTGCCCAAAGTCCGCCACGCATTTCTGCCCAACAACATCATCGATTCTCTTTCTGACTGGCTGACAGCATTTTCGGCAACGGCAAACCTTGACCGGTCGCTCAGGTACATGGATTGGACGCCCAGGGTTTGGTTTTTTAGGCGCCTTTCGTGTCAGTCACAATGAGCTTTGAGTGGCAAGTCCACCAAAACACTGTCTTTCAGGATCTACAAAGTAAGTTTGATGGTGATGTTGCAGTCTGCAGAAGAGAAGAACGGGTTTAAGTAATTGAAAAAAGAAGAGAAAGTAAGATGAGAATATACCCCGTTCTTCCATGGCAAGAAATCATTGACTTTTGGAAGTTATTCTTGAAAGTAGTATTCGTAGGATAGTATCGTACTCCGTAGTACCACTGCTTTCCTTGCTGCGTACGTCTTCTGCTGTCTTACTTGACCTGTTAGTATTGGAAGTCACGGAAGAAGACACCGCCTCTGGATTGGTTCATTCTACCCCGTAATTCAGTTTATAAATTTTCATGTTTCTTTTCTTTTTTTTTATGATTTCGAGTGTGATTAACTCCTTTTGCCTCACCATTTCAAAATGAAGCAATAAACCATGTCATTGCGTGGTGGAGAGAAAAGAGAGACAAGAAACAAGTGGGTGAGGCTGGCGTAGGCTGAGAAAAGTATTCTTGACGGATGGTCTTCCTTTCAGCTTACCACTTACCCATGGTTCCATCGATGGGTCCAAAATTCCGATGAAATGGAAAGCGTACTGATCCAGTAGGTAAACAACAGATGCATTCATTACTACTAGTATAGGATCACCGTTGGAGAGTTTAATCATCGCGCGCTCAGAATTGTAAGTACAAGAGAACATCAGAGGAATAATACTTAATAAAAAAGATAGCAATAAAACTTTACTCCAGAGAAACTCGTCCATTTGAACCTATTTTAATCTGGATTTTGTATTTTTAATTTTTGAATAAAATTTAATTTTTCCTTCCCCCCCCTTCTCTTCTCCCCCAACAAACGAATAAGCACACGGCGAGGGACAGGAAAATCATTCAGATTTCCAAGCCCTATTCGTCCAAGCCGGTCCTTCAACCGCTTCGAATGTTCTGCTGAAGGGAAGAGTGGAGTCAATCGTGGCACCAGACAGAAAGGCCAGCAGCAGCCCAAAACCGGCCCAACAGCCCAAATGGTCCATTTTGCATCCAGTCCAATCCCAGCACAAACAAACCCACAACCGTCTTTTCTTTTCCCTCCCCACCCTCCACTTTCGCCTTCTTATCTCCCCGTGCGCCTGTCCGTCCTTTTTTCTACCTTCGCTCCCTCTCTTTTCTTGCTCTTTTCCTTTTTTTCCTTTTTCCCCTTTCCCTAGTTCAAGTCCACCCCTGGCATCTCCCGCCAGCTCGAAGGAAAAAAAAAAGCCAAAAGTGTACAGGAGTGCTTGGAAAGAGAAAAAAGAGAGTCATCATCAGCGACGGAGTGCCCCCACTTAGGATCGGCCCCCTTATCCCCTCCTCACCTGAAACCCTTCTCTCTTCGCTTGTCCTCAAGTTCGCTTTCTTTTCATTCACTTTACAACAACTCATTCTCCCCATCCGTCATCTCGACTCTCCGGTCCTGTCGTTGCCGTTCGGATACCTAGCCTGAGGAGACTTACTTGACCCCAGCCTTTCACACAACTACTGTGGGCAATAACTGTCATCTGGATTTCTTTCTTTATTCTCTCAACTGGTGAAATATCCCAGAGAGATCAATCTTGTGGACTCGCTTGCACTTAACACCTTGTTCTCTGCATCGTGGGTGTTTTTGTCAATCAAAAAGTTCCGGTTTAGCCTTGATTACCATCAGCCTTGGAGTTACCTGGACGCACTCTCACATTAGAGCCGTACTTCTGCTGTTGTTTCTGCTTCCCAAAAACAACTCTCCCCTAAAGGACATCATCTCCCATCACTGGACCTTTTTTCAACTTCATAACCTCCGGATTCCCTGGATTTCCTGGTGCCCATTTGGATCCCTTGGCTTTTAGTACCTTAATACTGGACCTATTCCCTGGACAAAATGACTGGACGCCTTGGATATGAAGGACGCCCGGAGCGTCAGAACGAGTATTTTATTCCTGGTGATGGAATCAGCCGGGAAGTGATCCAAGCAGACATATGCCGTTACCTTGGAAATGATGCTCTCGTAAGACCTGGAAACCACCAAGTGTGTCTCCCGATATTTCCTTAAAACAAAAGACTGTCGAGAATCGATTCGGTCTGGCAATGGCAAATGAGCCATTCGTTGTAACCCTGTTACTGACTGGATGTGAAAACAGGGCCGCCAGGGCTACTTTATCCGTGCTTATAGAAATCTCACCTCAGTAAGTGAAACGATGCGGAGTTGAGCCCTTTGTCTCCACCTCTTGAGTGAATTATCGAAAACTGACCGGGTGCCGTATTCCAGGAAATGATTGCTGATCTCAAAGCTGACTCTGCTCGGTGGGAGGCAGATGTGCTCCGTCGCGCTGACCAAGGCTATCCACGAGGTAGTTACATTCAAGACTACAGTGTGTCTCAACCGCCACCTAACATGGTTCCAGCAACCTATGCATCTTCCTCAATTCATGAAGGGCGACAGCAGCCGGGTCCATCTCCTCCACCTGCTTACACTGCACCACCACCCCAGCAATATGTGGATCCGTACACTCAACCCCCTTATGGGCAGACACAAAGTCCCCCTTATCCAACTTCTTCCTCATACCCCGCAAACCACTCACCCTTTGGATCTGGCCAGACGTACCCTCCCCCGCAGGTTCCCTATTCTGCACCCAGCCAACCCCCGGTGTCTGCCGATATGCATCAAACATATACATACACCAGCGCCGCTGGCTATGGCTACGAAAATGGGAGAAACAACCCTAGGTACCCTGGGCCTGGTTATGAAACCGAATCGGACTATTCCCCTGTTACGTCCGGAATAGCTTACCCTGCTACTACCGCCCCAGACCCACGGATAGGAGGAATGGACCCCAGATATACCCCGGAGTCGGCATACCCGGACCGCAGTAGGCCACAGCCAACAAGGGAAAGAGATTCAGCCCGCCGGCGGTAGATGAAAAATGCTTTTCCCTTTTGTTTGTCTATGGATCCCAGGGGTGTAGCTTCAATTCCACCTTTTGTCTCGGGAGAACATCGCCTTGGGAGTATTAAAATCTGCGCAACCTTCTTTGACATTTTCGCCCCTACCTCCAGCATCTAGACGGATTAGATGCCTTCTTTCTTGGCCTGTGAAAGACCAGGCCAAAGCAATGATGCTTAAGCTGTTGAGACCAAATTGCAGTCTATTTGGAGCCATACCTTAGGAAACCCGGATCTCGTGTTTGACCTGGATGCCAATCAAGTTATCCTTGGTTGTTTTTTTTTTCTTTATGCTCATGAGACGTCTCCGACGTTGGCTGGTTGTTTGCCTTTTTTTCCTTATCCTTTTCTGCTTGACCTGGCTATTGCTACCGTTAAAAGGGTCAGAAAGCAATAATAATGTGAACATTGACTGGCTTTTGGGGCTCTTGCGTGATGGGTTATGAAAAGGTGGCTTTTTCGGCTATGTTGTAATGCCCGGTGCTGGTCTTGATTGTTCCTGTTATTTTGCCTCCAATCTCCACCATTGGAAACCTATTCCCATTTTTTGCGATTTTGCGGTGTACTGGATGTGATCATTTGTTATTTGTCTGCCTCTTTTCTTCCCATCCTGAGAGGTATTTTTTTTTGACTGTTTCTTCCAACGTGAGGAGTCTGCAGGGAGCATGCGACTGATTCTGGATTCCATCAGCTTAGGAGCTTTGATGATATACAGTGATGCTGTTCATGAGCTACATGTAGATATGAGCATATATGGCGTTATTCTTTGTCTATTCAATGGCTTTAACCCTGGAGGTTCTCCAGAACCGTTCAATAACTGATGTTTGCCAGTTGGCTCAGACTATGTCTTGCTTTTGTTACTCAAATTCCTTTTGGATTGCCACTCGCTGCCTATGGGTGCCGTCGTTCTTTTATGACTATGCCCATTCGGTCTAACTTGATCTCAATCCGTGATACCCCCTGGACAATCTGTGACTGTATGTTCACTAGATTCAACTGTATCCGTCTCTATCCACATGAACCAGGCCTGAAGGAAGTAGCTGCCATGTCCACTATTGCTGGCGATATTATCTCTATGCACATTAGTCGTCATTTGTTTACACCCTGGAGGATCATGGACGCCGTGGCGATCGGTGAGGGTATTGTGAAACATGGTAACAGAACCTCACTGTCTTTGACAATATATTTCATTCTCCCACCCATCCATATCTTTATCTCAGATAGCCAAGGCATCTCATCTTTGCATTGCATCTATCCTTTACCTTCTGTCCCGCCTTGGCCTCTCGTTTGCTATCCTCGCTGGGACGTATGCCCTTCGGATCCTTCTTGGCAGCTAGGTCTGCTGTCTTTCCGGGATGGAGTCAGCATTTCCACAATTTGGAGACGGTGACGTAAACATAACCATTTATGATGATATTTATCGATTACATTCTACCGTACTCAAAGCCCGTTCGCGTGAGTTGAGAGACCTACTTTCATCGCTCGGATCGTATGGTATTGGACACTTCGGCTGTGTGCAACTTGAGCTTGTGGAATCAGCATCACATGGATACGGAGTGCTCGAGGTTCTGGTAAGTTGTCGCGGGGGACGATCAGGGCTTGCGGTGCTAATGGCTCCTTCAAACACTAGGACCCGAATGACCAGTATCGTTATGGCCCGATGTATATGCAGCTCCAGAAGCCCATCATCATGTGGCCTCCAGAAATCCGTCTCCTTTGGGCTAACATGTTCAAGATCTTGTATGGCCTCTGCCCTTTATTAGACCAGGGGGGCCTCCGGAACGTTCTATGCCGCTGCTGGGAGCTAGTCAATCTAGCCGATTGCCTTAGAGCCACGCGCACGGTATTTCCTGCCATCGTAGATGCTCTTCAGGAACTAGGACCACATTTCTATGCCCTCATCGCCGAGGATCCGATAAACTGGATAAAGCTGGGCACTTACATGCGATCGGCACTAATCTTCAAGGATGCGGCAATCCACGTCATTGGCAACTGGAATGCTCTAGAAGATGACCTCGACTATTTGCCGAGTGTCGTCCACGAGTTATGCGAGAGTAAACAAGCGGAGCTCGTCGAATTCAAGCAAGTGCTTGAGGCCCGCATGCTCACCTATTGTCCCTACACAATAGTCCCTGGTACTTCGTGCGCCGAAGACATGACCACCCCGGGTGTGAAGGACTTTGGTATGTGGACGGCAATGACTTACTACAGCCAGTGGTTTTGTATGGCGGTCGCCGAAAACCGTACCTATTATGCTAGTGACGGTGGTGCCGCATTCTACCGTGCCATCTACGCCGGAGGCGATGCCTACCTAGATACTGAAGAACAGGCGAATACGAACGCCTTTCCTATGAGTGCGTACAGGGCCAAGATGCTTGATAGATCACTGAACATACTCAAAGCCGAAATGAGCAAGTTTGTTTCTATTTTGTTGGTCAACGAAAGCCATTATGATCCGGCTCTTATGGGAGAACTACCTTATCTGACGTGCTGCAAGGTTGATGACGAGGAACTCCCATGGGTCATTTGGCCCGATGGTGATTGGCATGTCGATAGTGACGAGGAACTTTTCCTATCTGACTACGAAGCTTTGACAGATAGTGATGGAGAAAATGAGATTGAGATAGATATTACCGAGCCTGAAAGTACCACTGCTGAGGTTACTTCGGCTGATACGAGTGCAACTTTTGCCACTGACACTTTGCCTTTCGATACTGACATTACTGATGCTGAGTCTATCGAAACTGAAGATGGAAACGAGAGTGAAGACAAAAACGCTTCCGTTGCTGACGAAGATGAAGAAATGACGATAGCTGAAGAAGAATAGTACTACTGACTTGGGCATATGGATTGCATACTTTGGGACATCATACACCAGTCATTTATTGAATTAGTATTACCGAGTCACAGGTGAATAGCCGCCCCGAACTACTACCATAGGATAGGAAACAAATGGCATTATTCACCGCTCTATAATCATTTTCCTGTACAATACACAGCAGTCACGCTGAACACCAAGCCCGTAGGCCGTGAGGTATAGAGACGATTGAGGAGGGGGGCAATGGTAAGAAGAGCGCCTCAAGCAATCCAGATACCATTTATCTGAATATCAGCCCGGAACAACACAAAATCTCCTGCCCAGCCTCAGGCGATAGGCGGTGTAATCGGAGATACCCGGCAGAGTAGGTAGGTAGTCTTTTGAATTGACTCGAATTCCCAGCTAAATACACCAAGCAAAAATCAAATCTGAAAATCGACACGGACTCCTTTCAGTCACTGGCGGATTTACTCGTCATCGTAGCCCTGCGGGATAACCCGGGGTCCCTGGGGAACTATGTCAAGTCAGACAACCATGGCTCAGGAAGATGCGGAAATAGATGAACGAAAAAACAAGGAACGACGCAGAGATGGACTTACTGGGATATGTGAGGGGGATGGGTTCCGGGTCAACATCGCCGAAGGCCCGTCTGATCGGGGGGAGAGACACCAGCATGACGGGGCCCATGGCACCAACGACAAGCGAGTAGAAGATAGCGGGCTTCTCGTGAGAGGCCCAGCGAAGGTAGCGGAGAGGCGTCGACCAGAATTGAGGGGTGGTCATTGTGATAGGGAAAGGTTGGAAGTAGTCGGACGTTAAAAGAAACTTTTCGCAGGAACGGTGGTCGCGAGACGGTTGAGCGGACGGTACCGGCGGGTTAAAAAAAAGGAGCAATGCACTTTATCGAGTACAATTGGTCAACCGTAGAATTGAGCGATTCCCGGGGTCCAGGGAAAGACGATTGGGAGGGGGTGGTGTGTGTGGTTGAGACGTGCGACGGGGAGAGGGGAGGTTGAAGGTGACGAAAGTCCGGCAATGCAATGCGCCCGTCAATTCCAAAGCGGCGACCAAGTCTTGGCATTCGGTCCAAACACGTCGCCCGTTTACATACTCATCGATCTTCATGACAACTCCGGTTCACCCCAGCTTTGATTTCGAATTCCCTCTGCTCATCCTTCGCCGTCGTTCTATTGCTCCGCTGTGCGGAACTCTGTAAGATGCGGTGGTGTCTTTCCTTACTGCTGTTCGGCTTCTTGGCTGTTGTACATGCGTTGAGTAGTTCGGGGAACCGTCTACTGGTTGTCTTAGAGGATGAGGCTGAGAAGGATTCTTATTCTACGTTCTGGGGAGATCTGGAAGGTGAGGCACAATAGCTAGCTGGAAGCAATCGGTGCTAACTTCTTACAGCTCGGGGATATAACCTCGCTTTCGAATCGCCTAAGAGCGACAAGCTTTCCTTGTTTCAGCTCGGAGAGAGAGCTTACGACCATGTCCTCCTCCTTCCTCCTCGGTCGAAAGGTTCGCAGATTGTCCCATTGAGAATACTATCTGGTCCATAGTCCAAGTCAATTGACCCGTAATGCAGGCTTTGGGCCTTCTTTGAGCCCCAAGACCCTCATCGAATTCATGAACAAAGACGGCAACGTCCTTCTCGCCCTTTCCGGAACGTCCACCACTCCCAGCGCTATCAGCTCGCTCCTGTTGGAACTTGACCTTCATCTGTCTACCGACCGGTCTTCTGTTGTCGTTGATCACTTCAACTATGATACTCTCTCTGCGGATGAAAAGCATGATGTCCTCCTCCTCCAGCGCCCCGGCCAGTTGAGACCTGATACCAAGGCATTCTTCGACGGCGAGGGCGTTCTGGCTTTCCCAAGGACCGCCCCTCACACTCTGGGCGACTCCAACCCACTTCTTGCTCCCATTCTGCGCGCCCCCGCAACTGCTTACAGCTACAACCCCAAGGAGGATGTAGGCTCGGTTGAGGATGTTGCGGCTTCGGGTTCCCAGCTGGCTCTTGTTTCGGCCATGCAAGCCCGGAATTCTGCCCGTTTCACTCTTCTGGGCTCCGTTGAGAGTCTCCAGGACAAGTGGTTCTCCGCCACTGTCAAAGCTCCTAGTGACGGAAAGGAATCTGAGACTGCTAACCGTGAGTTTGCCAAACAACTGACCGCCTGGACCTTCAAGGAGACTGGAGTCCTCAAGGTTGGCAAGATTGAGCATCATCTGGCCCAGAATGGTGAATTGAACCCTAAGATCTACCGGATCAAGAACGAGACAGTATGTGACGACGGCCACGCAATTGTGAGATATTACTAGCAATGAACTGACAAACCTCTTCACAGGTCTTCAGCATTGAGGTTTCCGAGTACAGCTACGACAAGTATGTTCCTTTCGAGGTCCCCGAGAATGACGCCCTTCAACTCGAGTTCACCATGCTGTCCCCCTTCCATCGCCTTGACCTCCAGCCTTCCGGCAAGACAGAGAACAGCACCATCTACAGCACCAAGTTCATCGTTCCTGACCAACACGGTATCTTCTCCTTCCGTGTTAACTACAAGCGTCCCTTCCTCACCAACATCGAGGAGAAGCACGAGGTGACTGTCCGCCACTATGCCCACAACGAGTATCCTCGCAGCTGGAAGATCAGCGGAGGATGGGTCTGGATCGCTGGCCTCTGGTCTGTTATCGGCGGTTTCCTGGCCTTCGTCATCGTGTGGCTCTACTCTGCGCCCACATCTACTGCTTCGACGACGAAGAAAACGCAGTGAATAATGTATTGTATCCATCGATGATCGCTTGAATGAATTGTCGTTACATGATTGTTAGACTGTATATATGTTTTTTTTTTTCTTTACATGCCGTAGAATTCTACACCAGAAACAGATCGTGTCCTTGTTGCACTTTTTAACTTCCTAAGTGGTTAAGGTTAAGACAGTTTCCAGGCCACTCTGGTAGGCTTGTTCTTGAGTAGCTATCGATAAGTTCTGCGTAAGTCAGCTCTTCCAAAAAAAAAAAAAAAAGCTGTAGTACGTATTATCGCCGCCAGACCTGTAAATCCCATCGTATGACGACACAGCTTCTGTAACATGTCGATCAAAGACGCAGGCTGCCGCTCTTGGAGCATCTTAGGTAATTGCCACCACCAATGGAGGGACCATCATCATCCTCATGATAAGATCGATAATTATTGGCTGGCGATATTAGCCATACATTTTTTCCCACCCAGATTCTGCCACATCCGATAGAGCATATGATTGGAGACGATTTAGGCGGTGATGGACCCTTTGCCACACTGTACCTGAGCTTTTCGCAACCCTACCACTAGTGCCTACCACCTATCTTAACGTTGCTGGGAATTTGGGTGGGCCAGTAGATGCGTGTCCAACTACCTCTTCCCCATGAGCAATTTATTCTCCCAATTAAGGGAATCGTGATGATAAATACGACTGGAATGACGTTTGCCACAATGACCTGGTACGTACCACTCACCAATGCTCGTGCAACGTCCCACTGTAGTTCTCAAAATTGGTAAAGGTCTGGCACCTAGGTCCGGCCTAACAGAACCGAAAAGCGCCACAGTGTCGGACTATATCATTGAAGCTCCACAAATGGCAACGTATTGCTCATCTTTATCCATGGTGACGCACAATACCACTCTGCATTCACAGTACTTCGGTATCCGGTCTACTCCTGGGGAAGAGAAGGGCAAACTTCTACCTAGAGGCTTTGACAGCTACCACACTAGGTGGTGTTAAAGTTGGCAAGCTTTATAGGCAATAGTGGCTTCTTCTAGACTTCCAAGAAGGGTCTCTGGAACTATGGTTCTGGAGACGAACTCTTGACGGCTACCGAGTAACTACCGTAAAATGGCCGAATAACCACCGGATATCTAGGGCTTGCGGCACCTCACGTTAGTCCGCTTGGGTGCGAGCTGGGTGGCGTAGGGAGTATTTTCACATGCAATGCTTTGTTTTCGTTGGGAATGGCTAGTATTGGCTGGTGTGGTGTTCTGGACCGTTTTTTTCACGGGTTTTCCCCAACGTAGTGGATCCGGAAACCGAGCGCTGGGGTGCTGAGATGCTGGGTTGCTTTTGAGGGTGTAAGGACAATGGTAATTGAAATAACCCTGGAGAAAAGGTAGTGGTGAGAACTGGCATGTATGTGATACGATTTGTGTGGCCAAGGGAAAGGGCACTTCTCTCGATTTGTTGTAGGGACGCTCTGGCGGCGGTGGCTGTGGGCTCCATCACCCTTTCGGGTGGTTCCTATGACCAAGGAGTGTGTCTGACAGTTGGAATGAGCATGGTAAGGTTCTCATGGAGCGTAGAGTCTGGTTGCAATTGTGATGCTCGATATATGGTGACTGAGAAGCGAGTTGCTGACTGTTGTGGTGAACTTGGCAAGGGTAATATTAGGCGAGAAATCGTTTGGATATCAATCTGTAAGTCTCATAGCTGTCCAATGGAACCCGCTCGAATGAACTGTCCTGGAAACATTGTCCTAGGGCTGTGCGGCATACTTCGGAACATAATTCCGGACTCCGGAGCCATATTCGAGATCGAATCATCAGTGGGATTGAAGAAATAATGCGAGAGCAGTGTTCCTTGTGTTCAGTCAGTTGTCGTAGAGGGAAGATTCGCAGCAAGATGTGATTGGGGGGGTCGTGTAAGCCATGCAAGCCGTGCATCCAGTGGCAATAAGGATCGAGCAGTGGCTAGTTGAGCGGTAGGCCTCACTTCAATGGGACTCAGGTGATGCTTTTTCTTCGTTCTATTCGATCTGTGATCATAGCAGCTCAGATGTAATCTGATTCGATAGCATATGAGACCCTGGGTTGCGTAGATCTGGCAGCGGGAGGGATGTATCACGACTCTCAGGGAGGACATTGGCACGCCAGCGGCTAACGAGGACTATGGGCTACCCAAATATAGGGGCTCCGTTCACCTGGTTCGAGTGTGGATATAAGGGGAGTGGATACTTGAGAAATGTTGCACCGAAAGTCCGCTGCGTGCCTTGATTCGAGGGCATCCTGCTGGTGGCATCTCATCCCGCCAATCAGGACGGCCAGTTCCTGGGTGACATGAGCCCTCAAGGCCTACGGATGGATAACGGCAGTTCTCCCTTTCGCGCTTCTCACTCCGTCAACCCACAAGGAACAAGTGGCGGACAAGGTAGCTTTTGGAATTCCCCATTTGGTAGCCTTACGGTGGTCTCCATTTCACGCTTCAACGAGCCGAAAGTCTCGACTGAATCGATCCCTCGTCATTGTGGGAAAAGGCAGGGCTGACGCCTTCAATCAATCTTTGCTGTTCTCCTCTTTTATTCTGGGCCTCTTTTTATTTGTCTTTTTTTTTTTACTTTCCCCCCCTTTTTTTTATTTTTTATTTTTTTTAGGAAACCAGTTACTACTATCACGTCGATCCTGGACGGCAGCATGGAGTTCATTCGTGCAGAAATCTTGGGGACTACGTTCGAAACCACCAGCAGGTACTGGCCTTCATGGGTGAGATACTTCGTAACGGTGTAAAATAACATTCCATCAGATACGCAAATGTGCAACCGGTCGGTTTGGGTGCGTTCGGACTTGTGTGGTATATACTACACCTATCCTGGATATTGGGTCCAAAGCGATCTTGGCCTCTGATTTTTGCAGGCTAACAAAAGGGGCTTCAGTTCCGCATATGACCAAATAACTCAGCAACATGTCGCCGTCAAGAAGATGATGAACCCCTTTGCCAACTCTTCCATTGCCAAGCGGACGTACAGAGAGGTCAAACTTCTGAAACAGCTGCGCCATGAGAATGTTTGGACCCCTCAGTCGTGCTCACCCGCAGATACGCCTGCAACGCTAACTTGAGGCAGCTTATTGGCCTGTGCGATATATTTATCTCTCCACTAGAGGACATGTACGTATGGCAGAATTCTACATATAGATAGATTTTACCTTGGAGCCAAGCTCTCACAGCGTACTGATGCCAGGCTTTGCTAGATACCTGGTAACAGAACTCCTGGGCACTGATCTCAGTCGACTTTTAAGGGCAAGGCCCCTCGACAATAAGTTTGCTCAATACTTCATGTACCAGATACTGGTATTGCTTCTCGTATAGGTGATGATCTGGTAGAGAGATTCTAACCTTCTACAGCGCGGACTGAAATATATCCACTCTGCCGGCGTCATACACCGTGATCTGAAACCAAGCAATCTCCTGGTTAATGAGAACTGTGATTTGAAGATTTGCGATTTTGGTCTGGCTCGAGTACAAGAACCTCAGATGACCGGTTATGTCTCGACGAGGTACTATCGAGCACCAGAGATCATGTTGACATGGCAGAGATACGGTAAGATGGTGGATATCTGGAGTGCGGGCTGTATTCTCGCCGAAATGCTTCAAGGAAGGCCACTGTTCCCAGGGAAGGACCACATTCACCAGTTCTTCCTGATCACAGAAGTGCTAGGAAACCCACCTCCAGAGGTGGTTCAGAAAATAACTAGTGGAAATGTGAGTGTTTTCACTCCTGCCTTACAAGAGACCACATTAGAGGCTTACACTAAGGGCCTTCTAGACTCAGCGGGTTGTCAATTCACTACCAAAACAGGAGCCACGTCCACTGAAGGCTTTGTTCCACGAATTCGACAACAATGGTAATAACACTTTAACTCGAATAAACCCACGTTTAAGGTGACTTATTTGTTATGACAGTCATCAGCCTCCTCGAACAACTGCTCTTGTTTGATCCAGACAAGAGACTAACAGCTGAGACCGCTTTGCAACACCCCTATCTCGCTCCTTACCATGATCCCGACGACGAGCCTGCAGCTCTCGAAAAATTCGACTGGTCGTTCAATGACGCCGATCTTCCTCCAGAGACATGGAAGCTTATGATGTGTGTTGTCATTAGTTCCGCAGAGTGTGCAATTAACTAAGAATCTGCAGATACTCCGAAGTCCTCGATTACCACAGCCTCGGTTCGGCTGGGGCACTGGATCTAGGACCGGGGATAGAGGAACCAACATTTGACCCGACTTTCGACTTTCTCCAGGCGGATATATGAACTTCATCGAGAACTGAGAATACACGCAATGACCTACACTCGCCACTCAATACAGGAAATGAGGCCAAAGGGATAGTGCATATGCACCTTTTTCTGGACGCCACTGGAGGGAAATTGTGACCCATGGAATCCACCGTTGAAACCCTGGCATATGCAGACTGGGTAATGAGTTTTGGGTAAGTGGACTATATTTGGAGACTTTATGTGCCCCTTACCTATTGAGGTCTCCACAGAGAATATTAAATAGTGAAATCCAAAGCAAACATTCTAAACCAGTCAAAGACTTTTTTGTTTCTGTTCAGATCTGTTGTGATCTGCTTCGTACCGACTACTGCAGGCTGCGGCGCTTACCTGATATTTGTATCTTTAGGTGAACGAATCCTATTTCATTCCCCAACCGTCTTGCCGCAGTTGAACCACCGAGAAAGCGAAGAACATTCATCTACACACGGTTAACGTCATGCAAATTCTCTTCAGCGCCCCTCTCTTCCTCCTCGGCACAGTGTACGCCCTCCCCTCCATTCAACACCAGCATCACACCATCCCAAACGTAACCTGGGAATTTTCCGTGTACCAAAATGACCATTGCACGGGAGAAATAACACTTTTCTCCGGAATCCGAAGCACATCGTGTCGCGACGCGATTCTTAACGGCGGAGCGTTGTCCTACATCCCAGACAAAATCACTGATTCCCATTGCAGGGTTTATCTCTTCAACGATAACCACTGTTCTAGTAACCAGACGGTCAGTGTCTTTGGGAAGGGTATAAGGCCGACCTGTCGGGTGCCGAGATGGGAAGGAAGTGAGACTCAGATCAGGAGTTTCTATGTGAAATGTTGAATTTGACCTTTTCTTTACTCTGAGAACACTGCTTTGAGAAGTGGGTTGCTATGGCGGATCAGTGGAGACGTTGAATTCCATATTTACGAATATATACCATGCCTACAATTAGCCAATTTATGATGTCATTTAATGAAAATACGCTATGATGATCTCGGGTACCTGAACCACTCTCTCCAGGCTTTACCAAAAAAATTTAGTAGCTCTCAACCGAGGCAACCCCCTCCACCCTGTAAGGGAAACGGATCAAAGCAAGGGACTAACCCTGCTACAAGCCATATACCAGTATTTAGATAATACAGAGAATTGAGAAAGGCGGTAAAAATGAAAGAACTATAATCAGAGAGGCCCTAGTTTCCTTCCGTAGAAAATTGATTTACCAAGTAAGAGTACGGCAATTGCATAGATTGTCTGATACTGCTGGGCTTTATATTGAATAGCTATTGAACGAGGGATATAAGGCCAAAAAAAGAGCAGAGTAACAAGCAAGTCTCCATAGTCTAGTGGTTAGGACGGCGGTCTCATAGCAATATGACAGCTCCTATCTAAAGGAACTGCAATCCGCAAGCACGAGTTCGATTCTCGTTGGAGGCACATTCTTTTTTCGGCTCTGATTTTTTTTTTTATAACTCACTCAATTTGTTCCATGACCAAGCAGGAATACCCGGACAGTGTTCCTTCGGCCATAATAGCGGCAGGAAGGAGGTGATGAGGACTTGTTTCGCCACCAGATTGTGGACCTAGATCCAAATTGGCGACACTCTCGATCGGTTCGGTGGTCAGAGTTAGTAAGTAGCAGTGCATAAATATGCGAACTTTTAACGCCAAGTTTCCAATATATCCAGGGAACTCAGGAGTGTATACTGTCGTATTCAAACAAGGGTTTCTTGGTGTGCCATCACTGCAGGAATATCTGCTCACCACTAACAAATGGCTACGTATATGAAACTAGAGTTATGGCCTCTATTTTCTTGAAGCACGCCTTAAGACAATAGCGTAAAAGTAGTCGAATGGTTCTGCATTTGTATCTACTACAGCTTAAAACATATATACATACAAACTTCGACTTCCGGCCTTACCGCAGAGGCTTGTAAGTAGGACAGAACTCAAACTCCATGCAGTCACCGGAGACCAAAACACAGCGGCCATCCTTTGGAACCTGGCCGTAGCCACAGGCAGGGCCAATCTCTGAAACACACTCACCCTTGAGCAGTCTGAAGCCCGGGGCGCAATCAGGGCCCTTCTTGAGCACATACTTCTTACCGTTGAATTCGAATCGCTCAGGATCGGGGCACCTGGGAATCTCCTGAGAGACACACTCGCCTCCCTCCGGGATACTAGTACCGTCTTCACACTTGGACTTGGTTCCAAGGCAAGTCTGGATCTTGGGGTCCCACTCCGCGCCATCGTCGCAACGAATCTTGTCATGCTTGGAGAAACATTCTCCGTTCTTCGGGTCATAGCCCTTTTCACATTGAGTCTTTTCAAAGGAGACACACTTGTTCTTGCAGGGGATCCATTTATGATTGGGAGGACACCTGGGTTCTTCTTCAATGACATAGCTCTCGCCATCCCAGTTCCTTTGGGACAATTGACACGACAAACCACAAAATCCTTGCCAACAAGGTCGCCAGTCTTACACTTGACCTTTCTCTTGGAAACACACTCGCCCTTTGCAGTGAGCTTGCCGCCGTCAGGACACTCGGAGGTCTTTGTCGACACGCAGCGGCCGACTTGGAGGAAGAACCCATTGGCCTCGTTGCAGACCGGCTTACGACCAGTAAGACACTCCTCGCCGTCAAAGTTGGCGCTTGGATCCTCACACTCAGGGGTCACATTGGAAACACACTGGGTTCCGTCAAAGTGCGCTTTTCCTTTGTCCTCGCCGTCGCAGTAGGGCTTGATTATCACAACACAGTAGTTGCCCTCCTGGCGAGAGCCCTTGGGACATTCAGGGGTGAGCTCCCAAATACACCTGCCGTTCTCGAGCTTGCTGCCAGGTTCCAAACATTCGGGAGCCTCATACTCGACGCAGGCATTGAGACTGAGTTCATAGTTGAGCATGGGAGGGCAGAAAGGACCTTTGCCAATACATTGGCCCTTGCTCTCTCTAAATTCGGGTGGACAATAGGCAAGACCACCAGATGGCTTCGTACAGCGGTCCTTGCCCTGGGTGGTGTCGGAGGGGCACCCGTCCGTGCCGGGAATGGAATAGCAAGCTTCCCCATCCCAGTGCATACCAGGCGAGCAGCACTGACCAGTTTGAGATGCCAAATCGTAACTGTAAGTGTATCCATCCTTGCAGGTCGGCTTAATGTTGCCAACGCACTTTCCATCCTGGAGCTCAGCATCGTCTCCACAGCCGGGCGTAATATCAGAGAGATAGAAGCCAGTCTTCCGGTTGAACTTGCTTTCATCATCGATACATACTGGATCTGAATCAGAAACACAAAAGCCGTTGTCAAAATTGCCAGCCTTGCAGGTAGAAAGCGTTCCAGAAACGCATTTTTGAGCTCAGGGGCCCACTCGGAATCAGTGCCACAGACTGGAGGCTTCTCACTGACGCACAGTCCGCCCTTGAAGCTTGGAAGCTCAGCTATGCAGATCCCTGAAGCAACGCCAGTTCATCTCTAGGTAGAGTGAAGGCCACCTACTAATTACTAGCGGAAATACATACATCTGTAAAGGCCTTTAGATTCTTTCTTCGCGACCCACTAAGAGCGCTATGTACATGGTCCATATGTAACACGGGAAAACTGTCATCCTTGAGATTTAGGTTAGGAATTTCCGACGCAGCTGTAAGGGTCTTATAGATACATCGCTGTTGCAGGTGGAAAAACTCTGCTTGTGCGATTACCATTCATACATGGACCCAGCTGTAAAAAAGAACCCCAACTGGCCCACAGTACGGGATTAGTAGTCCGCTCCCAAAGTGATCTAGCTCATCAGGCATATAAGTTTACTATTTATCTCCTGGAGTCCTTCATGGCAAAGCCCCGACAAACCCAGTCCCCTTCTAGCAGCTCGATTCATCATGCTTTTAAAACCGAATCTTAAATTCCTGACACTCCTGGCCAGCAGCAACGTGCTAGCCAACCAATGTTGCTCGGCGAACAGCGAAGCCCCAAAGGAGAATTTCCATGAATCCTGTTCCGGCCCGTCCAGCGGGACGGGAGTCGTCGCTGGATATGACTTTGACTACATGTGCAACAAGCACCCCAGCACGTATGAACCAGGCCAAAGGGGATTCAAAACGGCACAGACATGTGCCGAGCATCGTGCTACAGACCCCCAATGCAAGGCCAGTGTATGGAGAGCTTCGAGCAAGCTTTCTGCTAAGGTTACTACGGAATCCTATGACGCCGTTATCGGTGACGGATGGCTCTTTCTCGAGAAGAATGAGAGATCCGACAAACTGTCGGACGATTGCCAGGGACAAATCGATTCTGTCACCAAAGAATGCAAAGAGAGAGAGGCTAAACGCCAGGAGGAGAATGAAGCCTGTGGTGAAAAGATCATCAGATGCGAGTCGGAGAAATTGCGAAGCGAGAAGAGCCTGGATGAGTGCCAGTCTAGCAAGGATACCCTGTTGCAGGACAACAGGAACTCCCCTGAGAAGGCCATGCAGTGTGAATCCAAAAAGACGGTATTAGAAAGCCAGCTGGACCATTGTCAGAAGGACCAGACTACAGAAACCACCAAGTGCAATGATAAAATTCAACAAAGCGAGGCGGAGAAGAGATCAGCTGCCAACCAGTGCAAAAGAGATCGACGGGAAGCGGAGGATAAATGCACGCAAGAAAAACGAGCCCTAGAAGAGCGTATCAGAACCCAGAAATACACTGGCAAGTGCAAGATTGGGCATACGACAGTCTACTATTGATCGAATTTTGTCCTCTCCAAGGATGGAGAGTTTTATCTCCGACTTGAAAGCGTTAACAGTTTTTGTCCTTGATGATTATTCACTGGAAGCCAGTAAGCAAGAGGTGAGAACATTCACTTCTCGGTATGAGCTTGATTTCGAGCTTTGGGGTCACGATAGTAAGTATTATTCTGGTTTGTCGGAGACGGAGGGCCGAGCGATATGGGTAGATAAATCGGCTTCACTTCTGGACAGAGCTCGGGGATGGGAGTCTGAGCCTGCGTGTTATCTCAGTAATAAATGGTAGATGACTTGGTACGATGTGGCTCGGTTTTTGGGTAATCTGTTGGAATATCTTGAATGATAGATTCAGTACTTGTCACTTGGAGCTGGCAGGTCAATCAATTTCACATAAAGTTCGGAGAGGTTCACTGAATTACGCGTGTACAAGGGTACAGGATCCATGATAGACTCTGTTTCTTCCACAACTCTGGGCTTTTCTGGACGTAGTTTGGTAGGTACTATAATACTGTAGGGTGCTCTGGCCTAAAACTCTTGAGGTGCGTGTCGCGGAGCGTCCAAGGGCGTTGCCGATCACTCGGAATCAGTCACACAAGACTCCCATAAAAGCAGCGGGACATGACACAAGGTCTAGAGGGCACGATCAATGTGAACTAACAGCAGCAAATTAGTGGGTAGCTTGGTATACATACTCCAAGCCTTATCAAGAGGGTTACTCCACATGTATACCTCGACTCTCACTTTAATATTTTTAGATTAATCGCCGAGAAAAAGAAAATTGGCGCTAAGCTAAGCTGAAGATAAAAAATATAAAAAATACAAATACAAATAAAAAAGAAGATCTCCGTCAAACCTGTATGTATGGTAGAGTCATTTGTTCGGTTGGAGTCGATGCATGTTTACCCCAACACATACATTAAATATGGGCCTTGGCAGTTGGAGACACTCGATGAGATCACATCACGATACAAGATCATGACAATTAGCTGGACTGGTTCCATTTCTAACACTTATGCTAATCGCGCTGATCACGATAATACTACGTAGTACTAGGAGATGCTCTGGGATCAATGGCTGGTGGGTGTACAGTTACATAATCGTCAGCTCGGCATTTCGGAACCCTCTAATAATAAAGTGATAAGTGCTCTGATATTGTCGCGCACTGCATGAAATGTTTTCGTACATCCCAATTTTACTTCAGCAGTTTTGCATTAATTGAGTATATATCCCCCATCCACAATCAAGGCATGGCCCTGAACAAAAGATGCGAAAGTGGAACATAGGAACAATACAGTATCCGCAACTTCGTCTGGCTGCCCCATTCTTCTCATGGGGGCAATATCCACGGCGGGCCTCAGCCTTTCACGAACTTCCTCGCTGTGTGTTGTCATCGGTGTCTCGATTATACCGGGGCAGACACAATTCACTCTGATGTCATCTTTCGAATAATCTATAGCGTCAGACCGTGTCATGGCGATTATGGCGGCTTTGGAGCTACAGTAGGCAGCTTGTAGACGTTAATAAAACTATTACGCACCGAGAGAGCAGCAGAGAGAGAACAAGAAGGCATTGACTCACGAGCCTTAGGGCGGCCAACTATGCCTAGCTGGCTTGCAATATTGACCACAGCCCCCCTCTGAGGAGAGCGACTAGGATCATGACTCGGTAGCGGCTCCTGCTTGATCATCTGTCTTAGTTCTGCCCTTGAAGATAGCCAGCATCCTCGATAGTTGACATTATTTATTTGGTCAAAGGTCTCTGTCGACATCTCTGTCGATCGCAGAGCATCTCCGAAGATTCCAGCGCAGTTCACTGCGTAGTCCAACCGTCCAAAGATATGGGCTACCTCGGCAATAAACGAGTCCACAAATTGTTCATCTGCGATATTCCCTGCTCGGGCAACGAGGTGGGCTTGAGGGTAGGAGCTAAGGATTGCTTGTTTGGTTTCATCTAACGATGCTGGGTTAAGGTCTGTAATTGCGATTCTATCACAGCCCGCCGAGGCAAAACTTCTTGCAACTGCTGCTCCGATACCTGGCTGGCCTGTTAGCAATACAAACCATAGGAGTTTTGCGATATCTCATCGCACCAGTCCCACCCGCTCCGGTGATGACGGCCACACCGGGAAATGTATAAGCGCGCGCCATGAATCTGCGTAGAGGTTGTCTCGAGCTCAGCTGTGGAATCTTCTTGCCAAAAAGTAAAAAGTAAAAGGTAAAATGAATACTACTATACTACTACTACTACTACCCATACACAGTAGTATTAAAATAAATAAAGAATTCGCAATCAAGCCGATCGGGTTGTGGTTATATCGTTGGAGTCAAAAAGTCGCGGTGGGGTTCCCGAAGTGGGCGCTAGTGTTGGAGTCAATCTTTCTCTCTTGTGTCTGTCCCTCAAACTCCATTCAACCTCCTCCAAGTCAGAAGTCCGCCAACCCACCCCCGAAAAACCCCCCCTTGCATACAATTGTCTCCAAGTGGGGAGCTATACCTATCCGAATCGTCTGTGTGTTACTCCCCCAAATGTCTTGATGCTGTCACAATCGTCCTCACCTCAACCTCGTGGCAATCGTCGCTCGAGCGTTGGAGCAAAAGCTCGTGTCTGCGACCATTGCGGGCGGACATTCAGGAGAACGGAACATCTGGAACGGCACGTACGCACTCGTAAGTTGGACCCCGTCCTCATGGGAAAATTAAGTAATAAATTATGCCGGATATCGCATTGTTCGCAAAAAAAAAAAATAGTCCATTATTAAGGATTTCTGCGCAGATACAAAGGAAAAGCCGTATGTCTGTTTCTGCGGGGCTGCATTTACCCGACGGGATCTGCTAAAGCGCCACACGCGCATCACCCATGAGAATAATGGCTTGATATCGCCGACTTCACAGCCCCAGCAAGAAGCTGCAGGGCAGTCGCTTGCGCGGCATACATCAGATCCCCCGGTGACCCAACCATACAATGTACAACCCGCACCACGCCCGGATATCCCTCTCGTACCACCTCCTATGGAGCAGTGGTCCGGGCCGCAGCACGGACCGTACCTGGAACAGAACCAGAGCATGCTTAATGCAGGTGGTCAGAGTACAGGCTTAGGCCCACATCCTGCAGTAACTCATGATGCGGACATCTTACAGGCTGCTCAACTATTGCTTCCCGGTAGCTTTCGGGACACACAACCCCCTCGTAAGTATTATCCACCATGGTGCTCGGATAGTCATAAGGCTGACCCCTCTCTAGCCCAGCCATTGCCGTATCTTCCAGAAGAGCTTAATCATTTCCAAGAATTCACCCATTTCTTAGACTCCATTGGACTGCCTTCGGAATGGGTTCCCGCCCTAAGGGATGTGCCTCAGGTTCAGGGTACAGTTCCTGCGGACGTGCCTGACCCGGTCAGGAACCCGAGAGAGCCTCAACAGGGTGTATCTCGTCGGAGCCAGGCGGAGCGCTCGCGCGCCGATTCGCCCTTCCGATCCTGGCTGCCCTCGGTACCTTCAGGGGATCAAAGCTTAGGAACGGTTTCCGACTATGGTGAGCAGTGGATCCCCTAACTGATCACCGAGTTTAATTGAGGTCAGAGTTGCTAAACTTCTCCAGAGCCTCCTCAACATTCCATGAAGGTCATTCCGCCGAAGGTTAGCGAAGAACAGCGGCTACGTCTTGCGGCTTCCTTAGAAGAGCATCGCCACCTTATTCCCGACTTCGTCCTCCCGTCGCGGCACACGTTAACAAGGTATCTGACATCTTTTTTTGATGGATTCCATCCTCATCTACCATACCTACATCTTCCAACACTGCGAATCAATGAGCGCGCCCCTGAGCTTGTTTTAGCCTTGATGACAATAGGTGCCCAGTATCGGTTTGAGCATCGTAACGCAGAACGGCTTTTCTATGCTTCCAAGGCAATTGTGTTGCATAAACTGTCGAAAGAAACACACACCCCACTGGCAGCATACAATGGTATCATCCAAATACCGTTGGATAGCATTCGTGAACTATCCCAACAGACAGGGCAAGCTACAGCACTATCTCCTTCGGAAAATGATCTCGGAACGAGTGCGTGGAGACAAATCGAAACCATTCGCACCTTGCTCACCTTAATGGGGTACGCCACATGGGAGAAGTCTGAGCTGGTTCAAGAAGCCTTTAGTTTACAAGGCCTGCTGGTGCGGTGCTTGCGCGAATTCGGCTTGACTGAGAACATTACGGTTGTCCCAAGACACTCACCCATGCAGTGGCATGAATGGGCGGAAGAAGAATCGATTCGACGTACCAGGTTTATCTCCTTCTGCTTCGTCCATGTCCATAGTATAGCGTACAACATATACCCGGTACTTCGCAGCAGTGAGGTTCATCTGCGACTACCCTGTTCCACGAAGGAGTGGAAAGCAACCACCGCCCAGGAATGGGAGCTGGCTCAAAAAGAGGCTGGCGCTCAACAACTGTTCTTTCAAGACGCTCTAGCACTCTTACTACAACCATCGCGGACGACTGTCTTGCTAGAGCCGATCCCTGCGCCACTGGGGAACTACATTCTTCTTCATGGTCTTCTTCAGCGCATCCATCTTGTGAGTGAGCTCTCTTTACCGACCGGAGACCAAGCCCTTGCTCTACCGACAGAAGAGCTGAATAAACTCGAGTGAGTTACTCCTATCCTATGTCTTTTAGTAAGTCATTGACGTTCCTCACTAGGAGAGCTCTCCGATCCTGGACTTCAGTATGGCAACAAGCCCCGGAATCGAGCCTTGACCCTCACAATGATAATGGTCCCATCCCCTTTACTTCGAGTTCACTGTTGGGATTAGCCTACGTTCGCCTTTCCCTGAATCTGGGGCCATACCGTCAACTCGAGACTAGGGACCCATACCGCATAGCCTCTGCGTTGCACAGGTCACCTAGGCCTGGCAGAAGCTATCGACTGACTCCTGCGCTTATATATTCAGCGCATGCGTTAAGTATCCCTGTGCGCCTAGGAATCGATCATGTTGCGCGCAGCCAAGCGTTCTTTTGGAGCGTCCGCCACTCAATTGCCAGTTTAGAATGTGCTGTCCTCCTCAGCAAGTGGCTTCTCTCTTTAGCGGAGACAGGGAGTGATCAGAATTTAAGTGGTATGTACACATGGATTGATCATCGAAATGAACAGTGCGGGTTAGCTAATTTCAAATCGCCTAGATAATGAGAGTCGAATATTGAACTGGACACGTTGTATTGTCGAAGAAGCATATTCCTCGATGGACTTGGAAGACTGGGAAGCTGTCCCTAGCTTGGACCCTGTCGGCCTTGGACTTGCAGTCATCAGACTTTGGTCCCGCCTGTTCCGAAAGAACACGCAGTGGCCGTTTATCAATGTTCTTGGAGAAAGTCTTGAGAAATACCTGACATTGATTCGTCCGGGCTGAGAGATCAGTAATTATCTTGATATCCGGTATATAGGACGCTATTTATGGCAGGCGGGTCGACCAGTAACATAAAAACAAAGCGACATCGATAACTTTGTTTCTACCACGTGTCCCTCAACCCGTGCGAGGGTCCGCGTGTGGATCAACTCAGCCTACTGAGCACTACCTCCATCGTGATGTTGTGGTCAAGCCAGGTACGAATGCGACGCCGCACATACATCTGGATAGTGGAAAGCTCTATCCTGACAGGAGCCCAGCTTTCTGCACCATCCCAGTCCCATGAGATTCGGTAGTCTTGATGCATCACGGGTAGATGATGCGCCTGAGAACATAGACATTGGTGGTTAGGTACATAACGCCTTGAAGGCACATATTGTCCTGGACTCTATCCAGGTTGGCGGAAGGAAAATTACCTGTGATTGAAAACTATCGCGAAGATTCAAGGGTTTCCTATTTGGGATACTCCTCTCTACACAAACTTCTCACAAAGTACAGACAAAGCTTTGCGTTATACCAGCATATCATGTATATAAGATATGTACATACCATCATGTGGCTTTGCAAGTCATCAGCCATTGTTATAACTACCATGGAGGTGGTTACGGTGGGCACCCAAAATATAAGTATTCTAAATCCATCATTGTACAAATCAAACTTCCCATGTTGACAGACATTTATCGGTGCATTAGTCTTATATAGGCTTCCTTGCGGTCATGGATTGCCTTTCACAGCAATGCCAAAGGATTCCGCCCAACATTACGGCCTATGTACGTGTAAGGTCGAGGCAACATAGGTGATTAGAAATACAATATATAGATTTAGAGTTGCCGTTGTCCTACTGGATAGGGAGTATGTCAATGCATAATAACCTTATTGAACCAGGAGCAATATTGTGAGAGACAAAAAAAAGTGTAAAGGGAGAAGAGAAAAATAAAGAAATTAAACAAAAAGAAAGACACGAAAATGTGAAAAAGAAAAAGATGTTGACGAGAGTGGGATTTGAACCCACGCCCCTTTCGAGACTGGAACCTTACTCCAGCTGAGAGATTATTAGTGAACGTTCGTTGAGATACTATATTGATAGTGGTACTAACCGCCTTGGACCGCTCGGCCATCTCGCCTATGGGTTGTGAAACTGGCTTTTTTATAGATCCTTAAATGCAAGAATACAGCACCCACACTAAGCCCGAGCATTGCAAGGTAGAAAAATGAGATTACATTTAAGTATAATTGCTTCCGAACTTTAATTGCCATTTGACTTTGTTTTGTCTTGTATCATGTTACCTTGTTTTATCTCCTCATATTTTGTTTGGTTCTGGTCTGGATAAAGCTTCAGAAGGCAAGTTGGAGTTAGGACGGGGAGTGGAGTGACAAAATATAGATTTGGTGGAAGAGAGAGGTAATTTGTAATATGCGCTCTGGGCTGGATGTCGGCTAATAGAACAGCCTAATATCGCCCAAAAACCTAGACGTCACGATCATCGAAACCATCAGATTCCAGACTACAAGGGCATGCCTGTCGATTTTCTTCCCCTTAATCGAGGGCGATACATAGGACGACATCCGTTGGGCCAAAGAGTCAGATTAGCTCTGTGCACGAGAAACATGGCTTCCAGGTAGCTAAGCTAGTCGGAAATGCTGGAATTTTGTAGCTCCTGATTTCAATGTAGTGACGTAGGATAGGTGCTTATTATAGCTGCACCATTCCCATGGAACTGTTGGCTCTGGAATTTTGAGGTCTGGACTCTGGAATTGATGTTCGCCTATCAGAGCGATGACCGCGGCTGTCTGCTCTCCGATGAATTGCCCAGCAAGGAGTGAAAGGGATCATAGTCTCGGTAATTCGTATGTACATCCAGATGGATCTGGAGTAAGGCGAAACATGGAATGCGGCAGGCCTAGTGACCAGGCCGCAGCATCAGGTGATAAGGGCCCCGTGACTGAATATGACCTATCCCCTTCGGTTTGTTTAGAATTTCCAGGGTGTTAGTGTATCCCATCTCACAAAGGAAGGTTTTTATTTTCCCGATATGTTTTGGTTGAGACCAGGGTAGAGATGGGACAATGCAAGGACAACGATATTCCCCGAGAGAGGACACGGTGCTGATATTCGTTTGTGCCCCAGCTAGTCAACCAATCACTCGGAGGAGGAGTCATACACGGACATCCATGTAACTCGTTCCGATCTAGGTCTGACAAGACCCTCGGACAGATGTGGCTTAAGGTCTTTCATGATCCTTCAAGAGGAAGTGGATCACCAATGACACCCAGGGACCGAACGGTGAGCCGGTCATTTGACGGGAAGGCCATCCCACACCCAGCCTTTGATGGATATCCGCCGTTCTTTTCTCCATAGTTCGGCCCCATTTCGTGGAAGGTGGCCTGAATTATTATGTCTAGAATCCGAGGGGTCCAATAAAGAGCAATGGTAGTGTCAACTAAATACTACTAGTAGTTGTGCGGGTGGCAAAGAATAAACCAATTGTTGCATTAACATTTCACTACTCCGTACATCTCACAATCATGACCTAATAGTCCCCAGGACCTTTACCCGATGTAGACAAAAACTACTAAAATGTAGTCCAGAAGTGTTTAGTCCACGACTACTTATTCTCCATGTACTGTACATACCTCGCCCTGACCATCACTCATTGAATTTGGTAAATAAATACCTCTCTAGAATTCCCTCTTCCATGTGGACCGCTCTTTGTTCACCGTTTGCTCTTTAATCTCCTCTTGAACCAGTAGGAGCTCGTGGGAACGGCAGCTCTCCAATGGTGGCCCCGATTGTAGGGCAGCAACTTTCTCCTCTTTCCTTTTCCTCCCTTTATTCAACTCCTTTTAATTTTACCCAGTATCCACTTTGGCTATCCTCTCACTCGAAATACACTGCAGCCAACGGTAAGACCCAACAACGGCTAAGGCCAACAAAGAGCGAGATCGTCGCTTGTTCTGCCTGCTTTCGTCTTCGTCTCGCCTTCCCCAAAGCTGCTGCATCTACCGACTACAACTGCGGCTGAAGAACGGTGTGAATATCTTGCCTGTCGAGTGGATAGCTTGGCAAGGGAGGCTTGATTGCTTCATTACGCTGCGAGGATCTTCTGGGTTTTACTCGGCCTTTGTCAACGTGCCCTTGCAGTGGGTTCCCCGGACTGGTCAACGGTTTTTTCCAATACGAGAGGGTATTCTACCTCTCATTCTTACTCTCCTCTCTAGTACTAGTTACTGACCAAATTTACTATTGGCTGTTTCGCTCGCTTCCCCCTGCGTTGGTTGTGCTCTTCTTTCACACCCCTCAATTCACCGCTAGGCTTCGATCTGTGAATGCATTTCTGTTACCGCTATCTCACCTTGGACAACCGTCTCCCCAAAATGCAGTCACAACCTCTCCTCCTGACTATGTAGTTTCTGCGATACACTTCACTTGCTCCATACTTACCTCTTCCCAAGTTTACCATTATCCTGCGCTCAAAATGGAGTCTCTCCCAAAGGGCTTGGTGTCGACGACGAAAAAAGTGCCGTCGGAGCTGGATGACAGGAATATCGTGGATACAAGCGATGTTAGGCGACTGTGGAAAGGTAGTCCATTTCCTCCGATGTAGCGATAAGCTGACTGAGATGTTTCAGTATACAACACTCATCCTTCGGTCCATGAAGGCGACATTGGATACAGACTGGAGAACTTCTTCTGGAGGATTTGGAGTAGCGACCGGCTTTGCGGCTCGCTTGACGGGTCCATGCTGGCCAAACTGTTTCAACAAATATCCGAGTCTAATCCTATATCAATCTCTGCACTCCAGCAGTTAAAAAAAGTGAGCAGGCGTATGCCTCCGACATCAAGTCAACATCTCCATGATTTAGACAAGAGGCTAATTCCCGTCCCCCAGGAAAAAGGAAGCGACGATAAACCACAAGAATCGCCGGGTAATAGAGCCATAAGAGCGCCTTTACAGCCCATCTTGAAAAAATCAAGTGCGCCCTCAGGGGAGACACACAAGACAACTCGGTTGCTCCTTACCGGTCTAGAAGGCCAGAGCATTACGCGCAAACCATCCAACCCCCCAACCCCCGTTCCACAATCTCAACCTATGATGGAAGATACCAACCGACTGATTTCAAAGCCCAAGGCCGTTTTTGTAAAAGGGAAGAACACCAAGCGTCGGCCGGTGATCATGCGACGCAAATCATCACAAACGTCTTCCGGTGCAAGTACCCGTACCCAAAGCCCACACCGGACTGCAAAACTACTAACCCCGGGAGCTCGGACAGCACCATCCAAGCAAGAAGATTCTAATGATTCTGAAGCTGAGACAGTGCACATAGAGCGTAAGTCACCGTTTCCGGGGGCTATGAAATTACCCTCTCGAGAAGCTCCCCTTCAACATTTAACGTCTCTATTATAGATGTCGTACCTCATGAGAAAAGTGGTGATACGGCAGACAAGCCACCCGAGCTGCCACCTGAGTTTCTACTCAACCTAAAAGAAATCCTCGCCAATAAAGAACCAGCCCCACAGAATACCAAATCGACTCCCCCTAAATGGGGCTTTGTTACCACGGACGATTGGACCCACTACGATGTAAGATATCTATCTGCGGCAAACTATGAACAACCGTCATCGGAATCGCTGGTTGATAAGGGCTTTCGTTCCCGCTTCACGGAGCAAGTTGGCTTGGAGAAAGAGTACTTGGCCAAGTCCGTGGGAGCAAGCTCGAAAGACGGACTACTGCAGTTTCTTCAGTCTAGATCTTTCGAAATCAAAAGCAGTGATGCATCTCATGCCCAGCCGGACTCGCCTGTAGATACACCCGCGACGAGCGCCGGCATTGCAATCCCGACACCAAACACTGATAGCTCTACAACCTTCTCTACTAACAGCCTTGGTCGCGCGACATTTGGAGGCTTCCCAACGCTATTAACACCATTCTCATTGACGCGCGGACGCAGTCAGCTTAGTCTGCTCATTGAAGAGCATCGAAAAAACCAACCGGCAGAATGTAACCCAGTGGGCAGTGACGAACAGCAGTGACATAATGCGGACACCTGGATAGCAGTTGTCACCTTGGACGAGGACACTGGGTACTAGAGATTTTGAGGACCAAGACGTAACTTGGGGCTAATAAGAGATTCAGGGTCCATGATATATGTATTAACGAAGACCAAGATCAAGTAGAATACACGGTGATAATCAATTTCGCACCCAACAACGTCATCTATACAAACCACACCCCCCCCCTGAGACCAAGCTCACCCCAACTCCTCCAACCGCACATAAGAACATTAGGGAAAAAAAAAAGGCTACATCATTAAGCAGGTGCAACCTCCTTCTCCCCAGTCTCCAGATCACCACCAGCCCCCCGTCCACCCCGTAATTTCCACCACCTCAGTCCCTCAATAACCATCCCTGCAACCCAAAACACCAAATTCACCAAATCCACCCAAACAGCATGCCTCATCCTCTTCGTCTTCTCCACCTCCTCCTCCGACCCCTCCCCATAGACCCCAATATACAAACCCCCAAACACCCCAAAAACGACCAACCACAAAACCACCAACACGAACCCCCACCCAAGCCTCCCCAACGAACCCATCACCATCCTCTCCCTCCCCAACTTCCCCAACTTCATCATAACAGCCCCATACCCAAGATACACCAGTCCAGTCCCCGCCCCCAAAACCCCAGTAACGAGCGCATACACCCACTTCGCATTCTGCGCATCCCCGTTCTTATGCGCCGCGCGCACGTCCCGCCCGTAAAGCCCGACGACGGTGAGTCCGAAGACGAGCTGCAGGAAGTGCAGGAGGAGCTGAACGTGGGCTTTTAGGCGGGCCTTGAGGGGTGGTTTGGGTGGAGGAGCTGGAGTGATGGTGCTGCTGAGGTTGATCGAGTTGGGGTTTAGGGTGTCGTCATTGCCGTTTTTGTTTTTGTGGGTTTTGTAGGCTTTGTTGCCGACTTTGAAGGCTTTGAAGAGGAGCATCCACCACATTTTTTTTTTGGGTCCTTTGGATGGTTTCTTTTGTAAGGGGGTGGTTGGTGTGGGTGTGGGTGTGTTGTATTAGATGTGGGACCTGACTGGTAGGAGACGGTAGGGAACTCAAAAGATGAATAGATAGATAGATAGGTAGGTAGGCAGGTAGATAGCCGAAGTAAAAGGACAAGTCCAGATTAAGACAGAATAATTAAGAAAAAAAAAACCAGAACCCAATAAGTTCTCAAGGTCTTGGAGGGAAGCGATCCAGCGCAGAAATATGGATTAAGACCCAACAATGGGCATCTATTCGAGAGGATGGATATAAGAGAAAGAAAGCGTTTGCCGAACGAGAGGATTGAAAGAACGTTTTCTTCTCAATGGAGAAGTCCCGGACAAAAGAAAGGCGAAACTGATTGATCTTGAATGAGGGAGTGAAGGAAAGAGGATTGTGATTGTTCTATCTATCTAGGTGGAATGGGAGTGTCAACTTACGCCCTTATATATGTCCGTCATTGTCGTTGTTGTCAATGGAGGGGTGGATGGATAGACGGGCTTCAGTTGTTTTGTCTTCGTTCACTTTTGTCTGTGTATTGGCCTGTCATTTGAGTGTTACTATATTAAGTATCTTCTGCGATGTTTCCCCCTTCTTTCTTGGAATGGTTTGCGGAGTTCCTGTCCATTCGTTTGGATGTTTGTATCTCCTGTTGAAACATGAGGTGTTCTTGCTATGGAGTCGTAGGAGAGGTTGCGCGCGCTTAATGATGTGGCTTTGGTTTTGGATGTGTTGGTTAGCTTGAGGTAAACTAACTAGGGTTGTACATACTCGGTACGTAGGCGATGAAGAATGGTGGGATTGGGTGGGGTTCGGGGAAGCGCTGGGGTGGGGATCATCCTCCATGGTCTAAATTTGGGTCTGCAGAAGATCCATCGATGCTTGCAAAACAGGATGTGGTTGATTGGAGGATAATGCTTGCCATGATTTTCACCATTTATATACATAACATCCATTTCTCAATCACTGAATACCTGTGCTCCTCCTGCCAAGACGAAGGACACACATCTCAAGCAATCCATTGTTCCTCCCTATGCCCATAAATTATTCCGTATGTGCATGTACTAGATTTTCAAGCCAGGGTGATGGCCTTCTCTTTCTATTTTACCATTTTACCATGTCAGTACTCATCCCTTATGACTTTTTACTTATTAAGTTGACCTAAGTATACCTTAAGTATCCTCTAAATAGTCCAAACTTAGTATGTACTAAACATAGGATAGGTAAAGAGACATCTAAGTACTTACAACAGTCTCAATAAAATATATCTTAATAAGAGGTTGAATTCTTCAATGACTGTATGGAAAGATTACAAACAAAGGATTATTCTCATTGTGCACTGGAGATCACATGGTTGCCGAGTTAGGGCCTTCAGGCGCCTACATCTTTTGTTCCAGAAGCCCAGATATTCTTCTCTTAAAGACCCTTTTGAGCCAAAACCCCACATATTCCTGAAGTAGAATCTTCAAAACTGCATACGCGTCTCCACGGACATCTGTCATTAGCAATACTTCTGTTGTTCCTCAAGAAGCAATCCCTCGGAGTACTTTTTTTACTAGTAGTTCGTCCAGGGTGATCGCCTTATATTAGACGCCTAATGACGTCGCAGACACCTGGTTCCTTCCATTGGATGTCTCGACAATAGCTATATGTAAGTGCGGCTAAATCAACCAGTCACAATGTTGGTCGCGATCCGAGCTGGCGCAAACATAGTAGTTGATGGGAAAAACTACTCCGATAAGTTCTTGGCGGGCTAAAGTTCATTCGTATTCCATCTCCTCATTTCCAATCGCAGGATGACGGCCGATTAGTAAATAATGGATCTTATCACTGATGTCAGAGAACATCTGCCCGATTAGCCCGCATTGTAAGGCATATAGCAGAGGTATAAAATCCAGCAAAAGGTCGTCTTAAAATAATCATTAAAATTGAGGACGATTCGTTCAAACCAAAAGGCTATTTTTAAATCTTTCCTCCTCGGAAACCACCATGTACACCATCGAGAAACCGTTGGAAGGGACCTTTGTCTACTCTCTATTTGGCGTTCAACAGCCTGACAGTTTTCAATCACCTGCTGTTGAAAATCTTATCAGAGCATTCAGTCATCTCATGGATGATGCCAACTGCCACCTTGATCAAGTAACCCAGGATGGGATTCTTTCGCCAGGGTTAGGGAAGACACGGATATGGATTGCCACGTGGAAATCGGTCGCCGACTTCGAGGCATGGTGGGAGTCAGACAATGTTGTCAAATTTTGGTCTTCTCTCCCTCCTGATGCAGGCATGTGGCGCGAGTTTGTCAAGGTCCCATACGGTCGATCCCATTACCAAGCCACGCAAAACCGGCAAGCAGGTTTAGGCGTCCATTTTTCCCACAAGCCGGCCGAGAAAAAAGGTTACTGGGGCTGGATAAGAGATTCCATCGGAGAGCTATCTAAAGAAAACCGCATGGATTCCCTTTTGTCGGCGCCACCAATACCGGAACGAGAGGCCTCTCTCAAAGAAAAGACTTTGGGACGCGTCACAGTCAATGGGTTTCCTGACAATATCTGCTTTACTATTGAGAGGCAGGACCTTTCTGAGATGACAGGAGTTGAAAGAGGTGTTTGGTTTGATCAATTTGACCAAGCTGTCGGCAAGTGGATGGACGATCTTTCGCAGGCAGCCCCAGAAGCGGGAATTTTAACATCCCGTATGTGCTATGACGAGCGCCTGGGGACCTACAAGGAAGGAGATAGTGAGTTCCACAAGCACAACAAAACGATCGAACTGTTCTACTTCATGGATCTCAGGGCCATGGAACGACTGGGTCGATCTAACAAAGGCCATGTTGCATTGCGTAACAATATTTTGAAAACATATGGACCAGGCGGGGCTATGTCAGAATGTGGGAAAATGGCCTTGTGGGTGGAGACCAACATCCTTAAGGCACCTGAGATTGATGCCGAGTATGTTGGATGCGTTCCCGGGACGGGCTTTATGGCTTATCAGAACCATGAAGCATTTCGATGTCAGAAGTAGGCAAAATACTTTAAATTATATTTTACTGTCTATATTCCATGAGAAGTGTGGGCCATTGTCTTTTTGGTAGTTTTTATAAATATATCACTGCCATATCCGCGTTTACTAGGGTCGTGAAATGGGGTGGTTAGCTTCCTTGACGAAATTTGGCCTCATCATCTGCTGAAGTACACCCAAAATAGAAACTTGAGCCACCCCATCTGGTTCAATGGTCAAAAGGGGAGGCTGGTGTCTACGTGCCGAATGCCCAGGCTCATCTTAGATAGCACACTCAATTGGAACAGTCACATCGAACAAGTAAATCCTTCGGGACCTCAGCAGCCTCGCCGGACTAATCTGGGGAACCAGCCACAAAGGCCTCCGACAGATATACTAAGCCACGATTCTTCCACAGATAGTTGATCGGGATCCGAGCCGCATAGCTGCCTTCGGGCCATCCTTGGAAAGTCCACCAGAAACGGGTCCTGGGAGTTGCATATGATCGTAAAAACGTAGACATTAGATTTACATGATGTCAACATACATAACAAAAATAATCCGATACCGAATACCAGCCTGGTCTACAGCCAGTAGCCAGGAAATTCATGCATTATACTGTCGACGTCATGCTCATTAGTATCTGAGTGGGGATTCATTATGTAACCGTTTGCTGAAAAAGAGAAAGAAAATGAAAGGCTAATATGCGATCATGCTAAAACCAAGACTAATAATAACGCAAAGACGACAAAGGAAACGAAGAAGCACGGCCTCAAGAGTGAAACATCACTCCACACGAATGGGCCGCGCATTTATTTGTCAGGGTGGTCGAGTCGTCCCCCCGTCTGTCGCAGTTTTAGCGCCGGCCATGGCCGTGGCCCGATTCCCCGGCGGTAACGGAGTTTTGAAGCACGTCGGGGTGGCAGGTGGCGCCGGGGATGATGCAGAAACTGATTCCTCGTCGTCCTCATTTGCTATATAGTCATCGTCATGCAGTCCTGCCCCACCCATGGAGGAATGATCGACAGACGCCCGGTCATATCCCAGATCATAGGCTGCTGGTTGAGCCGCCGCATTCTTCGTCACGTTCTTCGTCGCCTTTTTGTTCTTCCGACCTTTCATCTTCGCTTTCTCCAATAGTCTCTTCTTCTCTGCCAATCGCTTCCGCTCCTTGCGATCCTTGATCTCGTACTGCCGAATAAGAGCCTCCGGGGGACGGCCAAAGATGCTCTCATATTCACAGAACTCACAAATCCAGATGTCTTCCATGCTTGGTGGGTGGTGAAGGTTAGCGTACTGCTGCTGGATCTTGCGCTGGCGTGCAGCCAGGGCATAGATACTCCCAGGTGACCGCTTCTTCTTTTTACCCACGGCTGTCGGCTCTGCCCCTGGAGCTCGGTGTGATAATTGTCCTTGCTGATCTATCTGGGAAATGGCATGGGGGCTGGTCTGCGTCCCTTGTGTAGAGAACCCTCTCTGGTTCTGTGCAGCCGGGGGTAGGGAACTGGGTGAACGATGTGCGGGGTATGGACTCTGCGCTTGCAGTGCCATACCCTTCGATGAGTCGGATTCACACGTAAAGGTAAACTGGGTTTTTGTGGGGGTGGTAGTCTGCTGTTCTAACATGCTAACATTTCCTGATCCTCGAGGAGGTGAGGAGAATGCCGAGGCTGCAGCGTTAGCTATAGCAGCAGAAATGATTCCTTGATCAGATTTGGCAGTGGTGTCAACTACATTGGGATGTGAGAAAAGTTCTCTACTAAGAAGGGAAGGATATGTGGAATCACGAGTATACACACCTGGTGAAGACGAAACCCCGTCGCGGCGACCTGACGTCCGAACCTGTGCCCAACTGACCTGAGTATGGAGAGACAAGGAAGCCCTGCCTGTGCTGCTACGCGCGCCATGACGCCCAAGGCGCCCTCTCCCCGCACCGGAAAGACCGTTGGACACAGGGGATGCAGGGCTTCCAGTGCCATAGAAAGTACTCACATGACTTCCTTCCCCAGATGTAGGTGCGGAGCTCGCGAGGCCCATGCTGGAGAATTCAGGCGAGAGCGTGGAGTGGTGACCCGCCAGGGTTCCCGGTGTGGGGATCTTGCGTTTCTTCTTATTGTTAGTGTTCTCAAAGGCATCATAACCGTCGGGACCTGCCGAGGACGACTTGATCTGCGTCCGTGCTCCGTTACCCGAATATCCTAGTGGCATCGTCGGGGATGGGGACGATTCACGAAAGCCAGCACTGCGGCGCACAACCACTGGGCCATCTTCGTCGCCGCTCTCCGCGTCAAAGCCGGTCTCGTAAGGGTGATGATGGTCGCGCTCAGGGGTCTGTTCAGGGCCGTCACACTGCTGTACATACACTTTAGACTCATTCACAGCCTCTCCATTATCTGTACACGTTCCGTAGAATAGTTGGGTCGCTGGGGGGGCCGGGGGGTAGAGGATGGACTCGGCCGTCTCGGAAGACAGCCGAGAGCGAAGAGTACGTTTGGGAAGGGGACGGATCAGCCTATCCGGATAGACAGGCGACGGAGTATCTGGGGCTGTGTTATACATCCCATCTGCGGGCGACAGTATCAGCAACTGAACAACCGGCAGATCCTCTCTCGGGAGCTTGTCATCCAGCCCTGGGACAATCTCCTGAAATGACACATATCCAGGCCAGATGATGTCCCCCAGAGGAGTAGGCATCCTTGGTGAAAGGACATACTCAGCGTAGCAGTCATTGTGCCAGTATCTTCGTCTCTTTGAACATCCACAACAACAGCCACACGGGCTTTTGTTTCCTGACACTCCAGTTTGCTGATGATGAATACGACTAAGTCTCCCCCGCTTCCTCACTTTAGGCTCTTTTTCCCTTATTTCCCTTTTTTTTTCTTTCTTTTTCTTTTCTTTTCTTTTCTTTTTTTTTTTTTATGTAGCGAGTGCTAGGATCCGTTCTTTTGGAATTATCTAGAGTGATATTCTTTGGGGCCCGACCTGATATGGTGAGGGTGGAAAGAAAGGACGAATACGGAGATGATCCTAAGCCCCAATACCCACTGTCAGTTGTCATGTTCTAAAATGCTGCCAACCGAACCACAACTCGAGACTAAGTTCGGAGACACGGTGCCTAATTTCTTCCAGGTTTCCCCCGGTCTCAAACGCCAAGGACAGTCTGAAGGACTATCTAGAAAAGCAGAAGAAACTCACCAAGGGAACTATTTACCGAAAACGCCGATGCAGACTTTTTGGTAGCCCAAGTTGTCGGTAAGGACCCCGGCACAAACCCCGACCGTCACCTCAGAACAAAACGGAAAGGGAACGACAAAAAAGAATAAGAAGAAATAACGGGCCAATCCAAACAATCGGAGAAGGGTGGAATGGTAACGGGAAACGAGGGGGAAGTATAGGGGAGGAAGAAGGCGGAGGGGTGTGGAATCGTCTCGTCGTCGTTAATAATAATAACTAATGTTCATCTGGAGCTGCGGACCACTAGTGCCTGTGCCTCAGGCCAGAGCCGGCCGCTAATCCCGTTTGGGTCGGGGATATCATCCGGCATGTTGGCCGTCATTCAATATGTCACAGGAGACAATACCCGGGCGATCAGCGAATGACAAACCTGTAAAGTAACGCTATTTATGGGGTTGGAATTTAGGGTCTATGTCTAAATCCCATTGTAGTCTTGCTAAGAAGTGGGAATAGGGAAGATAAAAGGGGAAAAAAGAGGAATGTCATGATCTACGGCTGACACTCCCAAAGTCTAATTTACTATCCTTGTTATCTCAATTCTCGCATCGCTGCAAGGAACTAGTCCTCTTCTCCCGCATCATCCACCAGCCCCCGTAACTCCAGAATAACCTCCACCACAATCTCCGGACATTCATGAGGCGCCCAATGTCCAACCCCATCCACTATCTTATCTAAAGCCCCAGGCTCCTGATAAATCCCCCAATCCAACTTCCCCGACACAAAAACCGCCGGCACCTCAATCTTCCGCGAACCGTTCCCCAAATCCCAGGCGTAAATGGCTTGTTTTCGGTGCCAGGCGCTGGCAACTTCTGACGCCGCCTAGATTTGCCGCTGCCCTCTCACCAGGTGGGCGTTCTGAGATTGTAGGCAGAAAGCAATAGTTCGATGTCTGTTGAGCCATCACTGGCCAGTCCAGACCCCCCGGATCGCATATCGCGTACCATCTTCTCTATTTGCTCTCCTCTCCCACTTGCGTTTAAAAAGTTGCCGATCGCGGCGTGAACACCGAGGAGGAGAACGTCGGGGAGAGCATACCTGGGATCATGGGAGGTAAAATTTACCACTCTAGTGGTAGGCAAATAGGGCGTGTAGGCGCCTGAGAACCCCCGAAAGGTCTTCAGCCTGTATTTATTTACCGTATTCGTTTTCTCGAATATGAAGTGAAATGCCCCGAACTCTGCGTGGAGGGGACTTAGTAACATCATCGCGTTTTCAACGCTGTTAACGTCTGACGAGTGATGATTCAGGCGAGATCTGAGTTCCGGAAAATACCGGTATAAAGTCATCCATACCTTGCACATCTCAAGCTCTTCTTCATCTTGGCGATAAGTTCCCATGGAAAAAGGTATTATATATGCAGCTTGTAAGGGTGCATAGTTTGTATTATTCAAAGGGCGGTTCTTAGGGTCATAGACTTTAGATATTACGCATTGGTAATTGTCACGGGCTAAACAGGCATCCCGCAGCGCAGATTGGTCACTCCGGGTGACAGGATCAAAATTTTCAGCGAAGATGTTTTCAAATGATGATTGGTACCCCAGTCGAGGGGATGGGCTTACACATGGTGTCTTTCCTCCGTTGGCAAGCATTGGGATCATGATTCCAGTATCGATATGCCTCCATAACTTGCGCAAATCTTCATCTGTTTCACACGAGTCGACATCTTCGACCAGGTTTGATTTACCATCTAGAGATAGGCAACGGAAGAAAGTTCGGAGAAAATGTACTGTCTTATCAGACACATCACTGGATGTATATCGATCGAGTCTAGCAGATAAGGTTTCCCCTATCTGCTGATGTACAGTGAAGTCTGTCGATATTGTGGGACTTAAAATCCCCTCGGAGGGGGATGACATCTTAGCGGGGTGTTAACGCTCACCATTAGCGCGAACGACGCTGGATTGAGAAGGCTAGATATACTCCGTAGACTAAGGTTTAATCTCTAGAGTATGTGGGCGTCCATATTAGTGATTAGAAAAGAAAAGGAAAAATTAGGGGTCCTTACTGGGTTAGAGGGGAAATCTTGGGGGTTCGTCAGTGTCGCGTCGAAAGTTTCGCATCGCGAAGAAGAGCGAAAGCGGGGAAGGCGGCGGACCGGACGGCAGCCAATGAAGACTCAGGCATGGCAAGCAATCCATAGCCCGTAACCGTTCCCGTCACTCACTCAGTCTTGCTCGTTTTCCGCTTCTCTCGCTCTCCTCACTCGGTTTCTCTCTCGCTCGTTCGCTTTTCTCACAAAAAGCTCCCCCACCACCCTTCAGACTATGTAGTCCTCGGCTTTGGTGCGAGCTCGCTGTCGCTGGTTTTGGATCTTCTCAACCTTTTGTCTCAATTGCCAGCTCCTACTCCTTTCTCGCTCGCACATTTGCTTTTCCTCCGCATCATTTTTTCATTCCTGTACGAGTCGCTTTCAACTCGCAGCTCTCTACTCGCGTGCGATAGCTTGCCCACGGGCAGCGTCTGCTCGACATTGCCCTTTGCCGACTCACTATAGCTATACCATCGTGCACCTTTTTATTCTCACGGATATTATACCGTCAGACCAGAATTCCTTATTCTTAGCCCACCTTATATACCCGCCGCCGCCTTCCACCATGACTCCTCGTCGTTCCTCTCGTGCCCGTACCTCCCAACCCTCGCCCGCTATTCTTCAACACACAAATTCCTCGAGTTCTTCCGCCTCATTAACTCGTGAGAGAAGTACTCGTTCCAACGCTAAAAATCCGTCCCCTCAGGGGTCGTCGGGCCACCGGTCCCAATCCATCGACGATGCCGACGCCTCCAAACTCGACTTCCCGCAAACGAGGCAGCGTCAGCGCGCCCGGGGAGACGAAGAAATAGATAAGATTGCTGATGTGGAGGAAGAGGAGGGTGAAGAGGATGAAGAAGAGGAGGAGGAAATAACCAGGTGCCTCTGCGGCCAACAGGAATACCCAGGCCTTCCCCCTTCTCGTCGGGACCTCCTCGGACGCAATGGTTTGCATGGGAGAGTTAAAGATGACCCCATCTTGAATTTCTCTGCAGACTCATCAGACTTGATGTCCGATGATATCGGAAGTATGTTCATTCAGTGTGATCAATGTAAGGTTTGGCAACATGGTGGCTGTGTCGGAATCATGGACGAGGCCATGAGCCCCGACGAATACTTCTGTGAAGAATGCCGCAAAGATCTTCATAGAATAAAGAACGAGTCAAATGGGTATGTCCACCACAGTTATTTGATCTTTTACTTTCGTCGCTTGAAGATATTTTTTCCTTATCCTCGAAGTCGGTTCTTCTCATATGGAGAGGTACCATTGGAATACTTTCCGGGTGGATGGTCCACTGGAACATTTGAATTTTCCTCGTTCATTCGATATTTCTTACGTTCCGTTTTCTAGAAGACGCCATTGAGCATCTCAACGTTACGATTAGGGCACTCGCTTACCATCTGACAGGCAATACTCGTCTCAGTATCTTCCAGTCGCCCCACCCTCCCCTGGTTCCTCCTCCCGAGACTCATCCCGTGATAATTCTAAGCGGGCAAAAGATTCCAAATCGCGACAAAATGATCCATCTAATCCTAAGCGTCGGTCGACGATGAACAGCCGCGACGCCGCTTATGACGAAGAAGAGCAGATTCGTCGTGCAATCGAGGAAAGCAGGGAAGAAACCAAGCCAGCTTCAGAAGAGGTTGCAGCCCGGAGAGGGAAAAGAAGTCGAAGTGATAGCGAAGCGTAAGTAAATATGAGACGGAGTGGGGTAACTCCGCCTGGATCAATGACAACTGAGAACGAATCGCTAACGGAGACGCACTCTAGACACAAACAGGCGACAAAGCGACAGCGCACAAGCTCACCGTCTCCGGGTGCTGTTTCGAATAAACAAAGCAATTCGGTATCGCAGCCGGCATCAGAAGACGAAAAGGCCAAGGCTGCCACAAACGGGACTCGAAGACAGAGAGCTGCATCCCGAAGCCAGCATAATAAGGACACTAAAGATGCCGAGGAGCCTGAGGCCGAACAGCCTGAAGCGACAAACCGTAGAAAAGGAAGATCAGATCGACGGAAAGGTGATGGTTAGTAGTGCTACAACTGTGGTTTGTCGTGTCCGCGAGGCTAATGCTTGTAAAGGTGCGGACTCTGACCACGAAGCGGTTTCGCCAACAAAAACAGTTGCAACGAATCCAGAACCACCACAGCCGAGTCCGGACACAACAGCTCCTGCCCCAGAACCTGCGCCTTCCCGTCCATCTACACGAAAGTCTGGTCGACCGCCCGCGCGCCGCGGTGGGCGAGTGGGCCGCAACCAATATACTAGAGACCGTGATGTTAATGGGAATGGAGACTCAAGCTTCATGATGAATTCCCCCCGGCGCGGACAGTCCCACGACACTAACGGAGATTCACCTAGAGTGGCTGGAGTCAACGGGACATATTTGAATGGCAGTGAGTCAGGGAAGCCTAGCCGGCCGCGATATGTGAACCAACGAACTACTATGAATGAAATGAAGAGACGCGTTGCCGCCATTCTGGAGTTCATCTCCCGAATGCAAGTGGAAATGGCCTCCGCTGGTGAGAGTACTACACCTCCGGGGATTAACAGTGACCGGCTTAACGGCATCCTCATGAAGGCTGTGAGTGAGCAGCTGGAGAATGCCATGGCGTCGACGGTTAGCGAAGCAGACTCTGGTACAGCTACGACCGATGGGGAAACTGGAGCCATATCGACAGAAAAGGAATTCAAGGACTTAAGTAGTGTTGAGATGATGGATGTGCTTACACGGCACCTCCTCAAGTGGCAGCAAGAGTATGGGAAATTCGGCGAGAGGTGACAACATCATTCTTGCTTTGGGTTCCTCTCTCCTCCTTTCTCATATGATCCAATTTTTTCTTGGGCAAATATTTCCACCAGGGATGCTTTTTGATGCGTACGATACCCTGTTCGTCTCTTCTCAACATGTGGATATGTATATTACGGATACTGGAGCAACAGTCTAAACTTGGACCGGTCCCGGCGTTACGTGAAACTTACGGCATTAGTACACTTTTCTGCTTAATATGATTTTTGCTTTTGATCCTCTTTACGGGAAACGGCGTTACTGTCACAGTGACTTTGGATATAGTTCATACTGATTATCGATATTGGTTTCTTTCTCGGATGCGGCGGCGCCTTGCTTCCCGGACGTTTACATTCACTACACGGTTTAGTCATTTCATTTAACTCATGTTGAGAGATAGCTTTGTGTGGTGTTTTTCTCTTGGATTCGTATCTTGATCGGAGTCTTTTCTCGGTTCACTACAGCACGGCGGTCTTGGTGTTGGTTGATTGCATTCATCGCTTGGCTAGCCTGTGGTCTTTACCGGGTGGCCCATCCGGACATTTCTCTTTCCTTTTTCTTTCTCCTTGATGTCTCCATGGACGCGTTGACGTGTTGAAACTGAGATACTTGTAACCCTTTTCTATGTGAAATATAAATCCTAAGCTTCATTCCATTTACTTCATCCAGAGGACGACATTGATCAAAGAGATCGTCTTTCTATGTCTGACCCCTTTTGAATAAGGCTATCAGATGGTTCTATCAGGTAGATTCCCAAGAGCTTGGTACTAATCTGTTTTCTATGGCTTTGCTTGAACGTTCTATAGCATTGTCAATTGGGATTTCCAGTTGCCCTGGATGGATGCGATGACATTTAATTATGTATTGTCGGGGTATACAGGAAAGAATACATACGGAAACTGGGATCCAGTAACTAGAGAAGAGTAGTTATAGTGGAGGTTAAAAGGATACATTCTACTTGGATGTATGTTACAAGGAGAGACAGGGAAAGCGAGGGGCTAATAGAAAACAAAAATGTAATATTGCAATGAAAGCCTATGATGCCCATAATTAGTTTGCTTTCTGGATTGAGGCCGGTGTCGTGCATCTATACCTACAGGTCGTGGTGGCAGCACAACCACTCAAGGCGAGAAGACCGTACGAGGCGTTGAGAACGATCACTGAGCATAGCACTGTCTACGCGTAATAAGACTTACGTATCAAGGACAACTACAGAGCAAGGTATGCGGAAGACACGCATGGCGAAGGTAAAATTTACATCAACCAATTCGAGTATATTACGTTGCTAGGTACAAAGGCCATCCATCATACAAATTGAAGCAAATTGGAAACATTGCGAAAATCAAAGCCCACTTCCATTCACCATCATCCATGGGAGATAGAACATTCAGTCGTGATTTATCGTGCGGATAGATGACTGTGACGTCAATACCCCTGACCCAACCAAAGGAGTTGCGGATAAACTAACCTTAACCAGGTAAAGGCTAAACCAAAGTTGGTAAATGATCTACAGACGAGAAGACTGGATAACCTTGTAGTCCACAACGAGCTCCCGACCACCATCGTTGATGACCAGAGCACGGACGCTGCCGTGGCCGTCCTCGAAGGCGTCCTTGATACGGCCGAACAGGTCGCCCTGGCGTGCAACGGGGATGCCCTGCTTGACATCACCGGTCTCGGTCATGGCGACGATCTCGCCATCACGGAGGTCGAGGATGCGGTAGGTCTTGTAGACAGGGCCAATCATGGTCTGGACGACAACCGAGGGAGAGGGGTTCGAGACGAAGCTGGACTCCTCCTGCAGTTGGCTGGTGAAGAGATCAACACCGAGGTAACGGTGCTGGCCAGTCTGGGGCGACACGGAGATACGGATGACCTGGCAGGGACGGCCCTGGAGGATCAAGATGTCGCCGATGCGAATGAAGTTGCAGGGAATGGGCACGGTGTCAGCGTTCTTGCGACCGCCGCTGCGGGGCTCAACAACGCGAATGGCCTGGCGGGAACCACCACGGGAAACTGGACCGCGATCGTCAGCAACGGCGACATCCTGACGGTCATGATGATGATGATGATGATGTTCACCATGATGATGATCATGGTGGTGTAAAGGGTGCATGATGCGGTCGGCAGCGCGTTCCACACCACGACGGAAGGAGTGGTAGTTACCGTTGTCGTCGTAGTATCCCATCTTGCGGGCTGGGGGATGATCAACTACAGTAGTAGTGCTAAGAGTCTGGACTTGGGAAGGAGGGTTGACTGGCTCGACAGACAATGGACGTTGGCCTTGAGAAGAGCCGACGTAGGTGTCGAGAGGGGGAGCTTGATAAGCCTGGTCGTACGAGACGTCGAGCTGGGGGCGGGCAGGAGTACGGTCGTACGAGACGGGTTGACGGTTCTCGTAGGACTCTACACCAGAATGCTGATAGCTAGCGTTGGTGTTGTAGACGTCGTAGGTCGGCTCGTTGACACGACGACGATATTCACGCTCAGTGAGGTCTAGCTGGTTGGACAACTCCTGGTCGTAAACCTTAGGGGGCTCTTGGTAGCGGACTGATGAGGTAGGTTCACGATAGCTAAAGGCAAGGGAGGTTAGACTAAGATATAAAGAAGAGGGTTGGGGGACGAGGTGATTGGGTGATTATATTGTGGACGAGAGGCTGGGGGAGGGCAAAGTGTTTTGAAAAAGAATATGATCTGTGCCATGATTTGGTTTGTTTTGTTTTGGTGCCACGTAATTAGTTTGGGGGGACTAATGGCCTTAGCCCCCCGACCAGCTGAAGCCACCATTGATGTCGTGACACCGCTTGTTGACACTCCCCACTTGGTGTGGAGCATCCCCGGTCCCCACCTGTAAGGGTACCAACAAAACAAAACAAAACAAAAACAAGACGAAAAAATACACTGGGGCCGAGGGTAATCGGGGAAGAAAGACCACAACAAAAATACAAGCGAGCTGAAAGCGAATTAACCCAGTTCTCCCCAACTCTGATATTGGAGAAAACCAGGGCCAATTGCAGCTCCCCATCACAAAATCAATAGTCTATGGAGATCGGAGCTCCGAAATTGAGATCAGATGCACAATAGCCGATAAACATACCGTTCACGCGCGAGATCGACCTCAGGATAGGGCTTCTGCTGCTGGAACTGGCCTTGGTGCTGATACTGGTCTTGTTGCTGGAACCGGTCTTCGGTGTAAACCGAGTATTGGTCTGGCTGGGGGGCAGGGGGAGCAGGGGGCGGAACAGGACGAAAGTCGTGCTGGCCGTGTAGATCTACCTCTTCCTTTCCGTAGATACGGGGATCTGGGAGAGGAGCAGAGGTTCGAGTGTCTTCCCGTTCGACGTGCGAAGGACGATCGAGATTGACTTCTCCCTCTACTCTTTCAGGTGCAAGAGTAGGCTCAGGAACAGCGTCACTCCGGTACGACGACGGGAAGACACTGAAGGGGATGGGGACACGAGCGTCAAAGTCCAGATTGGCTGTCCTTTGGCGTCTTTTCTCGAATGCCTTTCGAACTGATACGAACGAAAGGCTAGACAAGAAAAGACTTTTTAAGGGGTAGTCTTTCTCGTGGGGAAAGGAAAGTGGAGGTGAATGAGACGATTATAGATCCGATAGATAGATCTATAAAAGCGGAGAAGAATTCCTGATGAGAGGAATGCGAGATAAGCTTAAAGGGTTTTGAGAAATGAAGAAGAGGGAGGAGAAGTTGAGGGGATGAAGTATGGATAGGAAAGAAGAGGAGGAGGAGTAGGGAAATAGTTCAGCTAGAAATAATAACAGCATTTGCTAAGTATTCTCATTACATCGTTTTGGTTGTTGTTGACAACACGCGTTTGTTTACGGCGCTTTCCCTGATTCGGGTGGGGTTGACCAACCTCCCCTCAGCTCACAATCTTATCAATTCAATTGTTCTTTCTCTCGCTCTGTATCTCTGACAAAAATTGGCTCATAGTATTCCCTTTCTCCCGAGGTCCATTCCCATCGTATCGTTTGGGAAACCAATACACACATCCATACATACATCCAAGTCACTGTCTAATGAAATGTTTCGTATCAAGCACACCCTTCGAATGCAAAGAAACTAAAGAAGCAGTAAAGTTCCGACTATATATATCCAACCTCATCCACTTTTCTCTTTTCCTGGTCCAGTTAGTCCAATCGGCACTCACCGCAATCTACTCCGTATGAGCTTCATTGCCGCTTTTTTCATTGTAAAAACAAAGCTAAGACTCTTCACATGCACTTCTCCAATTATACGTGGTTTAGTGCGTATCATTTAATTTGTCGCTGGCTGAATGGGAGGTGTACCGGAATCGCCTTGACCAGCACCCACTTTTTAATCACCATGGCAACCTTCACTTCTTCCGAGGCGAATCGGGCATCTGGATCCCTTGGCACGGAGCTCAAGGTGATCGACGCTGGAAGCGGACGGGTATCGGCTCAAGTTCATAATCTTTCGTCCTTCACAGGCTGAGATGTGATTGACTCTTTCGCTCAACTCAATTATGGGAGTCTGGGAGAGTCAATTCTGGTAAAATGGACTAGAACCTATCCGGACCGACTCCGCCGTCGGCTTGTGAAGCTCCTTCTCAACTTCCTGCCTTCGTGGAACTTCTTCATTGGTGTTGCACTGCTCTGCCGCCCGTGTTACCCTCGGCTTTGGGCTCCACTTAGTCTGCGTCCGAGATCGATCATGATTGCTCCAAATTTACGGCTGCTAGTAGTCCGCACGCCTGCCTCGCTATTTTCCTTGAACCTTGTCTCTCCAACGGACCCCGTGCATTGGCTTATCTTTCTGAAAATTATTTTGCCACAATTGCCTGATGAATCATGAATCGCCAGCCACGGGTCTAGCCTTGTCAGCATCGGCTCCAATTCAGGTGGCTGGCTGAGTCCCTCTGGCTGTGCATGTGGGGAGAGTTCATCGTCCCAATCGATCAGAGTGGAGAACACCCGAAAATCTTGCCATAACCGATCAAGTTCCCCATGGTAATCAATTGATCCTCCATCTACAAGCGATGTAGAATTTTGATATTCGGTACTATTGATTCTCAGCTGGGGCCAGAGATACGGTTGAGGATGAGGATACGGTGTACAGTATGAACATTACTCCGGTACAGTCCGCTGCATCGAAACCAAAGATGCCTCGTAGCGTCTCCCACTACCACACAATTCCCCACATGCGATTAACCGAAGCGAACCACATGGTAGATGATCCATCACCCCAAAGGAGAAAAGGAGAGGACCAGAGTATGTAGTAAAAAGCTCAGCTAACATTGCCAACAATAGGAGTCAAGTTCTATTGTAGGTACTTTGTTCCTTCTAGAACCTTGTAATGATGATCGCCTCTGAGCTAAGAAACTAGTTGGCTAACCTAATTCTCGGAGTTGTCGCTAGCTTAGAGATCGTAGATAATGTAGGTACGACGCAGCTGGTAGATCGTCCGTCGAGTAGAGCTGACCCTCCCAAGCTGTATACTACCAACACAACAGGCAGCGCTGTAAATGAAATGGCTCTTCAAGTTTGACAGCGATGTGATATACATCAGTTAAACCTATGGCTGTACGGAATCACTCTTCACATATGCTGGTCCAGAAGAGGTATAACCCACAACCCCATTAATCCTATTCCGCAGTATATTCTCCTGGCCACAGACCCCCTGATCCTTCATACCACAGCTCCATAGTGGCCAAATCGCGATGGTGACAAGCGTGAATGGTAGCGTCACCAGGCTCACCATCTAGCAGACCGACCTAGAACGAACTTGTATGAAAGTTAAATAAGACGCATATGCCGTAAATGCCGGCGACAAAGCTAGTGAGTCCCCGCATTTTTGTCGATCTGAACTAATCTCGCTTATTGCTCAGCCAGCCATTACTGGCACCGCAGTCCAGGTTCCCGGGTCACTGGGGTATTCAGCGTCACCCCGGCTCCTCAAATTATCGATGATATTGTCCAGAGATGAGTGCTGAGTAGTGAGAGCTGCGGATATTCGAGTGATGTGAGGTATACGAGTTAGACAACCTCTTGCTCGTCCTAGTAAAGGACTTTTCGGACCTCACTTGTGCGATAACCTTCGCCTCGGCACAGGAGAAGAGGCCAACGAGCCATACCCGCTGCGTACCGGGTGCAGCATACCACTGTACATACACAAGGTCGATTCCGAACAACGTCCATGATTCTACCTATATCGACAAGCACATCTCTATAGCTAGTTGGCAGCTAAGTATTGTGTCCTCCTTAGCCCTACTGTTCTCTTATAGATCGCAAGTAAAAGACCCAGGCTCATCCTTGTGGACAGTGCAGAAGAAAGCGCCTTCGAGACTGGACTCTGTGTGAGCGTGAAGGGTATCACGACTGATGAAGCTGGCTTATAGATATCCTGCCGCGCATGGAAGAGATAACGCAGGGAAGTACACGAGCTTGGTTGGAGATACCCAGCTCAGTAGACTCGATATCCACACGAGTTTTAAACACACCTGTGATGAACCTCCCATAAACCATACTTACTGACGACCATGGACTATCCCTCTTCTACCGGGACACAGCCTTGTGCCTGCCACTTATACGAGGGATTATGCGATGTATTATACCTCAGGAATATATACCGTCTTGACTCCTGAACAGCACCTCATGGCCGTCCCTTAATATATCGATTTTATATCACGAGAAACGTCATTTCAATGTAAATATGGGATGTGTTGACGATCCTAGAATAGAAGAGGGCTAATTGGTTGAATAAGATTAGAAATATGCAATACTCAACGTGGTGGCTTTACTACTAGACAGCCAGTATAAACCGTTAACTTTTGTTCCTCGTGTTGAGATAGCAATTAGTCTACACAAGACAGGGGGTGGACTTATGCACAATTTAGAGTCGATTGAGGACCTTGACTGATGGTATATAGAAAGACAACATTAGCCCCTTAATTGATGCCAGTGGTCATTCCAGTGTGCGTTGCATGGATCATAAGTGGTGATTATGGGTACTACATAAGTACCTTCATCTTATAGATCTTGGGGCCGCATGTTAGAACAATCATATGTAGAGGTATATCTAACACAACCATGACCATTAGTTGTTATTTTAAATATGTACTCATTTCATATTGCCGATTGCAAGCAAATATATAATAACTATGTAATACATCTATGACTTGAGGATCAAGAGAGAGATATATATATATATATATATACTTTGGCGGGAGGATTAGCTGATATTGGGATAAGTAGTGGATAGACAGAACCACTTTCTAGTAATGCCTGAGAATAACTAATCGACCTCTACAAAAATAAGGCGGACATGAGAGTTCATCAGTATTAATTCTCAGCAAAAGGGGTGTTAATGTGAAGCGAACATGCAATTGTATTAGCATTCATGTCATTATCTCTCTATGCCCCCTGTTCGCCCTTCAACTCCTCCTAACATGCGGCAAGCCGCGAGAGGTGATCCCAATGGAGAACAAACGAGAAAAAAAAAGTCACACGAAAGTAATTGATTATAGATTAACAACAGCGAACCCAAAATGTCATTGTACAAATGATACATAGATGTAAGGGATCAAAAATGAAGTTAGGTCAAATCAAAGGAACCATTCCCGGTATCTGACCGCCATAGGCCTGGTAGCCAAAGAATTTCATCTCTAACAGGGGTATCAAATATCAGTATTAGAGTAGTATTGTGGTGTCGAGCGGTCCCGGCCACCGAAAGCGTATAAAGGTAAGCCGTATCTCATTAGTCTCTGTTTCCTTATTCCACCAACTCCTTCTACCTGGAGCCCTCTAGATAGAGACAGCAGGCAAATGTATTATAAATAAATAAACGAGGAAATAATTAAAGCATATATTCCATAGATATGGTAAAAAGAATAGGATGCATACTCTAAAGCAGTCCATGTCTAGTTTCGTAGGCCAAACGCCTTCCGGAGTCGAGGGAATCGCTTCTTACGACCGGAGGCGAATTCCACGTCTATGGCATCTGTGGCATTGGTACCACCTAGATCGGCTTTCCTGGTGCTAGCATCTACGGCGTTTGACGCCGTGCTGCCATTTCGAAAGGCTTCATCTGCCGTTCGGGGTCGCTCAGAAGAGCGCAGAGTCAAGAGCGGAGCGCCTGCGTCCGCCTCCTTGCGATCGGAGCGGAGCGGCCAACTATCGCCATTCGAAGATCTGGAGATCGCCCTCCGAAGCCGCCTAGGAGAGGAGGACGGCCTGATATTGTTTGTGGTTATCGTGGTGACAGTGTTTCCCCGAGCACCGTCAAGCAAAGGGTTCTCCCGCACTTGTTCAGGATCTAGAGAATCGTTCCTAGCTTCTGAACGAGATCGGGAAGTCCCGCGCTCCGACGGTGCTTTAGGTTTCCTAATGCTTAAACGATGGAATAGACTGCCTTTGCGTCCACTGGGTTGTCGGAGGAACTCCTCCATTTCTTCCTCGGACATCCCGCGAGATTTAGCCACAGCGGCAAGCGCAGGGTTTCGAGCAGTTCTGACGTCATTTTCTTTCGTCTTGGCAGCCCTAGAAACCAAGTCAGGTCGTTCATTATCAGAGCTATCCTCCAATTCTGTTGAGTCACCATCATGAGCGCCTTGACGTCGGGGTATGCCGCGAACAGGAGGGAGCTTATTCACTACGCGTTCTTCATCGTCGCTCGAATCTTCAAACCGACTTTGCCATTTTTTTTTATTTGTACCCTGCTCATCATCTGACTCTGCGAATCGTGACGTGAATAATGCCCCTGATGGCTTTGAAATCCTGGCCTTCTGCACTTTTCCGGTAGAGAAGAAAGCAGGTTTCTCACGCCGAGGATCGTTCGATCGCAGAGTAGCACGTAGTGCACCAGTACTTGAGCCGGATGAAAGAGGCCGGCCATTGGTAGGTGCTAATTTTGTACTTTGAGGGGAATTAGTCCGGAATGGGCTGTTTGAGTGACCTCGTAGAGTTCGTCGTATCGTATGTGGGGATTCTGTCCGCGGGCGATTTGATCTCTTGAAGCTGCTGGATGAATCACTACCGTGGGATAGTGGCCTTTGAGGCTCCGGGCCGTTCCAATGAACATATACATCGTCATCAATACCACCTTTCAGCAAGTTTGGGGCCCACGAAGCGGGTCGCTTCTTGATCTGTTCATCGCCAGCCTTGTGACGCGGCTGATTGGAAACATTTCCAGAATGTGGTTGTAACGGGCCATGAACAACCGAATTAGTTGCTTCACGCGCAGGGCGACCGCCGGGAGCGTTTAATGAATTAGACCGTCTTACTGTACCCGTAGAGCCAGTGGAGCGGGGGGCATCTCGCACATTCGTCCTACTGTTGGACCGCGGGGGAAACGGCGGGTACGGAGACGA